TGTTTTCCTTCTCTCTGGGGCTACCTCAATATTGCCAGCTGTTTTTCGGGCTGTGATGCCCTAAGAAAATCTCGCGAGACCGCGTCATTGAGGCCAGAGCGAGGGAATTAATTAACACTTTCGCCCAATTTCAGAGTCCCTCAAACTCTCAACTTAATGCCACTCTGTGTGTGTGTGTTTGTTTGTCTCTTTTGCAGGCATGAGGATTTTAGTTATGCTGCTGCTCGACACTCTACCAATGCTTGGAAATGTCCTTTTGCTGTGCTTTTTTGTATTCTTCATATTCGGCATTGTGGGCGTTCAGCTTTGGGAGGGAATCTTGCGGCAGCGTTGCGTCCTCCAGCTCCCGAACAATGTTATACCACCAAAGTAAGTGACCAAAAATTGTCTGTGTGTTTTGTGTATTCATTCAGCCCCCAAAATCTCACCAATTTCATTTACTCAGAGGCAGTTTATTCGACTATTTTTCTTCTTCGCTGTTCTGTTTTTTGGTTCACCCTCACCCGCCCCCCCAATTTCATCACCCCTCAAAATCTACCACCCCAAAACATAAGTTGCTGATCTTCTAAATCGCAAAATCAATTGTATAATCGCACTTTTTATCTCTCGCGCGCCCGCGAAGTTCAGCGAGTTTGCGGAAATTATTGGTGGTTTGGTGAAGAGCGCGCGAGTGTATGCGAGAGGCAATATTTGCGTGGTCCGTGGAATATTTATGAGAAATTAATGCGAGCAGAGGCGCGGGAAAAGGGCATATCTATATGGCACTGTTGAAAATTAAATGGGAGTACAATTAATATTTATTTTCGCGTTAAATTTATTCCACTGCAGATGGTGTGGGATTGACCACAGATTAATGTTTGTGGGTAGACAGAGTGGACAGACTCTCGCCATAGGAGTGCAATAAATGTAATTGATATTAATGCAAAATTCTGAGGGTGAAAAGCAAATTTTTTTTCCCCTCATTCCCATTGAATTCCAGCACAGCGTGTGTTTGGTTTGCTGCACATTGAAATGTGTGCAGTCCTGAATAGAGAATGAAGACCTAATCATGCGAAAGTGAAATGACCAATTTTCGGTGTTTCTTTTTTTCAGGACAGATAGTGTTTTTTTTGTTACTTTTCGTCCCCTATAAAATCAGTTGTATACTATAAATAAGTCCAATGACAATCATATTTGTTTGTTTTCTTCGTTTTGAGCGAGAGAGAGAGAGAGAGAGGGAGAAAAATTTAATTTCGTTCAATTGCAAATGCTTGTAAAGTTTTTTATATGAAAGTTCAATTTTATATATATATATATATTTACTTTCATTTGAGCACGATTTTTTTTCAATGTATATTTATCATAATACACGTTTTGGATATTTACCTTTTCATCATACTCTATATATACAATCACATGTATATTTGAGATTTTAATTAAATTAAAATCAATATGTGATCCAAACACCACAAATATATACCCACAAAACATTTCAACTCATAATTACTTTGCGTTAGGGCGATGAGGATACCTTCGGATGCAAATATTTCCACCCTTTTGCCTATGCCATAAATCTCCATCAGCGCCGTTCAGCATTGCTCACAGAGCAATTCCCTCTTTCGTGCGACCTAGAGAACATTAATTATTATTGTATACAGATATATTGTATAAATGTATAGTTTCTCAATATGATTACGCATTCATTAAATTTTGAGGTGAATTAAATTACAATTATTACATTTCACAATGTGGAAGCGTTTTACCCTCAATATAACATTAGACACTCTGGCATAATAATCTCCTCTAGAAAGTTGTGTGCGGCTTGTAGGTTAAGGCATTTCCCGAGTCTTGTAGCATCATTTCTATATGTAGCGTTTTGAGAGTGAGATTGAATTTAAAATTACTCCTTTAGCCATACATTGTGTTACAATAATATTTGGCCAGTTGAGAGAACCTTTGATGTTATTTTTTGTGTGCAAAAAGATCCACAGATTTTCCGTAAACAGATTTCTCACCTCCTTTTTATCCTATATAGAGTGATAAAAATAAAGGTATAGATTTTCCATCCTCCAGAAGTACAAAAAAAACAGTGAGAAAGAAACACACATAAAAGAGAGAGAAAGAGAGCGCGTGTTCGGGAAAGAATAACATACAAGCAATGCTAATAAAATTTGTAGGTAAATTACTTTGATTATAACATCGAGAGTTGTGAGCGAAAAATAACTTCTTGCAGACACTTTTGAGTTTTATTAATAGCTTTAATTTGTTTCCCTCCTTTCCAATATATACATTTTTCTCTATATAACTTAGAAACTTTCATGTTTGATTTGATATGTATATATATATATATCATTTTAGATACAAATTTCCACAATATTCTCACAAAAATTCCCCTTTTTGTTCTTTAATATCATTTCAAACAAAAAATTCGGGTTTTCAATTGCAGGGAACTTCCAGACGAGTACAGAGTTCGAGTTCGCGTTAATTCGTAAGAATATATTTTCAAGACAAACAGAGAGAGAGAGAGAGATGAAGGGAGAAAGACAAGCAAAATGAAATTCAAATGACAGAGAATCAATTCGAATATTTGAAGCTTTATTTATTCAAAGATTCACGCTGAAAGTTGTACATTTTTTGATTTACCCAAAAAAGAATAATCTCTTGAGTGAAAATTCTCTGTCACGAGAGAGAAAGGCGGCGAATATATATTTGTCTATATATACACAATCGGAAAACGACTCACACATGACCACAACATGACTACAGAAAAAATTATGTTTTTTTGCCAAAAAAAAAGACAAGAGAGGTCATATGTAAAGTTTTTCGTTTGCTCTGCATTTTTATTATACTCTTGAATGTTAGTCTTGTGCGCAAGAACAGTTTTCTTTGACAAGTTTTCTCAGTGTGTTTAACAGTGAAGTGCACCATCAGTGAATGATGATGATAAATCTGATGGACAGAACACACAAAAACCACCCTCTTATCGTGCTTGCAGATTGAAGAGATTTCTAGAGTCACTTCATCTCTTCCGCGCGCGTCCTTCACTTTCACCCATATGAATTTTTGGCCTGTGATTTGACCGAAAAAGCTCCACGAAATATGATCACACAGTGTGTGATTTTTTGCAACTCTGAGTGGCGAGAAAAAGGGCAAAAAGGCAGAAATGTGGCATGAAATATGGTTGAGATTAAAATATTCTACTATTGTCTTCACAATATTAATTAATGGTTGTGCGTGATGGAAGAAAAGAGTCTCTCGAATGAAGGACACCATGGCGCACTAGACTTGTGTGGTATCCACTTGAGTATTCCGCATCCTTGCTTCCTTTCCCACCACATGCGACGACCGCAGTTGCCTTTGGTGTGCGAGAAAAGAATGGGGAGGAAGAGAGAATTGATGGTATTAAAACAAGGAGGAATCAGAGAGACACAAAAGTTCCATCAAACTCTGGTTCTGTCGCAAATCACACATTTTCGTGAGGCGGATTTTTCTTGTGGTGTGTGTTCTGGCCAAAAGATGGACAATGCGAATGAGGCAAAATAAGTGGCGCACCAAAAGATTAAAGTTTACTTCACTGACTCGATGTTTGTGCTATTAATTTCACGAGTTCTTTTGCCTTTTTCCTTTAATTTCCACCGCCACACGATTGCTCTGATGAATGCAGAATCGAACTTTGTACAGACTTTTCTTTTGATTTCATATTCCTTTTAGCCAAGCTCAATATGCAAACAACATTCTGTACATATAGATAGCATATGATAGACATATTAAATCTCGTACTAAGTTGATATATGGAATGTGTGGTAGATTTTTCCCGCCTTGTTCAGCATGCTAGAGTATTATATCGATGGGTTAATCGAAAATGATGAAAAGTCAAAAACGTCATTTTTCATGAAAACAAGTTGAAAATTTATCGTTAATGTCGCTGCGAAATTTGCCAAAATTTTCTTCAAAAGCTACAAAACACCTTCCAATTATCCGTTAAAGTCCTAATATTGCTTTGAAATAATTATTTTGTGATTATTTCAGTTGACTTTCTTAGTAGTAGTAGAACAGATCAAGAGCTTTTCAGAAATAACATGAGACACAAACTATGAAAAATTGACTTTTCATAGTTTTCGATCCACCCTTCGATATATGAATTTATTTTAATTCGCAAGAAGTCACGGTAGAGGAAATGCAACTCGTGAAAGTTTCGTACACTCTCAAGGAATGACGATGGCTTGGGAAAAAATGGGGATTATGTTGTTATTTTGCTGTGGGAAGAGAAAATTCTTCAGGAAAAACATATATAGCACAATATTCAATGGCATGTCCTTTATTTTTCTCTTTTCCTCTTGGGTTATATATTTTTTTTCCACTTTAAATTTCTCAAGGACAGAAATTTTGCTACATTTTATATTTGAAGAGAAACATTTGGCTGGAATGTGTTTTCTTTCTCAAACTTGCTCCCACGCTTCTTCGTCCTCTCATTTCGTCTCTATACACATCAATTGATATCCATAAATATACTTTGAACGCGGGAGTTTCTCTCCCGGCGCCCTTGAAACCCTCCTTTGCGCCCTGATTGCAATGTTACCCTTTTATTTTTCACTCTTCATAGCATTACTGCGATATACTTGATTTTGGTAATAAACATATTGTTATGTTCTCATCTTCTTCCTCATTTTATACCATTTGATCTGTCAATATGCTAAAGGAAAATGATAAAACCTCATTTCTGGCTGTGAAAACTCCCCCACATATATGAATATAAATTGCGATATGGTGTAAATATATTGTGGCATTTGCTAGACGTGTGTAGATATGTGATAATCTATGGATATATCGTGATAGATAAACTACTATTTATTGGATTTACCAAACGCGGTATTCTAATAACTCTATTTATATAATGTCGTTGATAAATGTTGAGATTATTTATACTGTTTTTTTTATTATTTATTATTTAATTTGAATTGCGCAACTGATGGCAATTTAAAGGAGTTTTTCTTTTCTTCTTTGATTTTTAATCTTTTTGTTGTGAATTTTTCTTTTGCCTTTTGCTACAGAATGAAAATTGGAATGGTTTTTGTGTACATTTATATTCTCTGGTGCATTTTCCAGTGTCTCGTTCTACTACGAATTTTCCAAGGAGCAAGACTATATTTGCTCGAAGCCAGACGATTCCGGAATGCACCTCTGTTCGAATCTTCCCGCATATCGTGTTGGTCCACTGGTTTGCAATGGTGAGCATCCTTATGGTCATTGTGTAGTTTCAATTGGTCAGTCAATGAATGCATTTGGGTCAATCGGACACACTGTGTGAGATTCGCAGCATTTGCAATAAAGGGACGACAATACGCTAAGCTATTTTCTCAGTTAATTACAGATTGAAAAATTGCACAAAGAATTGAATAAGAGTCTGTTTTTCCCGAGTAAAGCTAACATTAATTGCACGAGTGATGCAATTAGACAGCTTTCCTTTTACCGCAAAAACTATGAAGCAATCAAAATGGAGGTTCAAAAACTTTTTGAAACTGAAAATACATTTCTTTTCCACATTTCTGAAGAACTTCTGGGTGTCTTTCAGTTAAATCTTGGCGTATTTTGCCGTATTCACGTTATTAAATAGCCTTTGCGAGTTGTTTTCTCTTTGATATGCAAATGAAATAGATTTTGAAGTTGAGCGAGAAGTCTCTAATTTAATATTACACTGTTCCACAGACCGAAATGAATTTATTTACCAGCAAAACAGCTCCTATTTTTGCTCTTGAGTGTATTTTGCAGAAAAAATATGTTTTCATTCTAATGGTTTTTTTTTCTTCCTTTCATACTTTTCAGCATCAGCAGTTCCATTCTCTCGCAATTTCCCAACAAATTCATCATGTGTCAATTGGAATCAGTATTATACAAATTGTACTCAGTTGGGCGGAAATCCCTTTCAAGGCACCATATCCTTTGATAACATTGGATTAGCTTGGGTTGCAATTTTCCTGGTCAGTACCAACGAACTTTCTCTCTCCTCGTATTGTAATCTGTGCGCGTCAGGGGCAAGTAATCCCCGAGTGTTAAGGGTTCAAATAGTCAAATTGCCGTGCGGGCGAGCTTATCGGAGCATTGACACTGTGTGCAAATTTCCAGCTGTGGGAAATTGTACTCAAATAGCCACGCACAGAATGTGCGGTCAAAGTGCGGTTCACTTTCACCTGGCGATTTGCTTGCCCCTCGACTCCGTTTTCATATCAATTTTGATTCGGTCGAGAGCTCTCGGCAGCAAAATCAAATCTATATATTTTACTGCTGTCTCACACAATTTTTTCCCCCACTTTTCTCCACGCCTGCGGAATATAGGTAATATCGCTGGAAGGATGGACGGATATAATGTATTACGTGCAGGATGCTCACAGTTTCTGGGATTGGATTTACTTTGTGCTACTCATTGTGGTGAGTAAATACTGTGCGCGTGTATGACTGTAATGGTAAATATTTCCCCCCCCCCCCACATTAATTAAGACATGAAAGACAGCCTTCACAGAAATATATACATAACATACTATATACTCATGAATAATTCTCTCAATATTTGACCTTCTTTTTCCCACGTTATTTTGCTCGAGTACAGATTGGGTCATTTTTTATGATCAATCTGTGTCTTGTCGTTATCGCGACGCAATTTTCCGAGACGAAGAAGCGCGAAATGGAGAGAATGCGTCAGGAGCGCGCGAGATTCACGTCAACGTCCACCCTTGCCTCCAGTACAAATAACTCAGAGCCGACAACTTGCTATGCGGAAATTGTGAAGTACATCGCACATCTGTGGAGGCGCTTCAAAAGGAGACTTATTAAGAAGTTACGATTGTATAAGTATGGAACAGTTTATTTATTTATGATTTAGCCACAAAGTCACTCAAAATTACTCACACTCACTCTTGTGCTCACTCTTCCTCAATCTCTCCTATGGTGTGTCTCTCTCTCTATATATACTCTGCAAAGTCCCCAACTGGGCGTCCACATGAAGAAATTGGACACTTTATTGTTTCATAAGACTAATTTTTTCTCCTTTATCTTCTAGATATGTGTTGTCCTCTTGTTATATGTTCTGTGTGATAAAGTTTGTCGTGAGAATGTTGCCTTTCCACCAACCGCACACCCGTCGTGAGCGGTGTGTGGGCGAAGAAATAGGAGTGAAACTGTTGATTATGCTCTTTGCGGCTCTGCAAAGAGATATATATTTTGTGAAAACTTTTCCATTTAAAGTCAATGTGTGAGTGTGTGTCTTTCTTTCACAATGTGAATGCACTTATTGGGCATTGAGGCAAAAGTTTTCCCAAAGTTTTCTACCCTCATGAAGGTTCTTGTTGTCACTAAATTGTTCTCCTATCTCTTCATTTGCTGGGTAAATGATGAATTCATGAAGAGAAGAAAGTGTATATGTGATAAAGCTTTCACTGTCTCTCTATGTGTGTGTGTGTGTGTGTGTGTCAATGTTGGAAAAGTAGAATTTTCATCATGCAATTTACAGTGCTGCAACTATTTATTCAATCTCCTCCAGCGTTTATATGCAAATATATCAATAGTAAATTTGATTTAGGTCAATTTATATCCATCAAAATGGTAGTGAAATTTGAGTTTCAAATCCAATTTTGATGAATAAATTCACTGTCGCTTGAGCTAAAATCTTCCCCAGACAACACACAGTTTGCAAAGCTCTATTGCAGATGTGGAATTATTTAATGAAAATGCTCTTCAGCGTGAAAGTTTCAATTATGGGCGTATTTTATGCTTGACGGAAAATTGTACAAATTTCCATTGCAAATTTTGGGTATATGTATTTAAATAAACAATTGGTGTGTCCGTGATGCTCGATGGGGTGGAAGTTGATTGCATTTTCTCGCCGGAAATTTGTACTGATGGCGTGAGCAGCTTATCAGTGAATATGTTCATATGTGATTAATATGCCTGATGGTGAGGAAGTAATTACGGCACCGTTTTCAGGAAGAAAATTGATATTAGGTTGCATTGTGTGCGCTGTGATATCGTTGTACATTTAGTGCTAATTATGCAATAGATTTGCAAATTGCATTGGCAACAAATTGACGGACGCGCAATTGTGCGGAGGAGGATGAGTATGACAGTGGCTGCCAGTGAAATAAGGCGCCCAAATTTTGTGTTGAATTCCACTGGCGGCAACTGTGAGTTGAAGCACTGCTTGATGATGATTGAGGGTTGAAGCCATCATTGGTGGTAATCGAGTGTCGCCTTTCACGCGCTCAGGTATCAGAAGAAGCAGCGCAAGGAGGGTCTACTTCCGACGCCGGACATTCTGACACTCTCGCCCAGCAAGATTAAGGCGCATCATCCGAAGTGCCACAAGTACGGCATGGAAAAGGCGACGAACATCAAAGATCCGCAACAGCTGATAACGGTAATGGTGCCACTTAATTCCACGAGCGCTCCCAACAACACCGCCGCCGTGGCCACGACTGTGGCGGGTGGCAATGGGGCCATCAATGGCATCGAGACGTCGCTGGTGAACTCAACGGCGGCCCAAATGGTGGCCAATGATGGCCAAGTGTCGTCGCCTGATAACTCAGAATTATCATTGGATCACTCGAGGAGCAACTCAGTGAGGCGGAAAAACATCAACAACAGCAACGGACGAGAGGAGCAGAAGCAGAAGACGCTGCTACTTAAAATTCCGAGCATGACGGAGTCGGAACAATTATTGGTAAAGTGTAGTTGAATGTGTTTCTGCTCAATTAATCACACAATGTTTCCCCAAAACATCACTGCGCTCCACATTTTCTCCATTTGGGGGTGCTTTTTCCACTCACTCCGTCACTTAGGATTGTGGGAAATGATCACATGTCTGTCTAATTGCCTTTGTGTAGCTTTCATTAAGTCGAACACTCCTCAGCCGCTTTTGTTTGTATCTGCAATTGTAGAGGCGATGAAAAATCGTATTTATGAGTACATTAAGCTCCGCCTACGCGATAGCTCTGCCCATTTCTTTGTTTTCTCTCTCTTGTATACTAGAATATTGTGATTTAATTATATTCCTCACTCAAATGGATAAAAGAGTCATTCGTTTAATTGTTATTGTGAATTTCCAATCAACTGGGAGTGTGAAATTTAATTATGACTATTTTTTAATTGAAAATCCTCGTTCTTATAACATTTTCGTGTCCCCAATTCGCTGCTAAATTGTCACCAATATTCCCAGTCATTCTCTGAATGAGGTCGAAAACAAGGACACTCATACTAAAACTGATCCGAAGTGTCACAAAACATTTGGCAGAATTTGAATTTTTATCCTTGTTTCCAAGTCAGAAAGAAAACATGTTCTCTGATTTTTGTATGACTGCGAAATCGACGGTTTTGACCTTGTCAAATTGCTCAAAACCTCAATTTGGTGCTGACATTTGAGCTGAATTGGGCTGAAATTGTGGCTTACGAGAAGGATAAATAAGCGTCATATATTGCAAATACAACAAAGGATGATGTGTTCAATCGCATTGAAAGTTAATTCACTGTGCATTCACTGTCGTGAGGAAACTCTGACAAATTTGCTAACTGATGAAATTGTGACTTGATGACACTTTTGCCTTGTGTGTTTGCAGAGTGAGAGATCTAACTCGGGCTTTCTCAGTCCGCCAATATCCACAAGACGTCGCTCTTCGGTGATGTTCAATGAATACGTAATTCTGCACACGCCGCCCACGGTTCCGGATCCTGGCGTGGAGAAGAATGTGAGCGAGAAGATGACTCAGGCTGGGGATGGGAGTATTTGGCAAGTGAATTTGCAGAATACCATCGGCAGTCATGCCATGCAGACCGCCTTGGTGGATTGCTCTGACTTGAGTCTGAACGAGATGACGTGTCAGGAATTGTTGGCATTCTCCGTGGCATTTTCCGCCGCTCTGCCAACTGGCCATGGCACACTCGAGTCATTCTATACATCGCTGGCGCGCAGTGAACCACGTCCCGCTCCTGTCGCGGGTACAGAAGTTGTGCTGCATCAGAATTCCACGGCGTCCACCCAGGAGGACTTCTCGTGCTGCTACGAGCACTACCAGAATGCGCTGCTAGAGGCGGAGAGCATGAAGGTGAAGCAGAAGTCGCGCTTCACACTCACGCTGGTGACCATTTACAAGGTGGTGAGCAAGGTGTTTGGCTTCATGCAGAAGTACGTGAAGCGATTTGTGGAGCACAAGTACTTCCAGCAAGGCATCCTGCTGGCCATCCTCATCAACACACTGTCGATGGGCATTGAGTACCACAATCAGCCGGAAGAGCTCACGGCCATCGTGGAAACGAGCAATGTCGTGTTCTCGGCCATTTTTGCCCTCGAAATGCTGCTCAAAATCATCGCCGAAGGTCCTTTTCGCTACATTTCCAACGGCTTCAACGTGTTCGACGGCGTGATTGTTGTTCTCAGGTGCGCTATATTTTGCAAATTCTCACACCCACTCAAAGTGCAACTGCCATGTGTAATCTCATCTCTGATCCGATAATGCCTCGTGTCGATATGCTGTTGTTGCTAATTAATTCCTCGTGTTTGGCAATTAAATGCCTGCTCTCCTTGCAGTGTTGTGGAGCTGTGCCAGCAATTCCTCGGCGAGCGGGAGGGAAACTCTGGCCTGAGTGTATTGAGGACATTCCGATTACTCCGCATCCTGAAGCTTGTTCGCTTCATGCCCAATTTGCGACGACAACTGCTCGTGATGCTGAGAACCATGGACAATGTTGCCATATTCTTTTCTTTACTCATTCTATTCATTTTTATCTTCAGGTGAGTACAAGACAAGTTATCCTCTCTCTATATATATAATGCTCAAACTTCTCTTATCAGATGCGATAAATCCCCTTTTAATCCCCCTTTGTCATCGAGGTTCCTCAGAAGATTTAATTTAATTTATGTATCTTTTGTGAATCCCCAAAATTGGCTGCGAGAGGAATTGACTGACGTTGTTTTCCCTTTTATATTTGAACTGAAAAGAAGAGTGAAAAGAAATTTGAATAATTGCCAGAAAAGACATGGTATTTAATTGGTTATTAATGAGGGAGGCGATAAAAATGAAATGACTAAAAGATTTATGATTTTTATCATTTTTTAATCCTCATAGAAGTGAATTTAATAATGTATTTAAGAGAATAATAATAGTAAATTGATTTTCTTTATTTTAATATCTTCCCCCTTCACAAATGCTTGGTAAATAATTATAGTGAATTTTATCCAGTAAATTTTCTCACTACCAGCAAACCAAGTAGTGAGAAAATACAATGTAGTTTTCCACCCCATTTCTCATTTATCGTATAGTTTCTCTTTCACCTCTTTTGCTCTTGTCTGTCAAACTCTATTTCCTTGACTTTATCACAAATTTTATCTCTCATCTTCTTCTCCCCCTTTTGAAATAGTAGAAAAGTTCTTTTATGACATCCAGTCTAAATAGTAAAAAAAATGTCCTTCCTTCTCAACTATGTTGGAATATTTTTTGTACCGAGTTTTAACTGTAGATAAAAGTGAACATCACACCATAAATTGTGTATAGAGAGAAACTCACGAAAGTTGAGAGTAAAATACGAGTGACAATGTCAGCTGTAATGAAAAAATTCTCCTGGTAAAATGGTTCTTCATTTATTTTTACACATGTTACTTTTACGCAATCTGACATTGATTGTTCATTATTATGTATTTTTTAATGTCTCTTATATACATATATTCATCGCATATTTGCCCTTTTTGTCCCCATCCAAATATTCAAGCATTTTCATCGCTCTGCTAAAAATATCCGATAAAAATATAAAAGTAATTGTTCATGGTTTTTTTTTCGGCTGTGAATAAAAAAAAAGCACATTATCAAACATTATTCATTAAATATATGCTCCCGTTATAATAATGCCCCCCAGTAAAATCCCAAAATTAATTTTGAAGTGCTTGTAAACTAAAAAAAAATTATTGTGTAATTTTGCCAGAAAATAATGCAATTTGCTCCCCTTTTTTTATCCATAGTCAAAAGACTTTTCTCTATGTCCTTTTTTCGTGTCGAGTTTTTACTCTCTATATAAATTTAGGGATTACACGAATTTTTTTATGGCTAAAATTTACTCTCTCGATGTGTGTTTCTTTCAGTAGTGTTTTGTCTATAGTGAGAGCTTAGTTTATATATTTTAGTGATGAGGATTAAAGAAACGCAAAACATCTTTAATTGAGATGGCTTTTCACATTGAAATTTCGGGACCAGAATCCCTTCTCTTCGTGAGGGCTTTTCTAATCAGGAAATTGAATTTGCTGCAAAGTGGGTGTGTGTGTGAGAAAGAGGGCGAGAGAGAGAGAGAGAAGGGATGGACAATAAATCAATAGACGCTCTGGCAATTTCAATGTGAAGAGCTTCTCAACTGAGAAAGCTCATTGAAAGGTAAATTTTCAGCGAGAACTTATAACACATAATGTAAAAGTGAATATTATTTTGAGAATCCCATCATGTTTCATCCTAAATCAATTTAGAAGAACCCCGACTTTTGTTCTGTTAGACATCTTCAGACCCTCCTTTGTAGTTGTGGTGAATTTCAATGTCTTCTTTCCACCCCTTTTCAGACTCACATTCCGTGCTCTTCTTAGCTGTAGAAGATTTCTTTCCCTTTTGAAGGCATTTTTTCCCCTATAAGTAGATTTTTTTTTCTTGAGTTTTCACCATCAGAAAAAAGATGTATTTCCCAATAAAACAAGAAGAGAATAAATGACGAAATCATACTAAAAAAAAACGAGAAAATGAAACTGTATAAAATTGAAATTATAATGATAATTAACAAGTGTCGTAATTTGGTAAACAAATATTTATTATTTTTTGCCTTTGTTTCTATGATGAAATCATCTTTTGTGTTGTTTTGAATTCTACCAAATATAGTATCCTCGGTATGAACCTTTTTGGATGCAAGTTCTGCGAGTATATCGGTGGCGAGAGGCAATGCGATCGCAAGAACTTTGACAGCTTATTGTGGGCTCTCGTTACAGTTTTTCAGGTAGATGAAACAAATCAATCTCAAACATATTAAGCAAAGCAAATTATTTCTGTCTTGAGACTTGATATATATATATATATATTATCCCATTATCTGTATTAATATTCCACTTGTTTTTATTATTGCCCTTGTGGAGAGAATATATATAATTTCTTAACCACCCAAAACTTCATGTTGAGAAAAGATCCTTTATTTTGCAAAATATTTCTGTACATTCCCTCCTGACTATGTCTATATATATATATTTGTCATGATGTTAATGCAAGTTGCAATGTCTCTTCTGCTATTTTCATTTACAACACCTAATTTTGTTTTAAAGTTTTTAGTTGATGTTTTCTTTCCGTATTAATTTCCCCTGGACAGAAGTTTCCATATTGTAAGAAATTTGAGAAGCAGTGCAAAATTCATCCCTGTCTTCTTTTGAGATGACCTTGCGTTAGAGATGAGAAAAAGTTAAATGCAAACGACATTCGAGAAAATATGAGAAAGAAGCTTTTTTTGTTTGTTCAAACTCACTGAAAGAAGAAGCAAAATTCACATGTTTTTCTTTTCTTGCTAGTTTTGATTGAAATATGTTTCTTTTTTGACATACAATTGAATTTGTTGGATTTTTTCAAACTCACCTGAATTTCATGGAAGTTTTCTTAATTGAATCTTATATATCTTTACACATTATGCATCGTGTTTTGTATAATTCAATATAAATATATATTTATATTCTAATGATATGGTAAAAGCAAAATACTTGACGAGAAACTTCTTAGTCTTCTTTTCTGTCTGTCTTTACTTGGAATGATGTGATAACCTATCTATAAAATGAGAGTTTTCCATTAAATGTTTCCTCTTAAATTATTTCGCCATATAAAGCACATATTTATAAATCAACCGACTTAATGGAATCATCTTCACTGACATAATTTATCCACTGAGTAATTATATTGTTTTTCTATAAAGTCGCATAACTTTGATCGCAACTTCCCTTTTTTCCACTCTCCTTCAATCTCGCCAAAGCCCTCAAAAGCAATATATATACGCGTGGAAAACTATCAGGTCGAATTTTCACACAATTCTCTCTTCCTCAGTCTTTTTCCGATGGCGTGTATATTTTTTCTGTACATTTCTCTCTCTTTATCCTGTATATATACATATGTGTGGATGAAGCAACAGAGTTGCGTGTAAAATATCCATAAATATTTATGAGTGAGCAAAACAATATAATAATAGAGGAAGCAAAAGTTTGCTGTGTAAAAAGGACATGAGAGGATAAAAATCCGGCAAATGTATATATTGTTTTTTAAATTGTTGGCTTCGTGTGCGATGAAGAAGTGTGGAAGCGAAGGAAGAAAGGTAGGTGTCAACATTTCCGTGATTATTATGCATCTTTTATACATTGTACAATCTGCCGTTGGACAATATAACACGTGTACATAAGCAGTATATATATATGAGCCTTCTAATTACTGTTACACTTTCGCCTTCTTTCGAATTCCCACCCACATTGATAGTCACACACATATGTATTAAAAATGTCCTCAGCGAGAGGAGTGAAATCAATAAAGCGAGCATGCAATGTTCTAAATATAATAATGAATTATAGAGAGCATTTTCACTAACAATGTAAATACTTTTAAACTATCATTTAACACCCATAACTCTCAAACACTCTTCACGACACTTTCCTCCTTCAGCATTTGATTTTCTTCAATCTTCAGTTCATTTTTCATTACCTCTTTTTGCCTATCATTTATAATTTGATATATATTTATAAACTTTTGTGTTCGATTTATTAAAGCAAAACGCTAAAATCTCTACTTCATAATAAAATATAAACACACCAAAAGACCTTCCAATTAATACACCAATTAAAAACTCTTTCTTGACGAAGATGAAGATGAATATTTTTGCAATATCAAAAAAAAATCGATGGCATTTTAGTTTGGACAAAAATCTCAAGACAAGATTATACAAAAAGGTTTTGTTTAGTTTGTCAGATGTGATAAAATATTATGCAAAAAAATACAGAAATCACTTCTTTTATTGGTCATTTACATTATAATTTTTCGCCTTTAGCCCTTTTTTAGTTTAGGATGAATTTATATTAGCGATACAAGAATATATAATATTAAACATGAGAGAAATGAAGAAAAGGCCAATCAATATCATGACTGTATTGATGAAATGTTCAATGTTTTCTGTTCTTGATTTTCATATATATATATTCCTATTTTTCACATTAATATTGCTATACATTTCCCCGTCATTTATTGTGTGCAAGTGAAAACATATATCTTTATACAAAACATGAAAATTGAAGCTCATCTATCAAAATTGTATAAATCTTCTGACATTGCAATTTTCTTGTAATGCGATTACCACGGAACAAGTCAGAATTGTACAAGAAGAACGATATAAGAATACCACGGACAGAATTCTTACATTTCATAATCAGAAACTTATGTGTTTTACTTGTGTTGGGAGAAAAGATTACATGGACGAGTATATTTCCGCCCAAACCGCCCTTTTTCATTATACATAAATTTGACAATATGTCTTATATATAATATCCATCTACTATTATATATATAAGTGTATAAGAGAAGAGAAAACCAACCAAAACTAATATTGTTGTTGTAGCATACTTGGTATGTACTTATTTGGGGGTAAGTTTTGTAAATTTATGGACCATACTGGACAAGAAAGGGAATGCACTTGTCCGGAGATTGTAAGCAAGCATCCGCTCTGTGAATGTGATCGCAAACACTTTAACAACATACTGTGGGCGACAGTAACAGTTTTCCAAGTAAGCTAACATCCTCCCTATATTTTGTGTCATTTATTTATTTTATGATTTATTGTGTTGAATATATTGCCGTATACATATATTATGATGATATATACTTCAACATTATCAACTCTATCCACTAATAAACACCACAACTTATAGTCATGAGTTGAGAAGTGTGCTTAGCGCAAGGCCACACAGAGCATATTTGCCAGACAAGACGATTGAATTATGGTATTTTGCGCGCCACGCAAATTTAACCCTTTCGCCTCGTGAGAGATGAAAATTCGACACAAATGTATGCTTTTGCTGTAAATTGTGGCGAAAAAGATAGAGTTTCCGTTGCCATTTTCTAGTGCGTGACGAGAAAAACAGGATTTGGAATTGAATTTTCTTACATTTTCTCATTTTAAATTTCCAACTGTTGCACTGACATGCTGGAAAGCTGAATTTCCACTGGGAAATCTAGTCAAATGTTTAGCGAGGATTGTGAAGAAACTCTTAATCCGACAAATCTCTCAAATTTGGGTCAAATTTAGGAATATAAAGTCAAAAAATATGGTTCAATGCTTATTGGTTGAGTGCAGCTTAAAGTGTGTTTTGCGAATCCAAGAGGAGATTGTGTGGCTCCGCGTTCTTATCTCTGATCGTCTTGTCTGCAATATATGCGTTTTATGTGCTGTACAAGAGAGCTTTTGATATAAACATAACTGACTTTTTAGCCACTTTTTTTCGTTGCCGTTCAACCGCACAATTTTTGATAAACGTGACTGGGGAAAAACAAATAGTTTTTTTCTTCCTTCAACAAAGTGTGTGGTGGAAAATTGTGTAGTTTTTCTCCGTCACCTTTGTGCAAAATCGTAACTCTGCAAAAGAAATACACAAAACTGACATGGCAAAACATTGAAAAAAAAACGAAGAAAGGATGAAAACATTGAAGATGCAAAGCTTCTCCTGTGAGATGAAAGCTCTTATTGTTTCACACTGATTTATACACATAGTCTGTGTGTAAAATGTATAAAGTACACAAGCGTGAAATGCAAAATGCGACAAAAGACTTCACGGTTTTAGAGCCAAACACAAAAGCATGCCAATAAATTCTCTAGAGAGGGCAGAAGTAGAGTTTTTGGACTTGTGAATCTCTTGTAAAAATTTAAACAAATCCTCACAATATATATCAGCAAAATGTCTTGCTTATGTGACGATGCGATAAATTTGCCAGAGCATAGCAAATAAGGCAACACCTTTAGTGATAAAATGCTTTGTAGATCTTTTTTTTTGTCTAGATTGTGTAGCTTCAAAGGAGATTTCTCTTGTGCACCTCTATTACACGTAAAAAGAAACTATATATAGTTAACAAAAGGAAATGAGAAAGTTTTAGAGAACTTTTATTAGAATATGCATCTTCGCTCTTGAGAACGGCGAAAGGATGGAAAAATATGCATTATAGAATTATTAGCCATCTTCTGTATTACAATTCATATGTTATTTTTTGTTAGTGAAATTTACCTTTTCTGTGTGGTAGTGCGAAAAGTTTGGCGAGATGTTCTTTCTTTGGTTCTTTTCATACTTTCTGTATGGTTGAGAAAATTCAACATTTTGCGCGCAATGTGACAGAGAAGGATTTGACTCTGGTGGAAGAAAGTTATTTTTTTTTTTTGGACATGAAAAATGCATCGTGATTTGAAGAAGGCAGAGTGAAAAAAAACTCAGGCATTCAATGGAAGAATATAGCGCATGTCATGGCTTAAATGGAGATGAGATTGATGAAGAAGAGTGAAACTTTATGATTTTCATATAACTTTTAGTGTGCGCAGAGAAAATGCAGTGACTTTATTTCATGCAAATTATATTCGTAGGGTTTCCATATTTATTAGTTATATGTATATCTGAGTCTTGAATTTGCAATTTAACTTGTATAAATCTTACAATTTCTCCTATTTAATTCATGCGATTCTTCTTGGCTTCCTCACCATATTGCCAGATGGTCGGAAAGGTTGGAGAATAGAAGTGCTGGCGTTGAATAAAAATTGCACTCATGGAGTGTATTTGGCTTTTTTTTTGGTGCCAAGAAGCGGAAAAATGATCAAGATGTTTTATGATGAGCGCAAGGTCCTCTTTGTCTTTCTATCTCTTTATTGCATTTTAGCTGAAGTATATTTCCTGCTAATTTCTTCTCTTACTAATTCTCCTCAATCAGTAATTGTAAGGCATAAATGCGAGTGTTAATGAAAAAGAAATTAGTTTCCTTCACCCCTTCAAAATGCTCTGTAATCTCTATATAATGAAAGGAGAATGAAGGGAAAATGCATAAAACATTAGATGAAGAGCTCTTCACAGTGAAAAAAAAATCATGGTGGAAAGTCGATGAGACTTTGTGTACTTTGTAATTTAACATTATTTTTTGTGTGTATATTTTTGCAGACATGACGCTATGCAAAAGAAAATAAAAGAAAACCATCTAATTAATATGGAATTTAATTGAGAAATATTGCTCTTGGTCAAAGTCATTCTTGGTTTATGGAATAAATGAGAAAATGTTTGCTTGTGCTGCACATGAATTTCTTCAACTAAATTTTCTCTTAAATTCTCATTTTTTCTCATATTAAACTCCAAGTTTCTACTGTCAATATGTGTCTCAATGATGATGTTTCTGTAATTGAAAATGTCAATTTGTATAAAAGCTATTTTCTAACTCTCTTGTGTCTAACAATGTGACTTTTTGATAAATGATAACCACGAGAAATCTAATGTTTGTGTCAATAGAGATGATTTAGAGTGGAAAGACGTGAACTAGGACAAGAGCGAGAGCATGCTTAACCACTGTCATAGTGCAATATATATAGGGATTGTAGTTGACGAAGTGTGTGCGAGCGAGAGAGAGAACTTTGTGAAGTCACTCATTGATAATTTGCATTCATCAAACATTCAGATATTGACACAAGAGGACTGGAATGTGGTGCTCTTCAATGGCATGGAAAAGACCAGTCACTGGGCAGCGCTGTACTTCGTGGCTCTGATGACCTTTGGCAACTACGTCCTCTTCAACTTACTTGTTGCTATCCTCGTGGAGGGATTCAGCTCTGAGGTGAGAGGGAATTTAATTACGAAATCATGGCCCATTTTATGCTCTCCACGATGTTGTTAAATTGAGTTTAAGCTGAGCTCTTTCGCCGGGGCGGTTTTTCAGGCCCGCCAAGTGTTCGTCAATGTGCCAATTTCATTTGCATAACCCTCGCGAAAATCCCATTTTCACAGATAAAGTTGCACACACACTGTGTCCCATTCACTACGCGGAACTAAGGGAGAGATAATCCGCGAAAATAACGATTTCAGTGATTTCTAATACTCTAGGCACCTTGAAAGTACCTCAAAAAATGCTTTTCTTCCATTGCTTAAACTCAAATAAAAATTTTCACAATCTAATCTTGGTTCTGCCGATTTGGAAAGTAGTTTAGGTTCTTGAAATGCTTGTATTTAATATTATGAAAACAAATTTGAACTACAGAAGCATTATATTTGATTCCTAAGCAGTAATATCTCCCCCTTTGGCTTGATTTTTAAACCAGATTTCTCATGATCACTTCTTATCCTTGACTGTGAAACGGTGTGTTTGCAATTGTATTTCCTCTAGGATAAAAGACAAATTCAATTATTGCAAAGTGTGTCTCAAAACGCCTCCGTAATCTCATTCATTTCCCTCTCTTCTTTCTCCCCGAAATTGCTCAATAAGTTGTTTAGACGATACATTTCGCTTCTAGCTTTCTCCCTGTGACTTCTTCATCCTCACTCACAGGGTTGGGAGGATGGAAGAGGGATGAAAGAAGACGATATTGTTGAAAAAATCCAATTAGACGAAATTGAATATTTGCCCTCTGTTCCTCATCATTTCTGTCGTCTCTCTTCTTTGCCAGCGCAACGAGCGTCGTGAGCGCGAGCAACGCGAGTTGGTGAAGAAGTTGCGTGAGGAGAATCTCTCGGAGAATATTAATGACATCTACGATGACATTCGGAGCTTCTCTGAGTCCACAACCACCAGCGACAGCTATCAGGAGATGAAGAACAAGTGGCACAGCGCCGAGGAGTTGAGGAAGAATCGTGACTCCGTGGCGGAGCCAAAATGTAACATTCAGAAGCAGAAGTTGTTGCAGCCAAAGTCGGACTACTCAAGCGATTCGCTGGCCAAGGCGATTGTGCCAAGCAGGCAATTTGACCGGGACGCCGCCAGCAATTCGTCGTTGCGGGTGAAGCCAAACAGAAGTCACTGCGAGGTGTTGAAGCTGGACTGCATCAAATTGAGCGAACCGCCGACAATAACGACAACCGCAGCCACGCCACAGGACTCGCCCAACACAACAGAGACGAGCAGCTTCAAGCCATGGGACGATCCGAACTTCGACAGTGCAGACAAACAGTCGGTAAGGATAATTCAATTTGCGCATTTCTCCATTCGCTCTTCTGCAATTTCACTCGATTATGGAAATTCTGACCAATATATTCATGGCAATTTTCACTGTCTCTTCTTCTGACTCTCTATTGGCAAAGCATTGGCCTCATTGGAATTACAGTTGCTGCCAATTCAATAAAGCATTTTAGGGATTAATAAGGAGACATTTCTACCAAAATTGCCAATTTGAGCTTTAATCATTGCTAAAAGAACTAAATCAATGGTCAAAAAATCGAATATTCATTCCAAAATGTAAGAATCGCCAATAAAGGAGCCCTATTTCTCCGGTAGCCACTGTATAACGACCAAGTGCTCTTTTTCTGACTCTGTTGGTAAAGCATTGGCCCCATTGGACATGTAATGAAGTGCACTTTTTTCTTGCAGAGCCAAAGCATTCCGTCTCTCTTGCAACCGCCGTCTCTCCTGGGATCACTCAAGTTGCTGGACGAGAAAGTTTATCCCGATGGGGTGTCAATTTCGCAAATGGACCTCAAGTCGAAGAATCCGAAGAGTCTGGGCGGCGAGGGTAATCTGGAGGCGGGCGTTTCTGTGCAAGAGGAGCCAAAGGCCGGTCAGGGTGAGTGCGAGGGCGGCAGTTCAACATTCCAGCGCACATCGAGCTTCAAGCGCTTCAACAGGTCCAGCTCGAAGCGCAAGAAGGCCAAGACAAAGAGTGAGAGTGAATCTGGCGATGTGGTGCTGAACAATGGTCACCAATTGGCCTCTGTCAGTGCCGCGACGCTGTCGGCGAAGCAGAATAACGTGGCACAGCAGATGAGACGCTCGCATCCTGGCCTCCAGGCGGCGCACAGGATTCAGAATGACACCAAAGACAATCGCCTGAGTCCGCAGAACTCCTTCAGACGTCCATCGTCGGCCTCCCTGCGGCGCGCCTCGTGCATCTACAACAACGCCCATCTGTATCACAACGTGAGCCGGCGCTCGTCCATCAAGAACTACCCGAGCCCCAACAATCGACGGCGGATGTCCTCAATTGAGCACGCGTACGAGAAAGTGTCGAACATCAACATTTATAACTTTGAGAACCAGCAGCGACTCGAGGACCCGCGCAATTCCAAGATAAATCTCGAGATGCTGCAGAAGTCCATCTCCAACATCCACATTCCCGCCAATCAGGAGGTGGCGACGCAACAGATGGCCCGAGACGAGCACAGGCCTAGATTGAAGCGGATTATCGAGCACTTCAGCTCGAGGACGTTCACCGAGGAGAGAGACGACTTCTCGCTCTACATCTTCCCACCGGACAACAAGTGAGTGCCGAGCATATCTCGCATTATCCATTGCCTTCAAGAGTGTATTTGAGTAATTGCTCTTGTTATCAAGGGGGAAATAATGCTTGTCTAATATCTCTCTGCCTTGTTTCGAATGCAGATTGCATTCTGGCATTTTTTTGTCGTCATCCAATCAACAGAATCCAAAGCAGGGTTAATCGAAATATTTGCAATGCAAAATTAATTGGTTTCCATAGGAAATTATTTTCTAATTCCGTCACCTGAAGCGGCATCAGTTATATCTGTATATTGAATTGATTTTTTCGCTTCTCTTCTGATCAGTGATGATGAATCTTTTATAGTAATTCCCATTTAAGGGTCATTAAATTGACAAATTGCAGAAATAGCGATAAAAAATATTGCAGCGAATATCAATATAATTTGCTACAAGCGCTCAAAATACATAAAACACTCATTTGTCAATGGGGGAGAAATGCATGACAATTAAAAGCAATATTTTTTGTGTTCTTCGGTGAAACAATGCAATGAGAAAAAAAACACAGCATAAATGCTTAACAATTGCACGACACGAAATGGAAAGCTGCACAACAATCAATTTACTCAATTCATTAATATTTGCACTATTTGGGATAACAGAGGGATTGCAGCAGAAATTAATAAATCCGCCCTCATTCTGTGATGCTTCTGCTGTCTCTTTGTGTAGGTTTCGCGGCGTTTGCAGCTGGTTTGTGAATCAAAAGTGGTTCGACAATGTGATCCTATTGTTCATCGCCCTCAATTGCATCACACTGGCCATGGAGCGCCCCAACATTCCGCCCACGAGCTCGGAGAGAATCTTCCTCGCCACCGCGAACTACATCTTCACCGTGGTGTTCACGGCCGAGATGTTCATCAAGGTGGTGGCGACGGGCATGTTCTACGGCCACGACGCCTACTTCACGTCCGGCTGGAACATCATGGACGGCTCGCTGGTGATCATCTCCATTATCGATCTGCTCATGTCGCTAATAAGCGAATCCAGTCCGCGCATCTTTGGCATTCTGCGCGTCTTCCGGCTGCTGAGATCCTTGAGACCACTGAGGGTGATCAACAGAGCGCCGGGACTGAAGCTGGTCGTGCAGACGCTGCTCTCCTCGCTGCGCCCCATCGGAAACATCCTGCTGATCTGTGTCACGTTCTTCGTGATATTCGGCATCTTGGGTGAGTCTTTGTTCTGGTCAAATGAGAAAATCAATAGTAATTTATCGAGAATTGCTGATGAACTATAATTAATATTTTTGATGTGCATTGTGTCAATTCAAAGCTATCGCAGAGCCAATTATATAAATATTTATTTATAATTTTAATGGGAAGAATTAAATATGCAAAATTTGAATAGAGATAATCAATAATTCGTTTTTCCCACAAATTTCAATTCAAAAATAAACGAGAGATCATTAAATGACGAGATATTCGGGAAGTTAATCTGAAATCACGGGCGAAATCGGGACTTTTGCGGAACTCTAATGAGGCGGAATGGAAGGAGAGAAAGCTCAATATAATCATGTGTCCATTCGACAGGCGTTCAGCTGTTCAAGGGGACGTTCTACTACTGCGAGGGCGAACACATAAAAGGTGTCAAGAACAAGACGGATTGTCTGTCAAATCCCAATAACGTGTGGATCAACAGGAAGTACAATTTTGATGACTTGGGCAAGGCTCTGATGTCACTATTTGTCTTATCCTCACGAGACGGATGGGTCAACATCATGTACACTGGCCTGGACGCCGTGGGAGTCGATCAGCAGGTCTAATGATGATTAATTGACCCTCATTTTGAGATTTCACTTAACAATTTTCCACCCACTCAATTTGCCACCCACCCAAAATTTGGCATTCTTTCCACCTCACTGTTCTGTGCCTCCTTCCCCTTTTGCAGCCCATCGTGAATTACAATGAGTGGCGCCTTCTCTACTTCATCGCGTTCATTCTACTCGTGGGATTCTTCGTGCTCAACATGTTCGTCGGCGTCGTGGTGGAGAACTTCCATCGATGCCGCGAGGAGCAGGAGAAGGAGGAGAAGCTGCGAAGGGCCGCAAAGCGTGTCAAACAACTGGAGAAGAGTCGCAAAAGTGAGTTATTGTTCATCATCGGGTATCACAACCATTCCACCCGTCGCGGGGGTGAAAAAAAAAGAAAATCCCTCTGAGACACATTTGCCAAAGACAAACTTCGTCATCATTGGGCCTGATGACGGAGAAAAGTTTCCACACTCTTGCCCAATTGGGGGGAAAATCAAGACAGCTATCAGACCACTGAACTCTGATGTTTTTTTTTTTTAGAAATTATTAACAAATTAGGCAGATACATATTTACATGTTGGTGTGTTATTTTTTGGTGAATCCGTTAAAAATGGAACAGACAACTTAGATGTAAACGGTATAAATCTCCTTTATCTTTTACACACTTCACACACTAAATTCTAGAACACGCAAGGAGAACACAATTAGGATTATTAAAGGATTTACTTCATTTCCTTATCAATCTGCTAAAATATAAGCTTTTTTGTGACATTTTTGGCAGAGGAATTTTCAGCATAATTTTCAAGTGAAATTGACTGGAAATTGATGAGAATTCGCATAGATTTGATTCAGTCAATTTCAATTTGTAGGAAGAAGACAGGATTTTTCTTTGAATGTCTCCAATGGAAGACGAATGAATAAATTGATCAATTGAAATTCATGAGTTCTGAGTGAAAATTGTTCAAGTTAAATCCTTTTTATTGATTCAGATTTCTTCCAACTTTCTTTTCACTGAATTTGTTTGCATTTAATCAATTGCCTCACAAATGACTTTTCTTTGCCACTATTTCTGATCGAATTAATCTTTTTTTTAAGTCTTTTAGTGACAATTAATGGTTTGAAGAATTTACAAGATTATTTCCAATCACAAATTAGTCGTACGCGATTATTCAATTAATTTCATGAAACTACTTCTGAAAATTTCCTCTGCAATCACTTTATATAGTTTTTTCTCCCATTCAATCAATTATGCTGTAAAAAGTGCAACAGCAGATTAAACAGCAGGGAAACACTGAATATTTGCATGCAAAATCCACTTAATTGCTTTGCTGGCGACACTTTTGCTCGCTTCTTCGACGCTCCTCGCGATTGCCGATAAGCTGATGGCTCTTCACTCCGCAGGAATGAGCATTCCGCCGTATTACACCAACTACTCGCCTCTGCGGCTGTTCGTGCACAGCGTAGTGACGTCCAAGTACTTCGATCTGGCGATCGCCGCTGTGATCGGCCTGAACGTGGTGACGATGGCGATGGAGTACTACAAGATGCCGATGGCGCTGGAATATGCGCTCAAGATCTTCAACTACTTCTTCACGGCCGTGTTCATCCTCGAGGCCATCATGAAGCTGGTGGCTCTCGGCGCGAAGATCTACCTGAAGGACAAGTGGAACCAACTGGACGTGGCCATCGTCATCCTGTCCATTGTGGGCATTATCCTGGAGGAGCTGGAGACGAACATTATCCCCATCAATCCCACCATCATTCGCGTAATGCGCGTGCTGCGTATCGCTCGTGTGCTGAAGCTGCTGAAGATGGCGAAGGGAATTCGCGCGCTTCTGGACACAGTCATGCAAGCTTTGCCACAGGTCAGAACCGTCCTCCTCTTGAGAGAGAAAGCTTGAATTGATCCTAATCCATGGCTTTTGCTCTCTGTTCCGCAGGTCGGCAATTTGGGCCTCCTTTTCTTTCTGTTATTCTTCATATTTGCCGCTCTGGGAGTTGAGCTCTTCGGACGCCTGGAGTGCTCGGATGACGTGCCGTGCCAGGGTCTCGGGGAGCATGCTCACTTCGCCAACTTCGGAATGGCGTTCCTCACGCTCTTCCGAGTGGCCACAGGCGATAACTGGAACGGCATTATGAAAGACACGCTGCGCGATGACTGTGACGACGCGGCGGACTGCGTGCGGAACTGTTGCGTCAGTACGGTTATCGCGCCCATCTTTTTCGTTATCTTTGTGTTGATGGCCCAATTTGTGCTGGTCAATGTGGTGGTGGCGGTGCTGATGAAGCACCTGGAGGAGAGCCACAAGCAGATGGAGGACGAGATTGAGATTGACAATCAGCTGGAGCGGGAGTTTGAGAATCGGCAGAAGGAGAAGGAGGACCAGGAGCTGTGCATGCAGCTGGAGGCGGAGACGAATAGTCTGCAGAAGCGTCCTCTGGCCAAGGTGTCCTCCCTGCCGTCGAACTTCACGTACAGCACGCCCGTGTTCGAGCGGCGCTACTCGTCGCAGCGCCGCCAGACGATCCAGTACTTCCAGCAGACGCTGGGCATGGGCTCGGATCTGAGGAACTACAATGCGGCGGTGTTCAACAAGAAAGGGCGACATTCCACGGACGAGGGCGACGGCAAGTACAGCTGCGTGAATGGATTTGAGTTCGCCGATCAGCAATTTGCGCGCGGAAAGTTCCACAAGAAGAGATCGTGGAAGCCCAGGCTGTCTCAGGACAGATCTTTCGATGAGGAGCCGGCGGATGAGGTGCGCCCCAGTGAGGCGCACTCCACCCAAGATATGCCGTCGCTGGACAAGCGCGAAGACGTGGCGCAGCGATCGGCGTCGACGAAGACGCTGACAAAGAGCTTCACGGTGGACCGCGAGCCGGAGCTGATCCTGCTGCCGGAGAACATCAGCGGCCTGGGGGATGAGAAGACACTGTCCGAAGTGAGAAAGTCCAATCCCTTCCTCTCTAATCGCTCCTTCTCCACAGACACGGGCAAGTCGTACCTGAGCGTGCCGAAGCTGCAGCCGCGCAGTCGCTCCGGCAGCACAAAGCAGCTCTTTAAGCAGGCCGCCGTGGAGGAGGACCACGACGTGGACGAGAGCACTCTGCTCCTGCCCACGGCGGGCCTCAGTGCCGGCGGCGCGGCGGCGGCCGGCACCAAGGACGGTACGGATCTGATCGAGGAGGAGAAGATCCAGGAGGACGAGCAGCAGGCGCCCGCCGAGGAGACCAAGAAGTCAGACTCGACGGAGATCCTGAGGATCATCTCCGAGAGACGGCGAATGGAGAGGAAGGACACTGACGACAGTTCAGGCTACAATGAATTGCTCATTACCAAATCCCCGGAATCGTCGGCAGACACCTAGGCGCTTAAGGTTTTAGGCTAAGAAGTTGAGTTTTTCTTTCCAGGATTGAGGACAGAGTTCAGCATGTGACGGTTTTAACTCGAATTTACTTGGTGTTCAGCGAACAGAAGAGCTGGAAAATGCATGTGTCTTCAGCTAAAGGATATGTGCTAAGGCAAAAAAAACAATATTTAGCTAAATTTTTAGCTAATTTCCAGTATATTTGTCAATACTTCTGCTCAAAATTGAGGTCAATTTTTGTGATTTTATACTTTCTTCGTTCGCTTTGTTTTAAATTTAGGTGTTATTTTGTTACACTTTGGCAAAACTTCCGCGAGAAGCGCTATTGTAGCTCGAAAATGTGCTCAAATTTGTGCTTTTTAGAGCACATTTTACAACAATTTGAAGAATTTTGCGTCCTGTTCGCTGAATTTGCTCAAAAATTGGAACTTCTGTGCCAAGGAAGACGAACTTTGCTCTCAATCCGATCTCGTTGACTCTCTTTCTCTCTATGTAGGCGAAACTCTATTTAGGCGAATGATTCTTTTGATATTCAGTGAAAAGAGAGAAAAGAGTACGTTCAATGGCAAAGGTTTCTCTATACGCAAAATGGGATTAAAATGAAAAAAATAAATAAATAAAACATGTGTAAAGTTGTATAAATATGGGATACAAAAGAACGAAGAAAATCATACTCTAGTGCTATTTAATGAAATTTGCCTTTCCTCTACTTTAGATTTTTACACAATTGAATTTGAAACATGTTACATATTAAGATCTATATTAACTCTAAACATAGGGAAGTATTATAAACAAAAAAAGGTCTCTACGTAAAATGGTGAGGAGAAGGAGATACAATTTAGTGACAATGTAGTTAAAAGAGAGAGAGTCTCTTTAGATGAAAAGTTGAGGTATTTTGTGGGTTTTCTGTTTAGGACAAAGAGAACTTTTAGGGTGGCGTTAGGGAAAAATGATTTAGAGGGAGAAAAGAAGTCTCTTTGACGATAGAGAAAGTCTGTCAATTAATTAATTAAACATGAAGTAAAATAAAAACAGGAAAAATGGAGCCACAAATGTGTGTGAGAAAAAATGAAATCTTTGACCAAAACTGATTGAAAAATCTCTGAAACGACAATTAATAGCAATAACACAATAAATGATGACAAACCAAGAGGAATATTGATGTAAAAACAAAACTGTGGGGTTGAAAAGCGCCAAAGGAAGTTCATCAACCGCAAAGTGGTGGAGGAAGAAAAAAAAACAGTCATTAATATATTTAATCAGGGATTTTATGGAATAAATAACTCTTGATCTGTTTATTTTGTCAATCTTCATCTGTCTCTTCGCAGACTTTTGCTCACGAGAAACAACAACAAACAGAGGATTTAGTATTGTTTTTTTTTTCTAAAATAGAAATTTCATGACAAGCGTCAGTATTACAAGAGAAGACAAACAGTTGTTAGGTTGATGTGAACAAGTTATTAAATGTATTTAAAAGAAACAAAAAAAATGCGAGAAAATCAGAAAAATTTAGTAACAATTATATTATTAAAATGACAATCTTGTAGACGCCTTTTAGAGACTCTATGAAGACAAATATTTAGAGAAGGTGGAGAAAAAACGATGTTGATGGAAAAAAATATAGTGAGAAAAAACTTGTAATTTTAATTCTAGAGACCACTGAAAGTATTCTTTTTGGAGGCCCAAAAGAAAAAAAAAGAAATTTAGGAAGGAATGTGACTTTTATTGGGATTTTCGGAAGGACGAAGAAGAAAAAAAACAATAATTTCAACAACTCAGTGTCTAATAGTGAAAGACAGGATTATAGAAATCTACACTATGTATGTTTTACTCCTTCATCCTCTTCTTCTTCTCTCTCTCGCTCTCGACAGCAGAGATGATGACGAGATGTTGTAGAGAATTTAACTGAATTTACTAGTCTTACGGGAGGATCTTTTGCTATATACGAAAGGATAAGGAATTATAAACACACGAAATGTCTAAAAACACACAAAGAAAAAGGAGGAGATGAAAAAAAAAACTTTCTAAACTCTATTGTTAAATTTTTCGAATTCATCTGTGATATTACGACACGATTTAAGTTGTATTTCTCATCCCCTTTTTCCATTATTGTGAACTTATCAGAATCTCTTTGTAAAGTACTTCTGTCGACCAAAAAAGAAAAAAGGACTCACAAAGCACTGTGTAAATAGGGAGATTTATCACTTTAGAAACACACACCACACACACCAACAGACTCTCGCCCACAGAGTAATTCATAGGTCATAGACAAGGGTGAGAAGCGGAAAAAAGTGTACATTTGTTGTCAAGTAAGCAACTGATCACAGGATCAGTCTAGAGGATGTTATTAGTTTTGACTGACCGTCCGATTTGTGCTTTAGTTGCTCTCCTTTCCATGGAAAGACGCGCGCGCGCGCGTGGAAATCCACTCGCGCACCTCTCGAAAGCAATTTCCTTCTGTTCGTGTGTACAACTTAAAAAAAAAAAGAAAAGCGACCTAAAAGTGAAGTTTTGTGTATAAAAAATACTGGAAAAGGCTTTGATGCTTTTTCCTCCTATCAAAAGATGAGGCAAAATCACAATTCAGCAACACTGTTTAGATAGAGAATGTGAAAAAGGTGTTGGACAAGTACTCCAATTTAGAAGCAGAAAGAGTAAAACTTTAATTGACAAGAGAAAGTGAAAAAATTGTAGAAGAAATAAAAAAAAGAATAGAATTGTTGTTAACTTGGCGCTTCGTTATTTTTTCACTGTGCCTTTTTCTATTCTGTATCATGTAATAATGTGAATGATAAAAAGAGAAAATTATTAATTGAATTGTAATTGAGGAGATGTGAAGGAAGATTGATGAGAAGAACATTAAATAAAGTAGAAAAATCGTTATTTTTTCGCTTCATTTCACGCATTGAGCATATGCACGATGCGAGAGCATTTAAATTCTTCGCGGTCACGAAACAGTGCCATCTAGTGGCAAATGCTGGTGATGACAGCCCCAAGTTTGAAACAGGTGTCAAAAATTCCCTACAAGACCACGCTTTTTCGGCAAATTTTTCAATTTTCCGCAATTTTCTCAGGAATTTCCCATCCAAAATAGATCTTCAGCTAGTTCTCTATAAGAAGGTAATCTTGGAGGTGAAGAAGGAGGAGGACAATGTCTTTGCCGACTTCCTCGAGATTCGCTGTGCTGCAGCTTGTTGGCGATTATGAGCACAAGAAGTCCAAGAAGCCCCCAGACAATGAGCAGAGCAGTGATAACAAGGCTAAGCCGGCTAAGTTGAAAAAGGAGAAGCAGAAGAAGGTCATGCCAGTTGATGAGAAGACCAAACCGGAGGAGAAGCCCAAAACAGTACAAACAAAGGTTCGTTGTTGTTTTGCCGGACGATTTTCGCTTTTATATGACTTTGATTCGCTTATCAGCAGAAGAAGCTCGAGAAGAAGAAGAAAAAGCAGGAGGAGTACATCACGGAGAAGCAGTGGACCAAGTGGCAGAAGAAGGATGCTGAGCTAGTGGATGGCATCTTTGAGAAGGACCTGAAAGAGGCGCTCTTGCAGTCGCAGATCGAGTTCGAAAAGCAGCGCGGGAAGAAGGAGGATCCCAAGCCGGCGGAGGAGATCAAGAAACCCAAGAAGGCCAGGAAGATCACCTTGCAGGAGTTTATGGCGCAGTCAGAGGCAAAGGAGGCAAAGCCAGCGAAACCAGAGCCTCCAAAGACTTTCTCCTTCGAGGAAATCGACGACAGAGCTCGTGAGATTGTCCAGAAGGAGCAGTACCGCAATATGGGCTGCTCTTCAAGCGGCCAGGAGGTGGTGCTGAAGATCGACGACTCGCCCAAGCCAAGTCCCACCAAGGAGACACGGAAGAACAGCCCGGAATCTCTGGAAGCCATTGTCGCCGTCCTGAAGGCGGAAGTCAGCGAGTGGCAGGCGAAGTACGAAGGCGCCGCTAAGCTTCTGGAGGAGCAGAGCAAGCTGATCAACCTGCAGCTGACCAATTCCACCACTGAGAGTCTGCTGAAGAGGATCGACGAGCTGCAGAAGCAGCAAGTTGAGCTTTACCACGAGATCGGGAGTCTTCACGTGCTTCTGGAGCAGGAAAGGTCCAAGAATCAGGCCGACGGATCGAAAATCAAGGTGAGTTGGAGGGAAACTCTTGCAGGGCATTGAAAATACATTGATCTTTCATCTTTGCAGAATGCCGGAGTGAAGAAATCCGTTCGATTCTCCGCCGCTTAATCGTCAAATTGCGCCCCAGCAAAAGACTCCAGAAGAGCGAGTGAACATTGTGATTGCGAGAAAAGACTGCTTTTGGAGCTCCTTTCGAACTCAACAAATCTATGATTGTATAGTATTTTGTACAGAAGCATTTAAACTGAATCAATCCATCTGCTTTGATTGCCTGAAAGCTAATTATTTTGTAAGAAAAGCAAATACATTGATGAGCAAAAGGATCAAATTCTTTTTAACAATCAGGAGCGTCAGGATTATCAGCGAGAATCAGTAAGTTCAAAATCCACTTTACACACTTATTAATATTTATTCTTGTCTTTTATTCATTACTTCTATAAACACTAATATATTAATTACACCACATTTTAAAATTGTGACTGCAAATCAGTTGTAAAATTTCTCTAAACTGTAGATAAAAAAAAGGATTTTCCGAAATTATAAGGAAGTTTGAAGCGCCATTTTTCGAGAAATCAAATCATCCAAGAAATGATAAAAATGCCATTAACACAAGATTTCTACATATTTTCTCTCCTTTGAAAGCATCAATAATAATCATTTCATTATTCCTGGCTTTAATTCAACTATTGTATTTCTAAATAAAGCGACCGAAAGCTTTAAGTAACTCAAGAACTAAATAAAATTAGCATCACTTATTGCATACTTTGATCGATTTTTGCAAATATATCACATGATAAGAAACTATTAATATTGGAAAGACGATTAAAGTTAGTTGAGATGTGGAAAGAATTATTAGTTATAAAGTGTTAATGTTCAGGAATAAAGTGGAAAGAAAATATCTTCGAGACATTTAACAAGTTGCTAAACATGAAGAGAAATTGTCATTTTTTTTCATGAGTGATAAAGAAAGCAAAGCTTTCTTTCTATTCTAACATGTTTTTTTTTTATGTGGAAAGAGATTTCTCTATCAGAAAGGATGCCAATGTTATAGAAGAGTTGTTTATATAGAGACAGATAAGCTAGAATTTCACTGACTTCCCCCGAAGTTTTCTACTCTGGCTTTGGTATTAAGTTATGCTTCGCCGGCTGCAGCAATTCCTGAACAATGTTCTGCACCATTTCGCTCAGCACGTCCTTGAGCGCATTCCAGTCACTGGAAAAAAGCACAATTTGGCATCTTTAGACACAATTCCAGGCTCCGCAAAGGAGCTTCTCTCACCTCTGGCCGGGCTGTGCGCACATTTCTGCGTAGTATTTGATCTTGGGCTCCGTTCCGGACGTCCTCAGCGTCACCACGGTGCCATTCTCGAAGGTGAACGTGATCATCTGCGAACTCCTGCTCACCGGAAACACAGCCTTGCCGTCGCTCTGCGCAGTGTCAACGCCCGTCGTCAAGTCCCTCACGTACTTGATGGCGTACTTGCCGTCGAGAATGCTCGTCGGGTACTGAAAAAGAGGATTTGCTGGTCAGTGAACTTTTGAAGCGCGTCAAGACTTTTTTTCTTACGGTGTTCTCGCCGCGGAAGTTGCGAATCCTCTCGAAGATCTGCACAATGACGACGGGATCGTAGCAGAGGAAGTAGGAAGTGAGGGTGTAGTGAAATCCGTACTGCCTGTAGAGATCCTCCAGCTTCTCCGTCAGCGATTTGTTCTCCTCCTGGCGCAAGAAGCACGTCATCGTGGCCAGATGACAGGCAGCACTCACGCCATCCTTGTCCAGCACTGTGGGCGAAAACATGAAGCCAATGGCCTCCTCGAAGGCGAACAGCACACTCTTTCCCTCCGCCAGCAACTCCACTGACTTGTTTCCCATCCACTTGAAGCCCGTCAGCGTCTCGATGAAGTGCATTCCCTCCGCCTTGGCCACGGACGCCAGCATCTTCGAGCTCACGGTGCTCGCGAGTAGATAGCAATCGTCGCGCACACCGTCTGGATGCGTTCGCTTCCAGCACTCAATTGCCCACCAGCCGAGCAGCGCGCCCAGTTCGTTGCCCGTGAACACCTTCCATTCGCCGCTCGCGGGATTCTTCTCGGCGCACGCGAGCCTGTCCGCGTCCGGATCATTGGCCAGGATCACGCCGCACTGCGACTCATTGGCCAACTTGATGCTCAGCACGAGGCTCGACTTGCCCTCCTCGGGATTCGGGAATTGCACTGTGGGGAACTCCGGGTCTGGATCTCTTTGCTCAGCCACGGCCAGAGGCGCACTGAGGCCGGCCACGGCGAAGCCGCGCTCGACGAACGGCCAGCCGACGCCGTGCATGGCGGAGTAGACGAATTGGACGTCGCTCCGCGCGTTGTAGTCGTCGATCAGAACTCTGGGGATGTTCTTCAGCAGCTTCTCCATGTACAGCGCCACCATGTCGTCATAGGGATCGGCGAGGAGCGGCGAATCGAGGTTATCCACACTCCAACTCTTCGGCCAGGGCGCTAGATTGTTCAGGATCCCGCTCTGAATGCCCTTGTCGTGCGGCGAGATGATCTGCGCGCTGTTCGTCCAGTAAACCTTGTAGCCGTTGTCGTTCTTGGGATTGTGCGACGCCGTCACCATCACGCCGGCCAGACACTGCTTCTCCAGCACCGCAAACGGCACCATCGGCGTGGCCACAGTCTTGCCATAGAGAAAGACTGGAATGTTGGCGCGCAGGAAGATCGAGGCGGAGATCTCAGCGAAGCGTCTGCTCTGATGGCGTCCGTCGAAGCCGAACACGACGCCGCGGCGCTGCTGCTCCGGCGCTGGATAACATTCCTGGATGTGTTTGAGCAGTCCCTGCGCCGTCTGCAGCACCACCAGCTCGTTCATGCCACTGAAGCCGGCCCGCATGGCGCCCCGCAAGCCCGCCGTGCCGAAGGACAGACGCGTGAGCAGCAGCACCTTCAGCTTCTCCCACTCGCAATCCTCCGCCAGACGCCGGATCTCCGCCAGCGTGACGTCGCACTTGTCCCACTCCAGCCACTGCGCGATCTTGTCATTCAGCTCCGCCGATCCGGAGTCGAAGTGCTGACCATTCGCAGTTTCCATTCTTCTCTGCAGAATCCTTGGAAGAATCTGCAAAACCGGCAAAAGCGCAATTAGCTTGAAACTGACGATGAAAAGCACCAGTATTTGACCGGGAAATCCTGCTCTTTCCGCCGTTCTTCACTCACAATCTGATTGCAGCGGAATTATCGATATAAACTCTCGTTCTTCACGATTTATAATTATTTATAAACAACACTTGTTTTGGCTTGTTTCGCGTTTGACATGAAGTTGATTTGTGTGTGTGTGAATTGTTGTTATTACACTGTAAAAGACGCCTTTCGAAGTTTTGCTCATTAAAGTGCAGTTGTAATGGAAAGTTTTGGTAATTCTTTTGTTGGTTCCTTCATTCTGAACATTCTAAACATTCTAAAATATTCTTGTAGTATTTTTCAAATTTTCATACCCAAGTTTTTATTGTATTATTGCATTTTTGGATCTTATGCATTTTATGATCAAATGAGCCAAATAATCAATTATGCCTAATTTTATATTTGTAACGAGTTGTTATCAGTTTTCACGATTTTCTCAGTAAATGAAAATGCTAAAAAGGATCAAAAATATCCTAAACTTCAGTGTTTTCTTAGTTTCTTCACAAAAACTTCGGATGTGAATTTAGAATGACGAAATCGCGTTTTTTCACTGATTTCATTTCGCTGTTATTTATTACACTATCACGATTATCACTACAAAATGTGCTCATTCGAATTCCACAAATGCATAATTTCTCAAATACAATCAATCCAATCCAATCGATCCAATCAAAGATAATGAGAAATGAGAATATTGCTGAGAAAATACCTTCAGAAGTCTCGCCACGTCGTGTGAAGTTAAACTGATGGCGCAAATCAAACTGCCCGAAGTAAATTCACTCAAATCTCCTTTGTCGTCACATTCGGGACTGATATCGAAGTTAAATATACTCAAAGAGAAAAATCCGGGAGTAATATTTGTGTTATTCCACGTCGAGTATTTCAATCGATAAGATAATGGCTCGAATTGCTGACGACGCTTTGAGCTGTTTCAGTGCCTCGTGAGCGCCAGTGAAGGCTGCACGACTTCGCCGAGCGCGAATTCCATGGCCAGCGAATGCTCTTCTCCGGAACAGTTGCGATCTGCTGCTGATCTGGACTTTGAGCGATGAGAGATGGTCGAGATCAGTTGAGAAACTGAGATAAGATTTGTGTATTTATCAAATTTATTCTCTATCTCGCTTATAAATTTTAGTTAATTCCTCAGATGTTTCACTTATATCCTTGTAAATGAACAGAATATCCTTTAGCTGGATCTTGAGTTTTGAATTCTTAATTTTAGCAACTTTGGCAGTGGTTTTAAAACCTTCTGGTATTCGAAAAGTTGGGAATAATCGGTTATTTTCAGCAAAAAAGTAAAAAAGAACCAAAGAAATAGAAAAGCAATTTACTAATCTCACTCAATCCTCATCCGAAGACTCTCCAGCCGCTCTCTCTGCAGGACGAATGGCAGGAAGCCTTGCAGCGTTCCGCAGCTGAATGCCAAAGTCCAGGAGATCTTCTCCACGCTCCGCGAGTTCCAGGCTGTGATCGTTGGTGATGTGAAGCAGGGCGTAAAACGCAAGCGCCACGCTCAGATTCTCTCTCATGAGCGGGCTGAGGAGTCTGGGCAGCGCCGTGTAGAGCTTCTGGAAGGAGATGACGGTGGCATTCTGCCCGCCCGTGGTCACGAGGTGCAGACAGCCCGTCTTCAGCTGCTTCATGTCCACGACTTTGGCGCGCTTTGCGAACGGCAACACGATGCGCTCGATCTTCTCCGGAGCGCCGGCGAAGTGCATCGAATACTGCTCGATCGCTTCCGGCGGCGCCTCCTCGCCCACCTCGCCGACGCCCGGCTCCGTGCCCGTCTCCGTGTCCGTGTCCTCGTTGGCCGCCACGTTGCTGCAGTAGCTCCTGTCCACGGGATTGTCGTAGTTGTACTCGTCGGCGATCGGCAGCTCCTGCACGGCGTCACTCTTCGCCTCGCGCACCGGCAATCCGGGCGCGAAGGAGTATTTATTGAACATGCTGCGGTCCAGCTTCAGGTCCGTGGGCAGCTTCAGCTTGTCCTTGTTCTCCCACTTACGCGGCGCATTCTTCCTCCGCGGCTTCGCGTCGGACTCACTCACGAACAGATCCTCCGGCTGGTCAGCGAAGTCCTTCGCGCTCATTTTGTCAATTACTTTTTGTCGGCGCGCGCGCTTCGGCGCCGACGCGGTGGAAACGAGGCTCACTTTAGGCGGCTTCTTGATCTTCCAATGCGACGGTCCGGCCCAGTATTGCGAGATCTTGTCCATCGGCCGGTAGGAATACTCCAGGCGACTGTGCTGCGCTTCAGTGGGGCGCAAGTCGCGGATGTGCACGGATTTGGGGCGCATTCCCTTGCACGCCATGATCGCCGCGCGATCGTCCTCCGTCAGCTCGCCCACGTCCGGCAGATCCGCCTCGTCGCACGCCGGCATATCGTCCAGATTGTCCGGCAGCGGTTCAACCTCGGCGTCCATGTCGAAGGCCAGCGACAGAGGATAGTCGTTGGCCGGCGCGGCTTGCATCATGTCCCAATCAGCCTCTCTGTAAGTCGAACAAATCCCCATTAATGCGGTGATCAGAAGAAGATTTCCCCATTGAACTTACTCATCTTCCTCAGCCGGTGTGTCTTTGATCTCGTAGTGTGAATACATCGGCCGCAGCCTGTCTCCCGGCTTCAGTTCCTCATAATACAGCGTGAACTTCTCATCCTGACTCCAGTCGTGCGGCTTCTTCACGTCCACTTTACCGGGATTCTTGCGCCGCAGCGGTTTGTCGGGGTCCAGATTGAAGATTCCATCTCTGTCCATCAGCTTGTTACACAGCAATCGTTTGGGATTCGAGATGTCGCCGAAGAAGGACCTGAATTGCGCCAGAATGGGATCCGGAAGTGGCACAGTCTCCAATTTGGCGTTAATTGTAGCCAAGTTGGATGTCACAGTGCTCCTGGGGCGCTTCTGACGCTTTCGCCTCGTTCCTGGAACGGCCAGAGATTGCTCCCCATCGTCAGCGTCGGTCTCCGCGGCGCCTCCTTCCCTGATGCTTCTCCTGCTGCCCAAGCCGGTCAGCAGGCGCTGAGATTTCTCGTACACCGAGTCCACACGCAGTCCGTAGAGCTTGGCGGACGCTTCAATGCCATATCCGGCTGCCTGGAAACTTCCCACGGCGCGATGATGCTTCATCACCAGATGATTGAAGCTATCGATCAAGGGAATGTTGAAAGCGTTGTCCTTTGTGAATTTCTACACACGGAAAAATGGACATAAACATAACAAAACGAACCACGAAAGGATCTCGAGAAAGACTCACATTCTCCCGGAACAGTTTCATCCCCAGCTCCAGACTCTCGCACTGTTCAACAGAAGTAGACGTGACTGAGGTGTCCATGAAGCTCCTCCTGGCGGACGCGCGCTCCTGCTCGTCATTATTCTGCGGGAGAAAATCAGGGAAAGGGATGAAAACGGGTGGAAATTGGCGGAAACCCTTTGTAACCCAGCAAAGTGAGGTTAACTTCCTTTCTTCACTCACATCATTCGGCGGGGCAGGAGTTTTGAAGCTTCCATTCACTGAACGTCTCAACGGGGACGACACCTCCATCGCTGCACTGCTCTTCCTCATCATTCTCATGGGAAATCAGAGAAAAGCGAAAAAATTCTCTCGAAACCTTCAAAGCAAAACACCGTTTTTTGACGCCAATTGCCAGCGCCACCAGTGGAGTTTTCAATACACTGTAAAAAGTTGGTTTCAGGATTTTAGCCAAGACACACTGGTACGCGGGTTTCGGACTTCCGAAAACATGTGGCGGTTTTTTGACAGTGTGTTCTCTAACCTAAAAAACTGCGTATCTTGCGGCGGATTTTCTGTGTGGTTTTTCGAGGAAAATTAGTTAAAACATGGGCAAAAGAGGAAAATTGAAGAAGAACAACACCAATCCTTTCGCGCAGAAGAAGAGAGATCGTCGGAATAATGGGGTAAGTGTGAGAAAATAGTGTTTTTTCATCCATGTCTCTTCAATGTTTTCCTTTTGCAGGGCGAGAGTGGACAGCGACCCGATCGGCGGTCTGAGCCTTACGAGGAGATCAAGAGAGAGAATGAGTCCTTCTTCAAGTACTACAAGCAACAGGGAATCGTGCCGGAGAGCGAGTGGGAGACTTTCGTGCAGACACTGCAGTCGAATCTGCCCACGGCTTTTCGCGTGACCGGCTGTCGCGGGGAATCGGAGACGCTGCTGGACATCATCAAGAGCGAGTACTTCACGGAACTGTTCAAGCAGGCGCAGGAGGGTGAGATGGCTGTGCAGAAGCCTTTCCCACTGCCTTGGTACCCGGGCGAGCTGGCGTGGCAGCTGCAGCTTTCGCGCAAGGACATCAGACGCTCTGAAGTATTCTACAAGCTGCACAACTTCCTGATTGCCGAGACGGCTGCCGGTAGCATCAGTCGTCAGGAGACGGTGTCTATGATTCCGCCCATTGTGCTGGACGTGAAGCCCCATCACAGAGTGCTGGACATGTGCGCGGCACCGGGCTCGAAGACGGCGCAACTGATTGAAGCGCTGCACGCGGAGATGGAGGAGACGAAGACGCTGCCCACGGGACTGGTGATTGCCAATGACATCGACAACAGTCGCTGCTACATGCTGGTGCACCAGGCGAAGCGCCTCAACTCACCGTGCTTCCTTGTCACGAACGAGGACAGCGAGCGCTTCCCGGACTTGCAGTGCACGAACCGGGAGACGGGAAAGATGGAAAACATGCAATTCGACAGGATTCTCTGCGACGTGCCGTGCAGTGGCGACGCCACGCTGCGCAAGAATCCGGACATCTGGACAAAGTGGAATCCCGCGCACGGCACAAATCTCAATGGGGTGCAGTTCAGGATAGCCAAGAGAGGCGCTGAGTTGCTGACGATTGGCGGGCGTCTGGTGTACTCCACGTGCTCCTTCAATCCCGTGGAGAACGAGGCGGTGATTGTGCGTCTGCTGAAGGAGTCCGAGGGCGCTCTGGAGCTGATTGACGCCTCAAATCTCGTGCCAGGACTGAAGTTCACGCCTGGAATGCGAAAGTGGGAATTGGCGGCGAAGGACATGAGTTTCTATGCAGATTTCCAGGCAGTTCCCGAGCAGTATCACACAATCCTGCGGCCGCAGATGTTCCCGCCTGAGGATGTTGAGAAGTACAATCTGGAGCGCTGCATGCGCATCTTGCCGCATCAGCAGGACACGGGAGGATTCTTCGTGGCGGTGCTGGTAAAGACTAGAGCCATGCCGTGGGCGGTGGAGGAGGAAAAGAGAGGCTCTCCGGCGGTGCCGCAGCGCAAAAAGCGCCGTCTCGGCGGATACAAAGAGGAGCCCTTTGTCTTCTTCCACGGCGACGAGGACATCTTCGCCTCCATCAAGTCCTTCTATACACTGCGCGAGGATTTCCAGCCCACATGTCTGCTAACGCGCTGCCACACGGGCAAGAAGAAGAACATCTACTTCAGCTCTGAGTCCATTAGAGACATTGTGCAGCTCAGCGGCGATCGCGTGAAGATCATCAACACGGGCGTGAAGGTGTTCGTGCGCTGCGACAACAAGAACATGTCGTGCGCCTTCAGGCTTGCTCAGGAAGGCTTGCCCAGCGTGAATGAGTTTGTGGGCAGCGACAGGAGAGTGCTGCTGGAGAGGAGTGATCTCGTGATGCTGCTGCAGAACACGGACCCGACGAAACCGCCCAAGTTGGAGGATTTGACGGCGGCGAGCCAGGAGAGGATTGCCGCCGTGACGCCGGGCAGCTGTGTGCTGGAGTATCGCGAGCAGAAGCTGCAGATCACGCTCGTGGGCTGGCGAGGAACCACGAGCCTGCGCGCGTACGTCGACCAGAGCGAAACTGTGCACATGTTGCGACTTCTGCGTGCGGATTTGTCGCAGTACGAGGTGAACAAGTTCCGGAAGCCCGCTGAGGAGGAGCAGAAGGACGATGAGAAGGACCAGAACGGCGCCAAAATGGGGTCCGAAGGCGACACAGACTTGCGCTGTTCAGCAGAATTAGACACGACTGAGGTGACAGTGAAGATCCCATGAAAAAAAGGATGGAAATTGGCGGAAACGCTTTGCAACCGACAAAGTGTCGATGCAATGCTTTTCCTTGTAATTTTCCGTTCATAGGAAATTCTCAGAGCAAATTCAAAATACCGCGGTTTTCGACGCCAAAGCCTCTGGCGGAATTTTGAGAAAATTGATGGAATTAAGGATGGAATTATCTAGCGAAAAATCCACAAAATGTCTATGAATGTTTGGATTAATCTTTGTTTTTTTTTTGTAGAAATCCAATTTATCGAATAAGAAATTTGATATTTCATACTTTAATAAATTGTTTTATTAAACATGCTCCTCAGGATAAAAATTTCAGGATTCGTTTTTTGCGCACGAAACTTCTTTCTCTTTTCCACGGACTCTTCCAACAATGCTTCGCGGGAGGAAGACATTGTGGCGCCATCTGCTTAGGCGCCAAAACACACACACACACTCTCGCACGCATTCCGCAAACGCGCCATTTCTACCTGCCCAGCACAATTTCGCCCTCAGTTTACCGCGAAATTCCACTGAAGACGGACGAAACTTGCCAGAAAACCTCGAAAAGAGACCAAAGTGGGTCAGAGTGAAAATGAAAAGTATCGTGATTGTTGCAGTTTTGCTGGTCATTGGCCACAACTTGTCTCCGAGTGACGCCAAGGTGAAGAAACTCTCAATCGCACCCACAATCTCTTGGTGAATTGCCTCATTTGCATGTCATTTGCATAGGTCCACGTTACCGTGTACTACGAGTCCCTCTGCCCGGACAGCATCAGGTTCATCTCCAACCATCTCTATCCGACCGTGCAGGATCCCGGCCTCAGGGACCAGATCGACGTGCTGTTCGTCCCCTTCGGCAAGAGCAGCGTAAGTTCCAAGGCGACTCTCATGGGCTTCTCCCACTGAATCTCGCGTGCGTTTCTCCTGTCCCTTCCAGTCCAGCCCCAACGGCGACACCGTGGAGTTCGAATGCCAGCACGGCCCGGCGGAGTGCGAGGGCAACAGAATGCAATCCTGCGTCCTCCGGCAGCTGCCCAACAATCCAGATGAGCAAATCAACTTCGTGGCGTGCCAGATGAACTTCCGAGCTGAGTCATCCGGTCGTGTCGTGAGTATTGGGCATTTAATGGGCGTTTTTTCTCCACTCAAAACAGTCTCAATCTCAGAATCGCGTGCGCGCATGGGTTCGAGAAAGTGTGATCGACTGATAATTGCGATAAAGATGCGCGTAAGCAGTGTGAAAAATGAAACGGAAACTTGTTAATGAAAAGTTAACTGCATATCTTTCCATTTAATTTTTCAAGAGTGTTAATTGAATTTTTCCGGGGACAATTTTTTGGGATTATGCAAATGTGTTTGCGCAATTTCTCGCATTGCTCTTCGCCTGACATTCTTATGCGTGGATTTATGAAGGCGTCGCGAAAGTCGCTTTTCGGGTTTCAACTTCTTTTGCTGAGCTGGAATTATACTGATTAAGATTAACATTAAGATCAGCAGAAAAAGCACGTGTGCAAAAATCAAGAAATTGAGCATCGAGGACTGAAAATTATGGTAATTTGATGATGGAAATTTTTGCTTTATTTTGAAAAGATTCATTTTCATCAATTTCAAGAGGATTTTTAATTGAAAATTAGAAGTTTATATAAGATTTCATGCTCAAAAATCCCAGTAGAATGTAAACCTTGGCAAAAACCGGAGTTATTCACATTTTTACAGTCTGAAGAATTTGCAATAATGGCAATCATTAAGAATTCAATCTCACTAATTAAGGTATTTCTGCAAATTCCACTCAATTGGCAGATAACGTGTTTTTGCTGCATTATTAAAGGAATTAATAATCACTCGAGAAGTTTGTCAATCGATGGAAACGTTCGTAAGCCAGTAGGATTATTGGGTTTCTGGGAAGTCTGGCGTATGGACTCTTGGACAGAGTCGTTATCTAACTTCTCAGGGGGCAATTAGAGTTATAAAAAGACTCTCATTTGCACCAATGACCATTTGTGCTATCTTATCTCCATCTCAGGTGATGTCTGATGAAACTTTTGTCGTTCTTTCAGTGCGCCGCGTCTTCCCATGTTAATTGGCGCAACGTGGAGGAGTGCTATGACGGTCGTTTGGGCACGAAATTGCAACTGGAGGCCGAGGAATTGACTAATGCTGTGCTGCCAAAGACGAACTTTGTGCCCACAATTGTGTACAATCACGTCTTCGATAAGACGCTGCACGAGAGATCTCTCCGGGAGTTCAGGACTGTCGTGTGCGAGATGCTAAAGTACGAATTCTCCGCTTGCCATTGAAATGCCATGAGAGAAATATAATAAATTGAATTTTTGCGCGCAAACTGGATTCCCATCACTTGAGGTCGCTCCACTCGCTGACTTCCACGCGCGTTCCACACGCAGTGACAGGTGGTAGTTTAGCGCTGAGGCGGCAGTGGCGCTGGTGTGGTGTGATTTTGGTGTTGTGCGAGGAAAATTATTGAAATTCGTTTGTATTTTGAGCAAAAGGCCATAGTGGAAATTAATTTTAAGTATGTGTAGTGCGGCGTGCGTGCAGTAGATTTGTCAATTGTGAGTGTGCAGTGTGCGTGGGAGCGAGATTTCGCCCTCAACGCCCGTCCTTTCCGTGACCAAGTGCGGCGCGTGTGGCGAACCTTGACTGTGTCGCGGAGGAGTTGGAAAAACGCAGAAATCTCACACCTTGTCGGCAGAGCGGCCCTCGCGGCGTCACCAGTCGCCCCCCGACGACCTCCTGGCCGGAAAAGTGCTCGTGTGAGTGACCCACAGCAGGAAGTGGGGCCGCTGGACGGGCGACAAGGGCGGAGTGACTAATGACACTTCCTCCGTGCGAATTTCGCCACAGAATCGCGCCCCCTTGCGCTCCTCCTCGGGCTGCAGCATTCACTCACACTCGCTCGGCTGCATCTCACGCACGGCCATGCCAAATTTGCCAGTGCGCTAATCCCGGGGCGGAGGAAGGATTTCTATATCCAGCCACAAAGCCTCAGACGCTGGAGACACGCTCGCGAGCTCTAATTGAGGCAATTCTCCATCCCAAGTTCAATGAACAATGATGAAGATATTAATTCATTCCGCGCTCGTTCAACTCAACTTTATTCACACGCCCCATCGCTTAATGCCCCGAACTCTGGCTCATCTCTCGCACTCTGGCGTCCTTCGCGCTCTTGGCACCTGAGTGCTGAAATTGGCGACACACATCTCGAGCCTCTCTAATGAGAGGCGCTGCACTGTGGCAAATCCCTGCTGAACTGCACCGAAATTAGCCAAGATTGGCCCGCAAGTTGCGGCGAAACTTGGGCAGAAGAGCCTCCAATGGAACCCCTATTAAGTAGGATTACGGAAATCCCCGTGGAAAGTCCGCAACTTTGCGGAATCTCTATTGATTTTCTCACGAATTGCACACCTAATTCGCATTAACCCTTTCACGACCATGAAAACAAAGATTAAATTTTTGGCTCTTTTTAATCTTGACGTAAAGTAAAGGAACTTTAGGATTCACAGGATATTTTTATATGCTTTATCTTTTGATTGAAGTTTGAAAAACTTGCCAGAAATGTAGAATTGCAAATCTTCTTTGTGAAGGTAATTTTCTGGGCAAACTTTTTTAAGAGTTTCAAAACGAACAGAATAATACAGGTTTAAATTGAAACCTAAACAGTGTTAACTGGATCTTTGTTTTTAATTTAGACCACAAATTGACTAATGATATTGTAGTTAATTCAGGAAAATTCTGTCATTAAAGATTTGAGTCGCGAAAGGGTTAAAACAGATCATTTCGAGTCAGCTGTGCACACTTCCCGGACTACAATTCTTTTGTATTTCCTGTCGCTTTGTCCTTCCCACGCGCTCAAAGTCGCGCCGATAAAAGGACATTTTCCTCACTCTGTTCACAATTTATTGCCAGGTTGTTTTTCTGCATTTTCTCTCTGGTATTTTGAATGGAAACACAATTTGCACACGTGCCTTAATGAAATATCGTGCGCTTTGGCTAACCAAAGTCTCTGCACAGAGAATGCCCAACACGTGGTGTTGCTGAGGTTGTCCTCGAAATATTCTGCAGCACACCAAGGCGCGTCATTTCTCTTGCACTCTTGGCCGATTTTCCCAATGGAAAGACACAGACACTCATGGAGAGATTGTGGCGAAGGCAGGAAGTTGATATGGGGGAGAGAAATGGGAACAATATCTCGCCCACATTTCGCTTTCAAGGCACTCTAATATCATCAGTGCCATTGAATAATTTTGCACACTTGGAAGTCAAGCAGCGCTTCTCTTATTGCAGAGTGAATCGTGAATCTGCTTGACGGAGAGCAGCACAAGTGCGTGCGAAGGAGTTTGTGCGAGGATGTCTAGTGAGGAGGATAAACCGCCGGCGCCGCCTGTGCGGCTGACCAGCAATAGAGATCGAAGCGACGGAGTGCCGCCGGTCGAGCGTCCGCTTCCCAAAGGTGAGTGTTGTTGAGTGTTTTCAGAGTTGAGGAGATGGAAAATTCAACTGAGAATTTGCATGTCTGCAGAGCCTGAGGATGCGGACAGGAAGAAGAAGACGCTGAAGAGCAAGATTAAGGGCTCAAAGACGTCGCATGCGGACTCGAAGCCCAACATTTCCTATCCCACGAACTTCGAGCACACTGTTCACGTGGGATTCGATGCCATCACGGGGGAATTCACGGTGAGTGGCAAGAGAGAGAGAGAGAGAAAGAGCGAATGGTGTGGCGAGTGCTTTAGAGAATCTGAGGCTGGAGAGTGTGATTCACGTATCATCCGCATTAATCATTGGAGTTTTACTTGTGCTTTCTTGATTCTTGAAGCGCGTCTATTGGAATGAAGAAGACTCTTTTTTTTTGGTTGTTCCTTCACTTTTTGGGTTGATTTTTCCTTCTTTTTTCCCCCCTCATCGCGAAAGAGAAAGAGAGAGAGAGACTAATTAATTTCCATGGTTGGAAAAGAATGCGTGGCGGATTTAGAATTGAGGAGATGGAGAAAAATTAGTCCTATAAATATGTCGACTGACGCCTATAAATGAAAGAAAAGCGTCTTCTTGACGAGAAGAGATCACGAAAAACCAAGTGTAAAATGCTTTATTTTGTTGATTTAACTTGGTGTTGTTTCTCTTTATTTTTCAAGCTGCCTATGAAAGTAAGTATTTTCGCTTGGTATGATTATTATTTGCTGTTGCATCTTCTTCTTCTCTGTTAAACACTCCAAAAGAAAAGAAAAAAACAAAGAAAAATCCCTCTATCCGTTCTATCACACCAAAAAAAAAACAAAAATCCACCCGAAAAGAGAAGGCAAAAAGAGAAATGCATCGCGGAATGAGAGGAAGAAGTCGTGTGAAGACAATAAATAAGAAAGAAGTTCTTAATGGAAACACACAAAATTCTCTCTAAAATTATCCAGTGTGTGCGTGAGGAAAAAGGAGAGAAAGAGAGAGAGTGAAAATTAATTTCCCTCTTCTAATATTCCTTGCCACTTCTTCTTCCCAAATAAAAGTACAAAAGAGAGCGTCTAATGAAGAGTATAAAAAGAAACCCCAAACGCAAGAGAGACACTTTGAATATTCTCCAAATATATCTCAATGTGTTTTCTTTTAAGCAGAGTAGATTCTTCATTTTCCACTGTTTCTTTTTCTCCTCTTTTTTTCCTCCTCTCTTCATTCATGAGGTTATATTTTGTCAGTTGCATGTTAATCATTATTATTTTTATTATTATTCTTGTCGTGAAGCCTCAAACTATCTTTATGACAATTGTATGAACTTCTTTCCTTTAGGATAAATAACTTATCTGCACTTTGTGTATGTTTGTCGGTGTTGATTTTTGCCAAAAAAAAAAGAATAGCAAAGGGAAAGGAAATGGGGAAAATCTCATCTCTCGTGCGACACTGAACACTGTTTCTTGTGTGACTTGTGTTTTTGCAGGGAATGCCAGAAGCATGGGCGCGACTCCTCATGAACTCCAACATCAGCAAGCAGGAGCAGAAGAACAATCCGCAGGCTGTTCTCGATGTTCTCAATTGGTTCGACAACAGCAGTAAACAACGTCCGAGCTCCAAATATATGACAAATGCCACAACAACACATTCAGGTGAGCGTGTGAAAAATTTTCTGCGAAATCGCTTTTTGGCAGTCTCGATTTAAAAAAAAAAAGAGTTTCTGCGAAAATTCATGTGGACAGAGTTTGATTGATAAAATGTGTGCAAAATCTTATCATGGCTTTACATTCATGACTCATCATGCAATTTAACCGAGAGAAAGACGACAAAGTGACTCAATTAGAGAGCTTAAGCCCAAGTAGCCAAAGCAAGCGTCATCAATAGCAAGTCATTTTACAGTCAGATTTACTGAAATAAGGATGAATCTTAATTGTTGACATCTGGAATTTTGCGTGGAAATCAGTTTATTAAGTTAGTAAATAAATTTTGAATGGTCAAAATTTTCTTCTTATCATTTTCTTAATTAAATTCTAACCAAAAAATGAGATTATTTGATTTAATTTGACTATTATTTACCAATAATCATGCAAATTACTTACATTTCTGTGCTAAAAACGGGAAATTTTCACTACAATGCTTTATAGAAAGTCTGTTTTATCACTTAAATGTGAGTTTTCCAACTCAAAATAGCAAGAAAGTCACACTCAAGTCACTGCTCTGACTGCAAAGCGACCTTGTGCTGCTTGGGGAAGTGAAGGATAAATTGACTTTCACGCTCATCACTCTGTCCATGCGGGAGTTTCAGTATCATGACCATTTATGCAAATGCTTCGGCCTTCGCGATGCACTGCTTTGGGGCGTATTTTTTTCTACATTCTTTCATTCTGAGTGGAGTTTTATGTAGTGCAAAAAAGACTGACAATTTTGTGTTTTAATGTACTCTAATCATGGCTTCTGTGACAACTCACACACATTTTTCTCTTGCATCTTTCTCATCCTGTGACTTCGGCTCGTGCGCTTTTGCTTGCGAAAAAAAAACAAATTGCTAATGGGTCAAATTGACTAAACACTGTAGCATCGTCACTAGGGTCGTCGCTGAGTCGCGTGAGCAGCAGCAGTCCCAGCAGCACGCCGACGGACTCTGAGTCGCATCCGCAGGTGATACAATACAACACACATCATCATCTTCCAGCGCACGTTCCCAGCCTCATCCCGATGCCACAGCTCGCGGGTGATCAGGAGGACGTGGCGCCGCCGATCGCCAGTCGTCCTGAGCGCACCAAGTCCATTGTGAGTGCCAAGAAGAAGGATTTTGAGGATTGTGCTGATGTTTTTGTGTCTCTTTGCAGTACACGAGGCCTATTGAGAACGCGCCGACGAGCATAACGCCGCCAATATCAGTGCATCTCAGTCCGACGGTGAAGAGTCCGACGCTGGACAGGAACAAGAACAATGCCACGATCGGCGTGACGACAAATGCCAACAGTGGCACGCCAACGACCAACAATTCCATGTCGCCGGTGCAGCAGGCGGCGCCACAGGTGCCCACAATCGGCGGCACGTCGCCGCAGCAGACGCCGAATGACGTGACGACGGGCTCGCGGGGTGCGGGCAAGAAGAAGAAGATGACGGACGAGGAGATCCTGGAGAAGTTGCGCACGATCGTGAGTGTGGGCGATCCGAACAGGAAGTACACGAAGATGGAGAAGATCGGGCAGGGCGCGTCGGGCACGGTGTACACGGCCATCGAGAGTAGCACGGGCATGGAGGTGGCCATCAAGCAGATGAACCTGAGCCAGCAGCCGAAGAAGGAGCTGATCATCAATGAGATTCTGGTGATGCGAGAGAACAAGCACCCGAATGTGGTCAATTACTTGGACAGCTACCTGGTGAACGAGGAGCTGTGGGTGGTGATGGAGTACCTCCCGGGCGGCTCGCTCACGGACGTGGTGACGGAGACGTGCATGGACGAGGGCCAGATTGCGGCGGTGTGTCGTGAGGTGCTGCAGGCGCTCGAGTTCCTGCACAGCAATCAAGTGATCCATCGTGACATCAAGAGCGATAACATCCTGCTGGGCCTGGACGGCAGCGTGAAGCTCACGGACTTTGGCTTCTGTGCCCAAATCTCGCCGGAGCAGTCTAAGCGCACCACGATGGTGGGCACGCCGTACTGGATGGCGCCCGAGGTGGTGACGCGGAAGCAGTACGGACCCAAGGTATGGCTTTCGCTCTCACTTGGCACTCACTGAGGACGAGACTTTGGGGGTCGCGCATTCCGGCCATGCAAATTAAAATTGTGCAGAAGCGCCAAGTTGAGCGCATTTGTGGGCAGATTTGAGAGGAGAAATTGCCATTTCTGTCGCATTGATTTATTGATCAATATGACTAAAGTTGGCATTTCGCATTGAAACTCTTTGGGTGATTGGATTAAAAATCAATGAGTAAGAAAAGCAAAATTGAGGCATGACTTCTTAAAGACTTTCCTTAATTATTTCTGCATATTAATTGCTGGAAATCCAGTCGAATCTACACATTTCCTAATCACTGTAAAATGTACAAAATGATTACTGAAAGTTTCATGACATTGAAAGAGATTAAATTTTGTTAAATTGCGCTGTACAAAATTCTCCTTTGAAATCATTAAACTGTCTATAATAACGTTGTTAGGGATAAATTTCACACTCCTTCTGTTGCTTTAGATTTCAAATTTGCTCTTAGGGATTAAGAAAACTTCTCAGAAGACACTCTTTCATCTCGTGTGTATAATAAACATTTAATTCAATACTGTAACTAAACCGAATGTTTCAAAGTGAATTTAAGACTTTACTTTAAACATTGATGGGAAAAGTCAGATGTTGAGCTTGAAAATGTGCGACATATCGGTTATGTCTCAGAATTTAATGTGTCTTTAGTTGAGTGTCGTTTATTCTGCATAGTAATTTGGTGTTTAAGACATTTTAGAGAGAGAGAATTCCATGTTCTAATTATACAAAATTACTCCAAACGCCGGAAGGGAAAGTTCATTCACTGTTTCCTCGCCTCAATTTGTCGTTTATTTTATACTGAATTGTGTTTTTCCTCTGCGTCTTTCAGGTGGACTTGTGGTCGCTGGGCATAATGGCAATAGAGATGATCGAAGGCGAGCCGCCGTACTTGAATGAGAACCCGCTGAGGGCGCTGTACTTGATCGCCACCAACGGGAAGCCGGACATCAAGGAGAAGGACAAACTGAGCACAGTATTCCAAGACTTTCTCGATCAGTGTCTCGAGGTGGAGGTGGAGAGGCGCGCGAGCGCCTTTGAGCTGCTGAAGGTGAGTTGCGAAGGCGGTGTTTTTGCCAATGTGTGTGCTTAATCAAGGATGTGTTTTCTCTCTCGTTCGCAGCATCCGTTCCTGAAACTAGCACGTCCACTGGCGAGTCTCACGCCACTCATCATGGCGGCGAAGGAGGCGGCCAAAGGACACTAAATTGCACGCGCGATTGTGGAAGAAAGATACGTAGACTTGAGAGCATATTTAATCAATTTTGCGAGTATTTATTGTTTTTTTTTTTAATAATTGAGGAACTGTATGAACGAAAATTGTATTAATTGTGTAACAATAATTTATTGACGGAGAGAAGATAGAAGAAAAAAGCGGAGGGATTTTACGGCGTGAAGAAACAATGACTGTTGATTGTGTAGAGGAAAAGAAAAGAAAATAAAATATACTTTACTTTTAATCAAACACTGAAATGTACATTTTTGGTCTTATATATTTTAAAATTAAAGAAACAAAGTCAAAATCTTAGCGATAGAATTAATGTTTAGAAGAGCCATGAACTTTCGCCGAGACCAAGAAATGTTTCCTTAAAAGAAGAAATGATTGATAAGAAGGAAGAGATGCAAAGCACAAGGAATGTATTAAGGATTGTAAAATGAGACTTTAAAAATATGTTGCGTGTGTGTTGCGAAACAGAGGCAAAAAGGAGTAGCAAGAATTATACAAAAAAAAACAATGTGAATAATAGGACATAGAATTGTGACACGAAGACGAAGATGAAAAAAAAACACAAAAGTGCTTTGAAAGTTGCGCAATTTCGGGGGCACAATTTGTGTGGTGTAAAGAGGCGCGCGCGCGATGTGAAATTGAGGGCATTTCGAGGAAGTTAAAGAGAGAGAGAGAAAGAGAAGTTAAAATATGACGGAAAGATCATAAAATCATATAATGTAAAAATAGCCAACAATCTTGAGTGGAGAGGAAAAAAAAAGAAGAATGCAGAAAAGCCACGTGAAAAAGAAACTTCTTAATGGACGAACGAAGAGAGTTGAGAAAGTGAATGAAATGGAGAATATTTGGTGAAATATATCTATATAATATCTCTTGTATAGTGTGCCTATTTATAAAATATACAAAAATAAATTCAGATGGAGGACGATGATGATGAAGATGATAAAACGACAAATATACTAAAGCGAAGAGGTGAGGAAACACACACACACACAAAGAGATGAATATTCATTGAGGAGAGGCGCGGATGGAACAACACTAAGTATAAAAGGATATTTAGGCGGTACACCGAAGCTAAGATTTATAGGAATGTGTAACAAATTGAATGCCTGATAATAAGTGGAATGAAAGACAACTGAGAAGAGCTGAAAGTGTTTTTTTTTGAGTGTGTGAATGATAAGAGTGCGAAAGCTTGAAAGAGGAAAGAAGATAAACAATTTTTTTCAATTAATTTCTTGCACATATTTCTTGCTACTTAACAATACTTAAACAAACAAAAAATATATTTCTTAAAAGGAGAAGAAAGAAGAAGAAAAACATTACATTTAGTAAGAGAGAAACTATAAAAATCTTATAAATTGCAATTGATCGATTTAGTGAGGAGAGAAAGATAGTTTTTCGCCTCTTCTATCGCTGATATGAAAAAAAAACAATTTGTTATACTATTTTTTAAAAATGAAAAGAATTATTAATTTATCACCTACAAGTAGATTAGATGCGATGAAAAATTTTACTTTCTATGAATTCAAGGAGAAAATTAATTAATACACAAGATGGTATTAAAATTGCCTGCATTTAATAATAGCCATTATTCTACGAACAAATAATTGTATGGTATTCTTTATAAAAAAAAATATAATGAAGAAAAAAGGAAGACGAAGAAGAGACAAAGCAGAAATATGAGAAGAATTTCAAGTGACACAATTCGGTGAAAGAAGTGGAATTGTTAAGTGAGACTTTTCATATAATTTGTGAGGATTTTCATCATCAATCAATTTGAAAGGTAAAAAAAAAGAGAAGGAGAAAAACTACCGAAAAAAGTGACATGAAGAACTCTATAGAATTTAGGCTGTGTCCAAAATTTATCACAAAATATCAAAGAAAAACTTCCCTTCACATTATAGAAGTTAATTTACCTTCCAATTTCCTCAATCATGTTGAATGCGAGAGATTTTTCTGAAGGACTCAGGACTTGATGAATCACAGTTGTAAAAAGAAAAAAAAAAATAGAGAAACAAAGAGAAGAAAAGGGAAGCTATTTAGTGAATTTCTCATGAAGAATGATGATGACAAAGAAGAGCAGTAGATTTATCATTGCGTAAACCCTTTTTCTTAGTGCGTGAGCGAATATCAAGATGATGTGCGAGAGAGAGAGAGAAACAGAGTAAATTTTGGTGTATTTTCTAATTAAATCTCTAAGTGGAAGTAAAAATGGAAGAAGTCAAGTTAATTTTGGGGAAAGAGAAATGTGAGATAAATCATCTTAGAAAAAAAAACCATGTATTCTTTAGAATTGCAGTTCAAAAGCGATTGAGAGATGAAAATCAATAAAAAGAGAAATAATGCAAGAGACATCTTTTCATTTAGAGAGGATTTAAGAAAAGCAGTAGAAAACACTTGAGACGGAACGCCAGACGGTCAACAATCGAAGACACAGTTTCGTGCCAACAATTTTGGTGCATTTGTATGCATTCCAACGCGAAATCGATACCTTAAGCACCTAAGCACGGAAGCCGAGAAGTTCTGCAGCGAGAAAAGGGACGCGCGATGTTCGTGACTCTGAGCGAAGGTTCGTGATTTATTAGTCTAGCGATAAATTGGTGAATTTTTTGAAGAAATCATCGTAATTATCCAATTTGAGGCAATTAATTTCCAGAATTGGGGACATGAATGGGTGAAAAAACGTGACTTGAACAATGATTTCAATCTTATCTATGCTTAAAGCTATTCTTAGACAATCTAGAAACTTAATAGTATTACTTACTTTGCCAATTTTGTGTCCATTTCTCCACAATTCGCCGATCCTTGAAAAGTAGCAGAATTGGCGCGATGGCCGAAAATACCTGATCGCATGCGAGTATTGACGCTAGATGTCACTACTGTCTAGGATAGCGTCGCAATGTGGAAGACATCTTTCTTTTGCAATTGATTCTTCTTTTGTAACACCGCAAACTGCTACTGGTTCGCCTCTTGTTGCACCGCAAACAAACATTTGCCGCCGTCAGAGCGGTTCACATCTTAATTAATACAGTATCATTTACCATTTTCTGCTTTTATTTGACTCTCTCTCTTTCTCGGTATTTTGTACAATCTGTTCGCGTATTTCTCATACAAATTCTTGGGGGTTCAGCAGCTGAAGCCGAGGAGCTCCAGCCTGAGGAGGAACTGTGTGGAAAAGGGGAAGGAAAAGGAGAGGAAGAACTAACTCTTGTCCGGCGCCGCAATGAAGTCGATGGACGCCGAATTGATGCAGTAGCGCTTCCTGGTCGGCGGCGGCCCATCCTCGAACACGTGTCCCATGTGGGCGGCGCATTTGGCACAACGAACCTCCGTCCTAATCCTCTCTGGATGTGCAATTAAGATTAATAGATTGCTGCCTAGACATTTGCAATTCGCGTCGGGAGGACAAAGTGTGTGATCACGTGTTTTGGGGGAGGCAGGAAAATGCCAAGGAAGTTCGGGATGAGAAAAAGCGAGAGGTTTTTGCGAAACACGAAACATGATAATGAAGCCAGAGAAGTGAGAAAATGAAATGCATTCGAGTGCCAATTTCGAGATTGCATGATTTTTCCAAAGTCCAGAGTTAGAAAAATGGAGAATTTCCACAGCAAAATATGACGATGAGATCAGCAGAAAATAATTACGGCGATGCGAAGGAAATAAAGTTTAAGATAATGGCAGGGAAATTAAGAGTCGCAGAGAGTAAAAAAAAGACAGAGGATCGCACAAGGGTAGGAAATGATATGTTTTATGTGTTTCGCGATGCGTGAATGAGATTTGGTTGCGAGTTTTTGTGGTTTTTGGTTTTTGTCATGAGCAGACAGGCAACAGGCAGCAGAGACAAGAAAAATATAACAATTAGAACCTTCACCTTAAACTCCACACATTAAAAAATATTCAATGTCATCTATTCTAAGGATCAGAACTAAATCTCCCTCTCTCTAGTTTCAACAAACTCAACTAAAAACACCACAAAAGCCAGTGAAAAAACACACGGATTAATAACAATTTAAGCGTTTTGTCGATGGTTAAAAAGCACCATTTATGATGATTTCGCTCTTTTTACTCTCGTTCGCGAAATGTGTTAAGTATAAACAAATATTAGATAAGCCTCAATGAGCATGATGAGTGTGAGCTTGTATGAAAAAAGATGTTAATGGCTTAATTGAAGAGTTGTAGACATGAGAAAAGTATGTTGATTATGCTATTGATGCTTCACACGTGATTTCGGAGTGCCTCGCATTGACATGCCCACAAATGTCGGCATCGCGCGGGGACAACAAATGACTGGGTTAATCACAATTCATCACTCATAAAAGAGTTCATCCAAATTGCCAAGGTTAAATCACAATTGCTCCCCGGTTATCGCAATTGACCAACAAAGCCACAACATTTGGGTATCGCCTAACCTTTTGTCCGCGCAGTGACTGGCCAAATCGGCACGCGTATCAATTTGATTAGGTAACAATCCTTTAGGCCACGAAATAATAACAGATTTCAATTCTGTTTGATCAGTTTAAACCGCTCTTCCTGGATTTACAAAGGTTTTATTGCCAATTGCGCCGCTTTTGGCTTATTCAATTGATAATTCAGTAATGAAAATTGGAACGATTCCAAGAATTTTGTCTGTATTTTGAGTCTAAAAGGAATTTTGTAGGATCTTCAAGGTGAATTGAAGAAGAACTGTTGTTTAAATTGCCAATAAATTGTCCAAATAAAGTCTTGCGATCCTCTTCAATGTCTAAAATTCATCACTTCTGACGTGGGCGTGGCATTCGAGTGGGCGGAGCTTAATGCCAACTTTCATTGATGTTTCTCTCTAAAATCGAGTGACTTCATTCGCATTTCACGCACTGTAGACAAACATTGTAGCAATTGTAAACTTCTTTTCAATGATTTCTCTCTTTCGGCATGCAATAAAGGCCATAAAGAAGAAACCCCGGATTTTCCGCTGTGATAACACAACAAATTAGACATCTTCAAATCATAATTCTCAAGCTTCAACTCCAGAGTGAAAAGCATCGTTCACCCTCTGTGAGCAAACATAATTGAAGCCATACAAGAGAACACATCCTCATTTGATACTTTACGCTCCAGAGAGACGTGTGAATTCATAAAAAATCCATAAATCTCAGGTTGAGAGAAGCCTCAGGAGGCGTGAGTTCAGAAGTGAAATATTGATTCTGCGTCAACAATTTGCGCCAGTCACTGTGCCGATTTCTATCTTCTCCCTCAGTGCTTCACAGAGATTAGGAACTTGACTTAATCACGAGGCGCCGCGCACGAGATCAATTACCTGCTATGCTCGTGTCTTTGTGCAGCGTGATTTTGCCCTGGTCGAGGACATCATTGAACGCCGGCCAGCCGCATCCCGAATCGTACTTGGTGTTGGAGCTGAACAGCTCCTGCCTGCATACGATGCACACGTACATGCCCTTCTCGTAGTGCTTGTCGTAGCATCCTGGCCAGGAAGAGGAGAAACCGTGAGATCGCGCGGGAAGCGCCGAATGGCAGTCGCTCACCTGTGAAGGGGCGCTCCGTGCCCGCTTCCTGTGTCACTTGGTACTGCATCGGCGTCAGCCGCGCCCTCAGAGATTCCTTAGACTCCATCTCAGCTCCTGCGCCGCACTTTGTGTGATCTGGACGAGGAATTGGGCACAATTGAGAGGTCAATTTCACACAAATTCCACCTCCTGACGAGGCGTGCCTGATTCAATTAATCGACAACTAACTGGCGAAGCCCCAAAGTCACTTCCAAAGGCAGAGATCGAGTGGTTTAGTCTTTTATGGTCGCGATCTGGAGCAGTGAATGATTTTACTGGTTCAATTGCGAGCGAAAATCGGCCGCTTCCGTCGCGAGAGTCGCGTCTTCGCGCTGATGAAACACTCTTTCTCTCTCTCCTCTCTGCTTCTTAAGCAGCAAATCCCCCGAAATAAACCCACACACAACTTCCTCTCCGTGCTATTTATCTCGCGATGACTTAAGCCATTTGGCAGCAATTTCCCAAGACTTTCCTATCGATTTTCCCCCGACTGTGTGTGCGGCTTCTGTGCACTCCGCGCGAGAGTGGCGCTCCGACTGGAGCCCCGCACAGCTGCTCGCACACTTGGTCAGTGCGCGAGGAAGTCGGTGGGAATGGGAGATCATCAATTAGTGACTTAATTACCTGAACAGCACCTGCCTGTGGATGTTCGCGATGGACGAGATCTCAAGAGCAATGGCCAAAGTCGGACGACTCTCGACGAATGGCGCGCCAGCATCGAAGTCTGTGGCTATTTGACTGTCTTTTCAAGTTTACCACGCTTCACTAGCCCCATTGAGCCCAATTGGGGCTCAGCTTTTACGTAATTCTCGTCACAAACACGATTTCTGAGGCAAGTTTCGCGCAACTTGCAGTGGAAAACAGCAGCCGACTTTGGCAAGCAGTGACCACTAAAGGCGCAAAGATGTGATGATGTCGCTTCGAGCGCTTCTCAATGAAATTCAAAGGTTTTCGGATGAAGAAAAGAAAATCATTAGAAATCGAGGGAAATTCAGAAAAAAAATCAAATTTCTATGTAAATTTAAAGATTTTATTTCATTTTAATTTCACACATATTTTGCTTAAAAATTATACATCCAATCGTCAAGACTTGATGGTCAAAATAGTCATATAAGATTTAAAAAATGATAAGAAAAAGTAAAATTAGAATATTTTCATAATCAGCCTTCTGGCCTTAGCAGACCTTATTAATTATTAATTAATTAATTTAGTCGTATTTCCTGTAAATGGGATTTATGGCAACCAATCTTATTTTAGGGTTGTACTGAATCGCAGTCATCATATCACGATTTTGCCGGGAGATGTCCTCCAATATTTTCCGTGGAATTCGAATCAACAGCGGTGCAGGCCTCTCGTCCAGGAAGGGTAAGATCCACTTGATAAAAGCATACGAAACACCGTAATTTCTGTCATCGATTACTGTGAGTTTCGTGAGGTATTTGCAGTTCTTGATGAACGCCAGTATGCCTGTATCGGAGACTCCAGAGCAGTAGTAAAGTGTCAGAGTGTGGAGATTTATGAGGGCTTTAGAGTACGACATCTCTAACAGATGATCATCGTTCAAGTCCTGATTTGATCGGAACTTCAGCACCTTCAGCTTGGTGAAGGAACATATGGTGCGCAGAGTCTTTTTCTTGAAGTAACTTGACATGAGTGATATATGCTCCAATGTATCCCAGACAAGCAGTCTTTCCAGACAAGAATCAGGACTGAAGATGCTAATAATGTGTTCTTCTCCAATTTCCAGAAGTTTCAAGTGCTTTAGCTCTCCCAACACCCTGAAGTCCGTGTGTCTCCTCACATCCACGGCTTTAATTCTCTCCAAGCCCTTCAAGTGCTTCACCACCACTTTCAAGAAGTCAGTGCTGATGTTAACGTAACCAGTGATTTTCAGGCTCTTGAGTCCAGGATTGCGCTCACAGAATGTTCTGAAGTGAGATAATTCCAGCATTTCGCATGCTTCCAGGTTGAGGTGTATCATGTTCTCTAACACTGCCAAACACTTTCCGCGAATTTTATAATTACCGCAAAGGGCCAGGTTCCGCAAATTCTTCCCTTTTCGCAGCCAGGATTCAATCTTGTCCGAAGCTTCACAGTTTATGATTTTAACTGTTTCGAGCTGCTCAAATACTTTCTCAATTCTCTCAAAGTTTATTTCACGAATGTAGAATGCGTGCATGCGCAAGCTCTTCAATTTTCTGAAATCCTGCAGGAGGTTTTCAAGAAATGCGGAATTTGAGTCAGTAATCATAAACGATGAGACATTTAGAGTATGAACATAAGGGCCAAGCCTAGCCGAGATGGCAAACATGTCCTTCATCTTCAGTCTCTCATTTCTTTCCACGAGCTTCTCATAATCCAACACGTGCTGTGTTTTGTATACCATCTGAACAACAGTCTGGAATCTATCGCACATGAGCTCCAACTCTATCAGCTTCCTAACATTCAAGTAAGTAAAGATGACAAAGAGGCAGTCATCGTTCAATACTAAAATTGACTTCTTGGAATCCATTATCTCTTGGCGTCGGTCACGTTATGAGCCTCAAAAATCCTCTCAAGCGTCTTTGTTATCCCTGATGTCCTTACTTTGAAGCGAATTCTTCCTGGCGCACTTGCACAAGTATTGAAATGTTGAAATAATCAGTCTTTCTCTTGCAATATCACTTTGAGTTTTGAAGAGCAAGTTTCACGCTTCACTTTCAAGACCTCTGAATATATTTTGACAGTGACAAAGGTGAAAAATCCCTGTAGCGAAAAAGGGACATTCCGTCATGCAGTCAATGGACGAATCTGTGTGTTCGAAAAATATTTCTCCTTCGCCGATCGTATATTTTGTATTTTTTATTGAATATGAGTCACTGAAATGACCAAAATTTCCTAATAAATTTAAATTATTCTTAGAATTTTCAGTATAATAAGAATTGTATGCACATATTCTTTGCTGAGCACAGAACGTCTTGAAGGTAACAGTCGACGTCTTGTTTACAGTTGGGCGAAACCCATCAACAGCATGTGAAGCGGCATTTTCAAAATCACTTCAAGTGCGCGCGGTTTGAAGCCAACTTCACACTTTTGCGATGTTCCACCATCATAGCATCAACGCCGTGAAAATTAAGTGAAATTTCATAGGCTTTTTGCGCGGAAAATACAGTGAGAAATCATATTTTGTGTATCCCAGCGTGATCGTGAGTGAGCGAGGTTCGTGAAAATGCTCACAACCAAGCAGGAAGTTGATCGGCACGTGCGCACGGCGTTTGCAAAGTTGCGCACGGAAAATGAGGTGAGAACTCTGCTAATGACTTTTCATGTTCGCAGAAATGGCGTGGTTGGGCAATGGAAATTGCTGAAAATTGCGAAAATCAGAGGGAAAAGGCACAATTGGGAGGGTTTCGAGGTGTGAAAATGACGAGAAATGCTTGAAAGTGGGTATTTGGGTGGGATTTATGAGGGGAAAAGGGTGTTTTTCAGCGATAAATGCTGATGTTTGTGCGTCAATGACATGCGAAAATTGTCTTTTTGCAGAGAAATCTCCGAGGATATCTCATAGCGAAGCTGTACTTCAAGATAGGCGAATTTCCCAGTGCCCTGCACTACGTTTCCACGTACATTTCCGTGAAGAGGGACAACGCTTCGGCGTACAAACTGCTCGGAAAGTGTTGCATCGCCCTGAAGAGGGTGGAAAGTGCCCTTGAGGCTTATCAAAAATCCCTCCTGCTGGACCGCAATCAGCCAGATCTGGTCGTGGAAGGTATTTTCACCAGTCTTTCACTGCGTCCCATAAGATTCTCATGGTTTTTCCTTTGATTTCAGTGTCCAAATTGCTGCTGTCGGACGAATCTAACCTCACTTCCAGCAAGGTGAAGTTCTGGAAAGATCTCGTGATGCGCGACGACTCCGTTCAGGACGAATCTGTGCTCAATCTGCGCCTCAAGCTCATGTCCGCGAGCAATGCCGGCGACGGCGTGGAGAGTGTCATCATTCAGGAGATCCGGAAGAAGCCTCAGGACGTGAATCTCCGGATTCGACTGTTGAAGCAACTTCTGGAGCGCAAGAAGATCTCCGAGGCGTTCAAGTACGTGAGTGAGATTGAGACGAAGCATCACGAGCAATTCACGAGGTCGCTGGAGTGGTACAATGCCGTGAATCTTGTTCTGTCCACGTTCAAAATCTCGGGCGATTCCGTGATCACCAACAAAGACTTCTGCTGTCTCTACCTGAATGCCCTGGAGAGGCAGATTCATCTCAATCTGGAGGCCGACTCGGCTCTGTCGTCCGTCCGTAGTGGCAATTTGAGCGAATGTGCTCGAATTCTCTTCGAACTGGACCAGTTTCTTTATCAATTCCAATTCTCGCAGTCGAGCATCGATTTGCGTGCCGAGGTGGGAATTCAGCTGGTGAATTACTTCCGCGGACAGTTTTGTCTGCACGCAGCGACTCTGCTCTTCAAGCGCGACTTCACTGGCAGCGTGGAATGGCAAGAAGCCACGAAGAACAGCTTTGTTCTCCTGCTGCATGCCTATCAGTGTGGCAGCCTCGAGATTCCGGACAATCTGGTGCGTCAGGTGCCGGAAGTGATGAAGCATCTGTTGCTCGAGTGGCAGAATCAGAGTGCTTTCCGGTGTCTTCAGGCGGGAAGGACACTCTTGGCGGCGAGCAAACAACATCAAGACCTTCTGATGCAGATCCGCGGCAAGTGTTCCAACTCCGCGTGGAAACAGGCACTGTTCAAGCTCCTGTTCAAGTCCAGTGATCAACTCAGCGCCATCAGCACATCATATTTGACCACATGTGCCGCTCTGACTGAACCGCTGTACGAAATGCCGACGGTGAATCACGTGGAGGCATTTGCCAAGTCATCCAGTCTCTTGAATCCCGCTTCTTTGGCTCATCAAGTGTACGTGCGCCTCAAGACAAGCACTCTGTCCGAGTGTGACTTCACAGGATTTGACTGTCTCAGCTTCTCAATGTCCAATCTCATCAATTGCGCTCCAACGACACTCAATCAGCTGGACATTGAGACTTTCCTCTACGCGACGGTGTTCCAGACGCGACGGGAGTTGGAATTGGTCGCCCGGCGAGGTCAATCTGGATTGCCTGATGTGCTGCCCTTTGCCAACATCATGCTGAAGATGTGCACGGAGGAGCAGAGCAATTGGTGGACGAATGCGTACAAGATGACGACTAATGGCACGATTGAGGACGTGGTGAAGGTGCGAACGGCAGTTCAGGACGGGCTTGAGGTGATTCGGTGTGTGGGAAATGCGCGGATGGATGCAATGATCGCTCTGAAGGTCGGTCACACGCTGCAGGATCGCATGGAGGGATTCAAGAAGTCCGCCGAGAGGAACTACCTGGAGAATCGCGTTGAGTTGCTGAACAGATATGCCGTGCGTCAGCTGAAGAGATACCCAAGCGGGAGTGTTGTGTCCACCAGGAAGCTCTTCAAGTACTCTCCATCGCAGGAAGCGTGTGCCAATGATGAGTTGGACATGGAAGTTCTGGCCACGAATGCGGTGAACTTCCTGGGAAAACTATACACGGATCGCGAGCGATATGACGAGTGTGTGGAGGAGCTGAGTGAGTCGAGTATTGAAGGAGCGGCGTTCTTCGTGGCGGAGGCGAATAAGAAATTGGCCGCTGCCAAGACGCCTCAGCGTGACAGCACGCCAGTGGCTTCGCACGACAGTTCGGGGATCGACAGTGCATACATCAAGCGACTGGTGCAGGCGGAAGTGCGCAAGCTCCAGATGTACTCAAGCAGAGCGCACGAGGAGTCGGAGTATGATTTCCTGTCGGATGAGGATGCTCTGCATGGCAGCGAGAGTGGTTTTCATCGTCAGCGAAGATCTGTCCTCACGGACAACACGCAGCAATTGCAGCTGATTCAGCAGATGACGACACTCCTGAGCAATCTCCAGCTGGACTTCAGTGAGGTGAAGAAGGAGCTGAGCGACGTGAAGGGACAATTGTCGTCGCTGCAGGAGACTGTGGAGACGAAGGTGGCACAGAAGGATACAGCTGCGAGTGTTCTGGAGGACATTTATCGGCTCGACGATGAGGAGACTCGCCGCCAGCAGGAGATCCCATCGACGGATTACTTTGGGAACTTGTACTCCATGTACGGATACTATCCCACCGTGAGTGGCACTGCTGCTCAGCTGCTGCAGCAACAACTGCAGCGAAGTGCCGCCATGTCGCTCCATCAGATTCCCACGACTGTGCCGACGGCAGTTCCTCTGTATCCGGACACAGCATCGTTGTCGGCAGCTGCTGGACTCAGTCTGAATCCACAATCGCCGCAGATGCTGCAGCGACAGGCGCAATTGTATGATACAACGCTGCGACTTCAGCAGTCTGTGAGTGATCAGACGCCACAATTGATGTATCCGACAGCCTCTCTGGCCACAGCGGCGGCCAAGATGCAGAATACGGCAACGACAGCGGATCAGTATCAGTACAGTATGAACAATTCGGTGGTGAAGACGTGGAACAGCACGTACAACAATGCGCCGGTGGAGAAATTGCCGCCGGTAAATGTGGTGATCACGAGTTCGGATCCTCTGCCGACACACACGACCATCTCCACAGCTCCGCCTCTGCTCAGTGTCACAATTCCACCGCAGCACATCAAGCAGAGCTCTGTGGTGCCAGAACTGTCGGCTGTGACACCGCCAAATGCCGATGTCGCTCAGCAGAAGCTCCAGGAAGACAGTCAAGTCGATGCGGCTCTTCTGGAGGCTGAACAGAGAGCACTGAAGGCGTCTGATGAGGATGGTGAGATTGTTCGCTTCTCCGGAGCGGCGAAACTCTTCCATGTCATCGAGAAGGAGTTGCTGGAGTGTGGCTTGGGTGATTTGAAGATCCTGCAGAACAAGATGGATCTCAAGCGCTATCGCTTCTTCATGCGACGTGATCAGGGAAACAAAGTGTGTGCCAATCACATCATTGCACCTGAGACGGAGGTGACAATTGTCAAGGGCAAGGATAAGACGTATTCCTGGACAGCGACGGATTTGGTTCAGGGAAATCTGCGTTCTGTGAAGTTCTACGTGAAATTTAAGACGTCAGAGTCATCGGAGGAGTTCAAGACGGCTGTGGAGAAGATCAAGATGGAGCAGGGAGTGAATAAGCAGGAGAAGACACCGCCACTGAGTGATGCCAACAAGGTGAATCCGCTGAGCAAGACGGTGTCATTCAATTTTGGCGAGAAGAAACCCGATCCGGACAAGAAGATCTTCCCGAATCCCTTCAGTGGTTTCACATTCGGGAAGCCCAAGGAGGGCGAGACTGAGAAGACGTTCAGCAATCTCTTCACCGGCTTCAACACCAGCGGAAGTGAGAAAGTCGCCAGTGTGCTGAATGATTCGCGTGGCGACACATCGCTTAATAGATCAGGAGATGGAGAAGAGGATGAATATGTGTCGACAGCTCAATTCCAGCCAGTCATTCCGCTGCCGAAGCTCGTGGAGGTGAAAACTGGTGAAGAGGATGAGACGGTGTTGTTTGAGCACCGAGCGAAGCTCCTGAGATTCGACAAGGAGTTGAAGGAGTGGAAGGAGAGAGGAATTGGCAACATTAAGATTCTGGTGCAGAAGAGTGATGCCAGTAAAGTGAGACTTCTGATGAGGCGCGAGCAGGTGTTGAAGCTGTGCTGCAATCAATTGATCACGGAGGACACGAAATTCACACCGATGCCGAACACAGAGACGGCTTTGACTTGGTATGCTCAGGATTATGCGGACAATGAGATGAAGACAGACTTGTTTGCCATCAGATTTAAAACTTCGGACATCTGCAAGGACTTCCACAGTGCTGTGCTGAAAGCGCAGGCAAATCTCAAGGCGCCGGCGGAGAAGAAGACCGAAGAAGCAGCTCCAGTGAAGGCTCCAATTGGATTTGGTGATGTGTTCAAGCCCAAAGCTGGCCAGTGGGAGTGCAAAGGATGCTTCGTGATGAATGCTGCCAATGTGACGGAGTGTGTGGCGTGCAAAGGTCCCAAAGAGGCGCCGAAGAAGGACAACTTCTCTGCCAAGGAGCTCACGTGCACCATGATCACTGGTCAAGTTGAGGCGCCCAAGGTGGGCTTTGGGGATCAATTCAAGCCCAAAGCTGGCTCGTGGGAGTGCAAAGGGTGCTTCATTCGCAATCAATCCGACACGAATTATTGCGTGGCGTGCGACAGTCCCAAGGACGACACGGTGCCGAAGAAGAATCAATCTCTGAATCTCAGCACACAGACAAAGTTCACCTTTGGAATGCCGCCAATCACTCAAGCTGCGCCAGCAGCGACTGTTCCAGCGACGACTTTCAGCTTCGGTTCCGCTCCGGCTGCCAATGCGCCGATTTTCTCCTTCCTGACGGCCACGAACACTGAGCAGAACGCACAGGATGACAAGAAGCCTGACAAGGCGTTCAACTTTGTCTTCACCGCAAAGAGTCCGGGGAAGGTGAAGACGCCAGAGAGCACACCGGGAAAAGATGGCAAGTGTGCGGATGATGAGGTGGTTCCTGAAGAGGAGAACAACACATACTTCACACCTGTTATCCCTCTGCCGGACAAGGTAAGAGATATTTGTCTCAAAAATGTCCTGATTTTCACTGATTCTTCCTTTGATTTTTCACAGATTGACGTGAAGACTGGCGAGGAGAATGAGGAAGTGGTTTACTGCCATCGAGCCAAACTCTACAGATTTGCTGACAAGGAGTGGAAGGAGCGTGGCACAGGTGATGTGAAGATCCTGCGTGACAAGACATCGAATGTCCTGCGAGTGTTGATGCGTCGTGAACCAATTCTCAAGATTTGCCTCAATCATCGACTCACGGATGACATCAAGTATGAGAAGAAGGACGAGAAGTCCTGGCACTTTGCCGTTGATGACTTCAGCGAGGGGGAATTGGAGCCCATGAATTTCTGTCTGAGATTCAAGACTGCAGACATTGCTCAGGGATTCCTGGATGCCGTGCAGAAGGCGCTGGGTGAGAAAACTTCAGGATCTCTGCCGAATGGTGAGTGAAATTTGGCCTTATCTTTCGATTTTCAATCTTCAATGATTGGATTGTTTCCAGGAGGAGACGCGAAGCCGGCTGAGGTGAAGGTCAATGGGAGACTGAGTGGCGAGGCGGAAGAGGAGGAGAAGCTGCGAGTGAAGTTGCGACTGCCGGAGAGATTCTTCGAGTACAAGACAAAGCCTGACTGCAGCGGTTGTCGCGGATGCAATGATGAGGAGTTTGTATTCGTCGAGGTGGAGAACATCAATGGTGATCTTGTGGATGAGAATCCCATTCCGCTGAAGTTGCCAGACATCCCAGCATCATCACTCATTAAGCAGGAGAAGACGAAGGATTCGGTGGCGAAGAATTTGTTTGGCACGCCAACAACGCAATCGTCATCCTTCATCTTCGGCGGTGGCGCGAAGAGTTTCTCTTTCGGCACGGGAACTTCCATCTTCGCGCCGACATTTGCTGACACGAAGACAACCACCACAGCCGCGAGTGCGGGATTCACGACAACCACAACTCCAGCATCACCATTCAGCACACCTTCGCTGGATACGCAGAAGAATATCTTTGGATCTGGTGGGAAGTCAGGCGAGAGTCTCTTCAATTCCTCGTCATTCTCGTTCGGAAACAGTGGCGGTGCTTCGATCTTTGGAGGGAATTCAACGGCCACGAAGACTGAGACTGTCTCGACGACGCCCTTCAGCTTTGCAACGCCCGCGACAACGACGAGTGGCAGTATTTTTGGTGGCAGCGGCGGTGCAGCGTCGACGTTCAGCTTCGCAGCGGCGGCGAAGAGTCTGGAGACGAAGCCTGGAGTGAGTATTTTCGGAGGAGCGCCGGCTTTTGGCCAGAAACTGGAGGAGAAGAGTGAGTCTGTGGTGAGCTCGGGCTTCACATTTGGCAGTGCCGAGAAGAAGGAGCCCGAAGTGGGGAAGGATATTCTGAAGATGGATGAGAACTTGTCATTCGCCAATCTGGCCAAGAGTTCCAATACGGATGTATTCAAGACGGCAGAATCGACTGGTCAGAAGGGATTCTTTGGCTTGTCACACAATGATGACTTCAGTCACTTTGGCGCTAGCAAGAAGAGTGAGGAAAATGGCACAGGAAATGAAGATTCCAACTACGATCCGCACTATGAGCCCGTCATCGCCCTGCCGGAGGAGATCAAGGTGTCAACTGGTGAGGAAGAGGAGACGGTTGTCTTCAGTGATCGAGCGCATCTCTATCGCTTCGATGCGACAAACAAGGAGTGGAAGGAGAGAGGTGAGATATTGAGGCAATTAACACAGTGTCTTGAGGCTAATGTTGTTCTATGCTTTGCAGGCGTGGGAGATTTCAAGTTACTTCACCATCCGGAGAAGGGAAGTTATCGCTTCCTGCTGCGCCGAGAGCAGATCCACAAGCTAGTGCTGAATCATGCCATTTCGGCGGACTTCAAGATTGCGCCCATGAATAAGACGGGCAGATCGTTCTGCTGGGCGGCAATGAATTATGCTGAGGAACCGGCGCAGACGGAGAATCTGGCCGTGAGGTTCAAGAATGTGGACATCGCGAGCAAGTTCGAGAGGACTGTCAATGAGTGCATAATGAAGGTGCAGGAGAAGGGCGAATTGGAGCCGGAAGATGACTGATCCGGATGAATTTGTGGACGCTAGAGATTATTGTACTGTTTTTAGTTCTTTTCATTTGTTCATTTACGAGCTCTGGCTCTTGTCTTTATCTTTTCACCGTATCTTTAGATTGATCTTATTGGAATTTCTACACATTACCAATTCTGTTAGAGAGTAAAAACAACAAAAAAAATGATGAAATAAGAAAGAAGAGAAATTGCTTAAGGAATTTGACTGGCGTTTCACTTTGAGGAATATCGCTAGATGGCGGTGCTGCGGCAGAGGGCGCGAGTGTTGACGAAGAGCGCCGAGGCGGACCAAAAAAATGCTACATTAATGGCGATGTCGGGTCGTACAGGCAAGTTTGTCGCTGTGCTGCGCGATTTGAGCTAAATTTTGTGTCTCTGAGGAGAAGGTGAGTAGACTGCCACTATGCAGCGGCATCTCTAATGAGGACAGGTTGTTTTAGTGCATGTCGCGGGCTCCTGGAGTGCATGGCTTGGGTGTGAGCGGAAGGACACTGTGACCGAGTCCTCGGATGGATTTTCTCGGCTGCAGCGCGGTCCATTGTTGCGCTGGGGCGACGACGAGGAGCGGGTGTGATGGCAGGGGTTGGACCTTCATAGCCCCGCGCCAATGGTCGGCATTGGGGGCGAGAGTGCGGAGTGAAAGCTGCATCCAGACATGCACTCGCGGAGCTCGCTTAGGGGGCGCTCAAGCTATTCCTTCGCCATGGTCATTGACACGGAGAGCGCGGAGATGGCCTTTGTCGTCTGCTCAATTGGTGCTCTTGCGTTTCAGGGCTGCACGAATGTCCCGTTCGGCGGACGCAGTGGCGGAGTGCCTCGGCGATGGTGACATCCACGCGCTCATGTCTGGCGACATAGCGGAGATGGAGCAGGAGGTCATCACGGAGGACATGGAGGTGAACACGGTCTTCCCGCAGGTGGACGCGGAATGTGCGAATGGGCTCAAGGGCAAGGAGGAGGAGCGCAGGAAGGCGCCTGTGAAGTCGTACGCCATCAAGAAGCGCGAGAATGCGTCCAGTGATCGCGGCGCGAACGCCAGCGAGGGCAAAATGGTGATTGTGAAGCTGCTGCCCAGCTTCGAGGCGGCCGACGGCGCACCTGGCGCCGCCAGCACACCTGTCGCCGAGAAGGCGGACGAGGAGAATGGCGAGGAGAGCAAGACGAAGATCAAGCGCGAGATGAAGCAGCTGCACAAGATGATGAAGGCCTCGAAGGTGCTCTCGGACTACATCACGGACGGCAATCACGCACGCGTGCGGAAGTCACGCAAGTCGGCTCCGCGTGGTGGCCAGCAGCGTGGCCGCAGTCTGTCCGTGATCGACGCCTCGTCGATGCGACTGAATTTCCTGCGAAAGTCCACCGGCAATGCTGAGGATCTGGGCATGCAGAAACGATCAAACATGCGCTCGCAGAACGCCGAGTTCACGCTGAAGCAGCAGAAGTTTCTCAATCGCATCCAACGCGAAGAGGAGCTGGAGGACGGCGATGATGACGACGAAGAGGAGGACGAGAAAGACATGGACGAAATGTCGGACAATTCGGAGAATGAGAGCAACGAGACAAAGAGTCTCAAGTGCACGAGCGAGTACAGTGATTCCATCCCCATCATCAAGATTTCCAACCTGCAGAAGCCGCCGAAGGTGAGTTCCCCGAAGGGATTTTTTCACGGGAAATCTCATGCTTTCTTTCGTAGGAGAACGCCGACTTCTTTTGCTGGCGCTGCCACGGCGACACCGTGAATCTGTCGTGCTGCCAGTGCGTGCGCTCGTATCACAGCAAGTGTCTGAAGCTGACCGGCGTGCAGGGTGGCGACGCGTGGACGTGTCCAGAGTGCGTGCAATTGTCCGAGACGTCTTCCAGCACTTTATCTGTGGATCAATTGTCGACGCTGCTCATGTTTGCCTGGAATCGCATGACACAGCTGCAGAAGGTGAGATTCTCTCGTTCTCTCTCTCTGTCTCTCATTCGCTTCCCGTGGGTGGAATATTTTCTCGTGTCTTTTCTGCATTCTCTTCTCCCACATCCGCGAGCGAGACAGGCAGAGCGAGCGTGTCTGTTCGTGATTCAACAGAGTTGAATTCATGCTCCTTCAGCTGAATCGAAGGCTCATTTGTTGGATCAATGGACAACACACGAGTTCGTCGTGTAACGGAAATGATCTTTTTCCCTCGATTTCAGTCACTGATAAGGCTTCAGCTTTTTTTTTCATGAGGGTTTTGCGCAAACAATCGAGTATCTTGTGGATGACCTTTTGGCGTGCTTGAGGCTATGAATATTTCTCTGTGTTCGCAATTCACTCAAAAGAAGTCCTTCAGACATTCAGGGCATTTATTACACTGTTCACAGATATTGCAAGTGTGAAGGAAATCAGATTCAATCACGGTCGTCTAGCTCGAAATAAGGCGACTGTGAGAAATGGTTATTGTCACTAAATATTGCGTAGGATTTTCTGAATTGTAATCAAAGTGATTTAATTTAAATCTTATTTAGGAGTTTAAGTGCTCAATAAAATGTCAGACAATTTTTGTAGGCCCGCGCAGAGTGAATAATAGGCATAATATCATATAAATAAATAGATTTTTATTATAGAATTTCAATTTAAGGGACTTAGATTGGGAAAAAGATGTTCTTGGAATTTCTCAACATCACTATGACTTTGTTCAGATAAAGAGATTGCAAGAAAACAAATTTCTTAAAATGAATGTTGTTGAAATATTCTTTCTTGACTATTTACTTGTATGTTAAACATTCAAATTTGCATTTAACATGAATAATTTCCTTGTGACGTAACTTCCAAAGTCCCGCCCATTTGCATGCTCCGCCCCTTTTGATTAACCCAGCATTTTTCCGCTTTGCAGCGGACAAGGAAAGGCGCGATATCGCGCACCTAATCATTTGAGGCCATAGCAAAGTCTATGCGAGAATTAGATCGTTTTGTGTGAGGCGTTGGAAAAAGAATGTGGAGCAGAAGCGGAAGAGCGTGTGAGCGAATGAAAGGGAGAGAGAGAGATGGAAGAAAGTGACGTTGATATCAATTGAAGAGGAGATTGAGACGCGAGCGCAAGTTTGCGGTGTTATTAACGAAAATGTCTATTTTTGCAGACGACAGAGGCTGTGGAGAATTTCAATGTGGACAGCCTGAAGAAGTGTGAGTCATACATTAAGAACCCAGTCACACTGGCGGATCTCAAGACCAACATTCGCACGAAGAAGTACAAGGCGACGCATGACTTCATGATGGACGTCAAGTGGATATTGCACAATTGCTATGTGTATTACACGTGCGTAACGCCGTTCGACATGAATCTGCTGAAGGTGGTGAAGAGCCTGGTGAGGGTGTGCAAGCAGGAGATGAATGAGATTGAGACGTGCTCGGAGTGCTACTACAACGCCAACACGCAGGCGGATTGGTTCGTGGAAGTCTGCACGAAGCCGCACATCCTGCTGTGGGCGAAGCTGAAGGGCTTCCCGTACTGGCCGGCGAAGGGAATGGCCGTGAATGGCGCCACGTCGGTGGATGTGCGATTCTTTGGGGCGCACGATCGTGCCTGGGTGCCGCTTAAGGAGTGCTATCTCTACTCGGAGAAGAATCCGAGTCAGGGCAAGACGAAGAGGAACAATATTGAGCGCTGCATCAAGGAGATTGATGTGCACATTGCGAAGATCAAGGATAAATTTGGGGTGTTCAACTATCCGGACTTCCGAACGCCGTATGATCCGCAGAATGAGGTGAAGCAGCTGCAGATGATGATTCCTACTTACAACATGTCTGACAAGAAGCCGCTGGCGAAGCTGCTGAATGCGACCAGCGCGAGCCCGAAGAACAATCTCACGTACAGAATTATCAAGACAGCGGACAATAATCTGTCGATAGCGCCGGTGGTGAAGAAGACGGAGCCAATGAATGGCGTGGCGGTGAAGATGGAGGAGGAGGAGTCGGAGGTGCCGGAGGAGAAGCATGCGATTCCTGAGGTGAAGCCCACCAAGATTGTCATCAGTCGCAAGAAGTATCTGGACGTGATGGCGTCGCAAGCGCCCACGAAGACCATTCTGGAGAGCAAATCATATCAGGCGGTGAAGAAGCCACAAACGTGTGCGACGGAACAGCGGAAGGTGGACTGTGTGATTATCAAGAGGAAGTCCTCCAATTGGAATGCAGTGCCATCGAAGAGGTCGCGAATGTCGTGCGAAGATGCCGAGGAGGCGAAGCAGAAAGATGTGGCGGAGCAGCAAGTGTCCAGTTCGGATGATCTGGTGAAGATGAAGGAAAGCAATACGACAAGCAATAGTAGTAGTAGTAGCAGTAGTAGTAGTAGTAATATAGGTAAGAAATCAGTGGAAGTCGCTCCGGATCCTGTCGCTGGGCCGTCGAGGGTGAAAATGCCGCCGGATTCGACGAAGCAGAAGAAGTCTGAGGAGAAGGAGGTGGAGAGTCTGAAGGGAAAGGTAAAATCGCCAGAGTCTGATGTCAATTCTTCGCAATCCTCCGCTTCCGCAACGCCACCGAGTGATTGCAGCTCCTCCACATCGACAATCACGAAGAAGCCCATTGTTATCAGCACTGGGAATCTGTTTGACAACGAAGAGATTCGCTTTGAGCAGTCGCCGTCGAAGGCGACGGAGAGTGAGACATCAATTATGGACACGGCACTGATTTCTCTCCCTCAAATCAGCATCATCCGGAATAAGTCGGCGGGAAATGCGAGTGGAGAGGAGAAGAAGAGTGTTCAGGAGACATCGAGTGCGCCATCGTCTTCCTCCAGTGCTGTCAGTGGACAGAATGAAGTGACGACGACGGAGGCGAAGAAGAGTGTGGCGCCTGTGAAGGAGAGTGCCCAGGAAATCCGTCGACGCACGAGGAGTGGCAATTGTCCGCCGCCTGGGAAGAAAGATGTGCGCGAGGAGAGTACAAAGGTGCCGGAAAATGTGTCAATTACGAATCAGGGTGAGGAGGAGAAGCAAGAATCCGCTCTGACCAGATCCAAGACATCACGCATTACGAACTCTAATCAGGAGACAACGGAGAAGATCATCGACACGGTAGGAAGTAGCACGAGGAAGAGCTCCAGAGAGCCAGAATCCGTCACGCCGCCCAGCAATGTCATTGATCTGGATGTCGAGGAGGTGCGGATAAAGTCTGAGCCCATTTCTGACACGGAGGATTCGTCGCGTCCGCCGTCGGTGCCACTGGAATCTCGCACGGACAAGCCTGTGGGCAGGGCGAAGGGGAGACTGCAGCATCGGCCATTTGTGGCCAGGAATGCACCGGGTTTTGCCACGCGTCGATCGCGGAAGATTAACACGGACAAGATTCAGCGTGCACGCAAATCCTTCCCCACCAGCTTGCGCGCCCACGTGGGTGCGCTGAACAATCTGGAGGCCATGAATAGCATGGTGTACATCCCGATGGACTCAAATCTCAAGCGACTGGACCTGGAATCCAGCACTCCTGGCCCAGTGCCGCCACTCGCGGCTGTCGTGAAGGAGAAGAATTCTTCCGGTCTGCCAATTCCACCGCTCGTTCCTACGAAGATCGCCGCGACGGAGACGTCGCACATGCTCTCGGGCATCGTGACACAGAGTCTGGCCAATGCCATCACGGACACGATCGTCAAGGGGCCGCCGAAGCTCATGTCGAAGCCCACGGGCACGCTGCGCTCGGAGGGAGACTCTGTGTTCCCTTCGGAAGCCGGTCCGGCGTGCCAATTGCTGATCGACAATGCCCACAAGGTTCATCCGCTTGTGCACTTGTTAATCTGTGCAGTTGATGACTTTCTTGTCCTTTGCAGATGACTGACTTCTTTAGGACTGTGATAGAGGATACTCTGGGCGACTTGGCGAAGAATGGCTGTCTGGATGCGAAGGTGAAGATGCTAGAGATGGAGATTGAGAAGCTGAAGTTTGCTCACAACAAGGAAATCACACAGCTCAAGAACAGCACAGGTAAACTATATTAACTCGTATGGCGCTTGGGATTTATACTGATCTTTGGGGACTTCTCTTTCCGGACAGACTTGATTCTGTGCGAGATGAAGAACAGCGTTGAGCTGGAGAAGACGCGCGTGATCAATGAGACGAGGAAGCAGTGCGAAATAGAGCGGATTCGTGCTGTTGAGGAGACGAAGAAGAAGCAGTGGTGCGTGAATTGTGGCAAGGAAGCGCAGTTCTACTGCTGCTGGAATACATCCTACTGTGACTATCCATGTCAGCAACAGCATTGGTCGCGCCACATGAATTCCTGTGCCCAGAATGAGAGCAACAGTGTGGAAAATGTGAGTTTGCTGGTCAGCAACAAATTTATTCACCATGATTTGTCGGCTAATTCTGTGCCTTTGCAGCGCTTGTCGCAGAAGAATCACACTCGGACCGCCAGTCAAGGCGCCAGTGGGTCAAAGGCGAAGGAGAGCAACTTGAGGAATATCAATTCAGGCGGTAATCGCAATTCTCTGGTGCGAAATCCGACATCAGTGCAGCGAACAACGGTGAGTGTTTTCTCAGCGTTTTATCACGCGTCTGATGACGAAATGAGAGTGGCAAATAAAAGGCCATGAAGTGATTGCGTGAAACATGTTGCGTGCGATTCTAACAGTGGAATTGTTCTTGGCGTGATTCCAGGTTCCATCCACGAATTCCTCGCCGTGCTACGCTCTGGTGCCGAATCGCCATGGCCACGGATGGGAAATGGTGAGCGGCTCGCAGGCCAACATCTCGAACTCCCTCCTGCCCTCGTCGATGGTGCTCAATCAGCAGACTTCCAGCCTCTTGTCGGGCTCCGTGGCGCCCATGACGGCGGCGCCCCAAGTGACTGGCTCCGGTGCCATCATAGATGGCATCCTCATCACGCCGGACACGTATTTGCTGAAGAAGTGAAGGGGAAAAACAGAAGGATTTGCGTGCGGAAAAGGAGCAATTCTGCGGCGCAAATTGTGTGAATAATTGATGTTGCTTCAGAGTAAGATTGAGTCTATTTTGACGGTAATTAATAATATATATTTTTCCCCCATACAATTTAAGGCACTAATTTCAGTGCCTGTTGGCATAAGTTTATCCTTTATTTTTTGTACAATTCTATTGAAATGCAGCGATGCAAGTTATGAAGAGAAAAAGTTATACATGAATTTTTTGCTATTGAACGAGTAATATATATTTAATAGGAACTATATAGAGAAGCTGTCGCGCTATTTTAGGATTTAATGACCTAACAACTTAATCTAGAGATTAGAAATTACAATAAATTTGAGAATATTTCAGAACAATTCTCTCGGAGTTTCAATTAATTTCCTATTCACTTTTGCCATTTTTCTGCAGAGTCACGCATTTGAAAGTGCGCCGTGAAGTTGGCTGCGATTTGCGTTTGGCGCTTCAGTGACATAACCTCAAAAGTCCGTGCTGGATGCGGATTTGACCCAGAGCGCGGTCAGCTGGAGATTCACGTGGACTTATCGCGAGTGCTGTGCAGTGAAATAATGCAGAAATGGATGCGAATTTCTCTCCTGCTCTGCATCTTTGGCTTCCTCAAGGAGATCCGGCCGTCAGAGCCTTTTGTTACGAATTTCCTGCTCGGCGGCTGGAGAAACATCACTGAGGAACAGGTGAGAAAGTCACCTTGTGCCTTCAAACCTGTCCCAGACTCTGCACTTTCTCTCTTTCCAGGTCAATCGCGATGTCTACCCTGTGGGAACATACTCATATGCTGCGCAATTAATCATTGTTTTCCTCATCACGGATTTCCTCAAGTAGGATTGCATAACATCCAGTTCTGGTCAGATTATTCAGGAATCTCCTCTGTTTGCAGGTACAAACCACTGATTCTGGTGCTGGGCATTTCGGGTGTGATTGTGTGGAGTCTTCTGCTGTGGACAGAGACTCTGGAGGCTTTGCAAGTCGCTGAGGTGTTTTACGGCACTTATCTGGCCACGGAAGTGGCCTATTTCACCTACATCTACGCCAAGGTGGAGAAGGAGCACTACTCAAAAGTCACATCTCACACCAGAGCCGCCATTCTCTGTGGGCGCTTCATTGCCGGCGCCTCGGGACAGCTGCTGATCTTCCTGCAGTGGATGGATTATCGGGAACTGAACTATGTCACACTGGGAGCGCAGATCCTGGCCACGCTTTGGGCTCTCTTCCTCCCATCGGTGAAGAGGAGTGTATACTTCCATCGCAAGGCCTCAATTCAGCGGACCACCAACGAGTTCCTCTCCTCAGAGCACGAACTCGTTGTCACGCGCAAGGATCACGCACTGAAGCTGCTCTGGGGACAATTCCGGAGAGCCTACACGAGCCGGAAGGTTCTCATCGGCAGCATCTGGTTCATCTTCGGTCTCTGCGGATACCTTCAGTTCATCTCGTACGTGCAGATACTGTGGAACGCCCTCAATGTGGACAACAAGGAGATCTGGAACGGCGCTGTGGAGGCTGCAATGACTCTCCTTGGCGCCTTCTCCGCCCTGGTGGCGGGATATTCCCACAATAGCTTCCTGGGCGGCCGCCGGAGCATCTTCCTTCTCGTGATCGCTTCCCTGGGTGGTGGATTGGCCATCTTCATGGGTTCTCACACGGAGAATCTCTTCGTCTCGTACGCAGCTTATCTCATCTTTGGAGTGCTTTACTCGTTTGCATCCACAATCGCCAGGCGAGTATTATCACTTGATTGCTTTCGGATAACTGGGAATGAGTGCAATTTTATCATCACAATAATAGGAAAATATTGTTTAGCGAACGTGAGGTGAGAAATGCGCAATTTCTGACCATGAATTTCTTATCACTGCTGTTTGAAAGGGTCACGTTTTCTGGCATTCATGGATTATTCGTGAATGTCGTGAATTTAGAAAATGCACTAAATTAAGTTAGAATAGTTCTATTTTATGGACTGAGCAAATGACAAAGCATTTTCACACGATAAGCAAATGCAATTCAGTGTGAAAAAGTGTCTGTCAGTGGCGTGTTCTGCTACATTTCGGTTATTTAGTGCAGTTAGAGGAATTCATCATATATGATAATATTCATGAAGTGATATTTAATACGAAACTACGTTGATAAAGCATCTGCTTTGTTTCATGCTGATAGAAAGCTCGGTTCTTGTTTGAACTAGAGAGAATTCAGACATCGAAACTTGAACCGGTAACGTTCAAATCTTCAGAAGAAGTTGTAGATGTTTGCAAAAGCTCTCCAATTAACTCAAAATCAATCACTAAAAGGATTACATTTCAGTGGCAAAATTGGATAATCAAACAATAGAACACAAAACCGACATGAGAAGTTATTTTAGGCATAATTAGTGATAAAGATTTAATGATTCTTGTTTTCCATCTGTCGTCCTTGATTTCTTCACCAGTAGATTAGTACGAATTGCAGAAAATTCATCTCATCATAATGCGAATGATTAGCAAATGCATAATGCATGATATATTTTATAATTGTATTGCATTTTCACATAAAAATGACATTGAAATTGCACGCTAATGATTTTTTCCGTCTCTGTTTGCAGTGCTGAAGTGGCAAATCATCTCGAGGAGGACAGTTTTGGCCTCGTGTTTGGCTTCAACACGTTCCTCAGTCTCGTGCTGCAGACGATTCTCACACTCACGGTCGTGACTAGCATTCATCTGACCATCTTCCAGCAATTCTACGTGTATGCGACGTACTTCGTCGCGCTGGGAGTAATTTACTTCGCTGTTTACGTCTGGGACTTGTGTACAGTGCCCAAATATGTTCTGGAGTAATCTCTTAGGGGAGAAATTGTAGAAAGACTGCAAGTAGAGTTAGTGAGTATATCACGCGCCAAATCTATTTGTTGATTCTCGGCTAATGATCTTGTTTTTTTTTTTCTTTTTCTGCGCTGCTTTTGCACACCAGGAAAATCCTGGGAAGGGGGAAATATGAGTTTCGGCGGGAAAGGCGCGGAATCTTGGCAGTGCTGGGAATCGAAGTGAGTGCGCAGAAGAGTCGGGAGTCAGCTGGTGCTTCCCGGTGCCGGCTGAGCGTGTGTGTGCGCGCAGAATTGGGAGAGAGAGAGAGCGAGAGAGAGAGAGAGATCGCGCGTGAGAGTGAAAAAGGGGCAATTTTGGAGCCACGAGTCGTCATTCGCAATGAACAGCGCGCCCAGAAGCACACACACGGGCGCCTCGCGTGAAGGGTGGAGAATTGTGTGAAAATCGAGGGTGTTTCTGCCACAGAATCGTCCGCAAATGCGACATATCAGTGACGATACAGTGGCGAAGGCTGAGTTAGGTTGATTGGCGATGTGATAAAATGTGTTAAACACGCGGAATTTGTGATGTGAGGAAAAATGGGCGAAAAGCAACTGTGCAAAAAGTCTAAGAGAATAATCTGTGAGAAAGTAGTGATTTTGCACGCACACACAAACCCTGAAAGCGAGGCCTGAACGTGTGATTTGTCTGCAAGGGATTGCAGAGGAGAATTTTCAATACAGACAGAAAAGGTGAGTGCAATTTTCCACCCTTAAATCTGCAGTGTTTGATGGCAAGGGAGAAAAAAAAAACACCTGCCAAAGGGTGAATTTTGCGCACGCAGCGCACTTGCATATTAAAGACCCACCCTTGCTTCCATGCCGCCCCCCCAAATGGAGCCCCTTTTGGCCCCGTCGAGGTGTGAATGCTCGAAGAAAGGCCGTCTTTTCCACCCACGACGGGCCAACAATAGGCAAGAATTTGCATATCAATTTGTCGTTTATGCTCGATTGTGGACAAGAGCAGACGTTGTGTGATAACGCGATATTAAAGTTTCAACAAATTATGTCACGTATGATATTGATTTTCCGTTTTTAAAACACTCCAGCATGTGTTGGACGACGACAGGAAGTTGCAATTTATGAATATCCAAAGCGAAAACACGCACATTTGGACGTGAGTTAGAAGCATTCATTTGCAATTAAGACGCTTTATTTTCGGGGAGGAAAACGTGGTAGAAATATACAAATCAACTAATCAAAGCGCAATGAATTCACTGTGAATTCTTAAGATTTAGATCGCGTTCAGCTCTGTTTCTTCTGAGAAATATAAACGAAAAAAAAACCTTCTGGAAGGTGAGAAATTGGGTAAAAACTCATGATTTTTTACATTGCGCTAATTGGAGAATTGATTGTGGATGAAGGAAATGGGAATTCAATGACGATCAGCGTGATCTTCACAGTTTTGCAATTGCTTCGGCAATTCACTTGATGCCTTTTTCGCAAAACTCTTCTTGCCACATGGCGAGAAAGAGGCAGTTTTTGCTGGTTTACAATTGGCGCTTCTCAAGTGGCGAAAAGACATTTCAATTAGAACATTTCGCGACATTAATGTACAAAAAGAACAACAAAAAGAAGTCGTATTGGTTTTTTATTTCTTCTTTGTTTCCACACTTTGTCGTCTTTCTTGTTTATTTTTGCAAAAATCAAGAAAAGATTGGAATTGCAAATGATGATTTTTTTTTAGCCAAAAGACGTGCGTGCGCTTCTCGGGAATGTTTTACCGCCAATTGATACTCGCTCTGTACAAGTGAGAATGTATAAATAGACGCTTAATGATTTATTCCAAAAGTTCTGTGGAAGAGAAAGAGGAATATTGGTGAAATTACACGGTTGTGACACAATGATTTTGTGCTGAGAAGTGTAATCATAGCGAATGGAAGGTTTAATTTCTTCATGCAATATTAAAATGCTTCCAATGAATTCTTACTATATTCACTTGTGAACTTCAATGTTTTCGTGGAATGGAAGAAAACTGTGGAAATGTCTAATAAAATCATGAATTAAAAATGTTAAACTCAATGCTTTGTGTAACATTTCTCGTCAGCAATAATTTAATTACGCTAATCCGCAAAATTATGAAACAAATCACTTCTTTATGTTGACTTTAGTGAGATGAACGGGGTTAATAGTAGAATTGTGATTGAGATTATTCCAAGATTGTTCTATTTTTAGGAAATGTAAGCATAAAATCAGACTTTTAAACACTTTTCTTGACCTCTTCTAAAGTAAGAAGTATTGTTTTTGGGTGTTTTTCAAGGTTTTCTGGGTAATTATTACTCAATTTGTTATTTTAACACGGTTTTATGGCTGTTTTCATTAACTTGTAGGAGAATTTATTGATGCAGAACTTTAAATATCTTCTGAAAATTAGTTAGTCCAAAGGCTAGACCGACTTGATATTTAATTTCTCTTTAGAAACTCTTAAAAAGCGATAAAAGAAAGCCGTTTTCGGCAAAATAATCGATTAATCGAAGGATTTAGCATAAATTCAACCGTCGAACGATGAAATTTTCTGATTATTCCCGGTCATTCCCCGAAGTTCATGCAAAAAGTGCAAAAAATAGAGCACATTTCTCTAATTAGATCTAATTTGTTCTGCATTTTACAACGCAAAGCGCAAATTCCACGTTTTGCAATTATTCCATTAAGACGCAGTGTTTTTTCTGCAGCAGTTCAAAAGGGTTCAGCAAGAGAGGAAAACGTATGTTTTCCCTGTAATTCCACTTGATTGGACTTCAGCCAGTGCGAGTGGAAGATTGTTTTTGTGCCGAAGGGAAATCCTTGCGAAAGTCTCTCACGCTTGTTGATTTTCCAATTTTCCTTTTGATATCCTTTCCCTTTATGGGCGTGTGCTTGTTCAATTTGCTGAACAGGCAGCAGAAATCCCAACCGAAGAGGGATTCAATAAAGTGGCAATTCAAATTTTTATTCATCAGCCATCATGAATGACCGGCTTTTCAGTCCAGAATCCGCTGGAAGTGATCCAAGAGATTCAGTTGTGAAATATGCAAATTGTGGGCGGGCGGATTAACATGGGATGCAGAGATGGAATTTCAATTTCACCATCAGCAAAACATGTTTATCATTTGCGATAACATTTCCTCATTTCTCTCTCTCTCTCACTGTCTTGGCAGGAAGACAACGAGCGGAGGATTTGATGGAATTTCTGGAGTTGTAATTGAATCTCACGCGAAGATGAACAAGTTGAGGAAACTTTCAAAACGCCATTTCATCACTGTGATCATCGTCTGTGGAATTTACATTCTTCTAATGCACATTTTCAGCAACAGGGACAACTTTGGCGACAACCGGCAGAAGTTGTGAGTCATTTTGGAGAGAGATAATCAAATCCTCATTTCTGATTTTCTTCGCATGTTTGGACGGGGGAAAACAATGCACGAAGCGCCAGAAGAGCAAAAAGAGAGTAAAAGTTGGAAAAATAGCTTGCTGAGTAGCATTGAAGCTCTTCATATTTTATTGATTGCGAAAATATGAATGTTTATTGATTTCAAGAACAGCAGCTTTTCGCTGCTTCATCCGCAAAATCGATAAGGGCACATTGCCAGTCTATTAGGGTCGCATTTAAGCCGCAATGTTGAGCAAAGATTGATTCTTTTTCATTCTTAATTAATTCTGCAAACTTTTCTCTCATAAAACATCAAATTTTAGGGGTGAGAAAATTATTTCAGTCAGTATTTAAGCTCTATTGCCAGTCAATTCATGTTTTTTTTAGTACTTTTGAGTGAATTCTGTGTGTTAAATTAATATTCCAATGATATTTTCGGATAAAACGAAATATTTCCTTTTTAACACACGTTTTTTCATCAATTATTGCATCCAAAATGCAGCTAAATTCCATAATTTTAAATAATATCCATAGAATATTAATTTAGTAAATTACCATGAAAAAACCTCAATTTTTAATCAGGATCCTCAGAAATAGATAGAAAATCACCAGGAAAGCCAGGAAAAGAGAAAAATTGATAAACAAATGGTTGAATTAGTCTGAAAATCGCCTAAATACTGACTTTGATTAATCTCTGAAGTTGCGAATTGATTTTGCTCGCCAGGGAGATGATCGAGGAGGGCATTCAGTCGGACGAGAACCAGGGCCAGTGCCGAATGCCCGAGCTGCCTTTGTATTCGCCGGAGATGATGAGCTTCCTGCGCGACGAGCCGCCGATCGACTGCGGCGACGAGAGCGACGACTGGGTGAAGTGCGAGCGCTCCACGTGCTTCATCCGGCCGGCTGTGATGGTGCGCAAGGGGCGCATTCGCTGTGATTTCGCTGATATCGTGCGCCTCGACGACTTCCGCATCGAGCTGGCGTCGTCGGTGGCCACGGAGGAGACGTACAAGCTCACGCAGTCGGACTTTGCGCGCGTGAAGTGCCACAAGGTGGACAGGAGCGAGCGCTGGCACGGAACGGTGCTGGGCGTGCGTGACGGCGTGCGCGTGGAGAGCCCAGGCATGGGCGACAGACTGAATGTGCTGATGTACGGCTTCGATTCGCTGAGTCGCAACGCCTTCATGCGCAAGCTGCCCAAGTCCTACGCGTATCTCACGGATGAGCTGCGCGCGGACGTGCTGCGGGGCTACAATGTGGTGGGCGACGGGACGCCGCAGGCGCTGATTCCGCTGCTCACGGGCCTCACGGAGCTGGAGCTGCCGGAGACGCGCAAGCGCTTCAGGAACTCCAACTTCGTCAACGTTTACCCCATGATCTGGAAGGACTACGAGGAGGAGGGATATGTGACGGCCTTCAATGAGGACGTGCCGGACATCGGGACGTTCTCGTATCGACTGAACGGCTTCGACGAGCAGCCGACGCATCACTACATGAGGACCTACTATCTGGCCATCAAATCGGAACTGAACCAGCACAGAAAACTGTGCGTCGGGCATCAGGCGCGCCACAAGACCATGCTGGAGTACACGAAGGAGTTCATGCTGAAGTACGCCAAGACGCCGCGCTTCGTCTTCAGCTTCCACGGCGAACTCTCGCACGACTCCATCAATCTGATCGGCGTGGCCGACGGAGACTTCTCGGCCTGGCTTCGGGATTTGCAGGCGCGCGGCGTGCTCAACAACACGCTGCTCATCGTGATGTCGGATCACGGCAATCGCTTCGCGGAGGTACGCAACACGCTGCAGGGCAAGCAGGAGGAGCGACTGCCCTTCTTCGCCTTCGCCTTCCCGGAGTGGTGGAAGAGGATGTTCCCGCAGGCCTACAGCAACTTCCGCGAGAACACCCAGAGACTCGCCACGCCGTTTGACGTGCACGCGACGCTCAAGGATCTCCTGAGTGAGTGAATTTTTTAGGATCTTCATTACGGATTTTCACCATTTTTTTTTATTCTCTATTGCTAAAAATTCTTTCATAATAATACATAACGCTGTTGTAGAATCAGAATAGGTTAAATTCATTTTTCACTTTTGTATGTTCAAAAATTGCCCGCATTCTTCTAAATTTAAATGCCACACAATAGAAATATTATAATTATACAGTTTCACGACCTAAATATTGATTATATTACATTATTTCCCACAAGCTTTGTCGCATTTAGTATCATAAGCCTTGAATTGCCTCCACAAGTGATTATTTTAAACTTTTTAAACTCAAATACAGCAATTATCGTATTAATAGAGCCCGAATTTCGTTCAATTGAAGCTCCCTTGAATAATTGATGTATTGTGTGCGTTTTCTTTCCGCAGAGCTTCAATCTCGCAGCGGCAGAGTATCTCGCCAGGATCACTCCCGGGCGATTTCGCTGTTCAACCGCATCCCGGAGACACGCTCGTGCGCTGACGCCTACATCGAGCCGCACTGGTGCGCGTGTCTCAACTGGCGGCAGATCAACGACACGTCCGCGGACGTCGTCGTGCGTGCGGCCGTGGCAATCGTGGACGCCGTGAATAAGTTCACGCAGGAGCAGCGCAAGCTGTGTCGCCAGCTGACGCTGAGCGAGATCAACTGGGCAGCCAAGCTGGCGCCGCACGACAATCTGCTGCGCTTCAAGCAGAACAAGGACATGGACGGCTTCCTGGCCGATCTCACGTCCAGCACGCAGGTGGTCACGGAGATGTACCAGATCAAGCTGACCACGAGTCCCGGCGGTGCCATTTTCGAGGCCAGCGTGACGCACGAGCTCGCCTTGCGCGCGTTCGACGTAAGGATGTCGGACGTGTCGCGCGTGAATCAGTACGGCGACCAGGCCAAGTGCATCATGGAGACGCAGCCGGAGCTGCGGAAGTTCTGCTACTGCAACGAGTGACGACGCCCTGTGTGTTCCCGCGCAATCTAGTCGATGTGCATATCTGACCAAAGAAGACTCCCTTTTCGACGCCCCAACGCCTTCAAATCCCTCGCCCCATTAGATGTGAGACACTCTCAATATCCCTCGCCCGAGGCGACGCTCAAAACATTGTATCAAATCAAATTTGAATCTTTTTTGTGTAGAGCTGAAGAAAGAGACCATTTCTTCTTGGACACAAATTCTTTTATTTCACCGGCCGTCTTCTCGTCTTCTGTTTGCGGATTTGCAGAGTGTTTGATTGAGAACATGATTTCCTACGTGAAAAGATTACAGCTGTCTTCTTAAATAGATTCAAGGAATTTGCCTTCCTTCCTATGGTTTGTTGTAGTAGAAAAGAAGAGAGATAAATTGGATAGTCCTTAGCTTTCCTGACCCTTTTTCGCTCTAGAAACACACACAAAACGCCGAAATACTGCCTCAACACGCGTGTCTACTTTTGCTCTGTGGACTCCTCGTCCTCGTCAAAGTTCTCCTCTTCGCCGTACTCCTCGCTGTTCTCGTCGTTCTCCTCCGGCTCCACCTCGATGTCGGGCACCAGATAGTACTGCAGCGGATTTGGCCACAAGTCGTCCTTGATGAGCTGCAAGAGGACAGTGTCAAGAGCGTCCAGACGCGGGGAAAGCAAGCGGGTTAACTCACCTCGGCAATCTCATCGTTGATGGGATCGGAATTGTCGGTGAACCAGTCGAAGAAGGACTTGAACTCGAGGTTGCGCTTTCTCCTGTTGGCCGCCGGCTTGAACTGCAGCGCCTTCAGCAGGTCCCTGCCCTCGCGCCAGGTGATGGGCGAGCTGGTGGACGTGGGCCCGTCGCTGGAGCCTAGACAGAACTCCTTGGTGATGAGCTCGTTCTCGAAGAAAGGATTCTTCTCGAAGAAGAACTTGAGGCGATAGCCAGACTTGATGTCATCGAACTCCTCCACCACCAGCTTCTCCAGATAGTGGAGGCACTCCTCCTCCTCTTCCTCCAGAATCGACGAGATCTGCGGATGATTCACGATCGCCGTGACCCAGAAGCTGGGAATTCTCTTGATGATTTGGTTCCTCTTCTCGAACAGAGGCTTTCGCAGCTTGTTGTATTTCTGTTCCACCTTCAGGATCTCCTCGCTCGCCTTCTCATTCAGCGCATCAATCTCATTCTGGCACGCGTCTATGTGCTCCAGCGCCTCAGACTCCTCCTCGTTCATCTCCCGGCTGTTGCCATCCTCCGTTTTCGCCTTCTTCGGTGAGGAAGCCATAATTTGCAGCCTTCTCGCGCGTCACGCACCGCCTTTTGGACGCCTTGCACGCACTGCTTCGCTCACGGAATGCACAAACTTCACCTGGGAATCGCCACTGAGTGCGGAATGCCCCTATTTTCCCCGGAAAACTACAATCTGTCGCGGAAAACAGCAGTCCGGCAGCGGCACCACTTGTCAAATTGGCCTTCGTTCAGTTACCGCCGACAGAGTGCGCGGCGGCACTTTGGGACAAATCCGCCGGCGCGTAGAATTGTTTTATTACGCGCGAGCCTCAGTAATTGCAATTAATTCGTCAGGAAGAAGGAAAAGCCAATCTCAGCTTGGTATTTTCCCATTTTCAACTCATTTCACGGCGGCTTTGGGTGGAATTCGTGGATTTTCCTGTGTTTTTTGTGACAACATGACAACAGCGCTCACGGGTATTTTTCACACTAAAGAGGGGAATGACCGTGTTTTTACAATCTGCACAGCTATTGTGTCCATTCATGAGATTCTGCGAAAAACCCTTCCGAGCACAATAAAATAATGGAATTCTTGTACAATGAAGCATCATAAATCTTCCTTGGACATTCCTAATTTCTTTTTCAAGGAATCTTCAGCATTTCACCCTCATAATATGACTTATGGAGGCTATTTGAATCACTAGAATCACTCTCGGTCGTGTGATAATCATCTCTTATTTGGTCTTGGAAAATTCTGAGTCGCAAAACCAAAACAAAGCCAGAAAACACCGGTAAACTGTAGGAAAATGCTCCTCCCGAGGCAAATTCAGCCTGCCAGCACTCGTAAGTGATCTAAGATCTGCACAGAGACTTTCTGATCACTTCCTTGGTCCCTCCAGGGAAACTCTTCTACTGGGTGAACATCATCTTCAACACAGTGGACAAGAGTCGCCTCCGGACAGTCGGTCCGAATCGCCTGTGCGCCGAGTGGGTGCTGAAGAACGGCGGCGCCGTGAGATTCTGCGAGAGCCCAAAGATCCTCCACAACGACTACAATCTCCTGCCGCCCGAGAGCTCAACTGTCACCGTGAAGGAAATCGACGCCAGCAACAGCGCCGTGATGACGATGGGATTCGCCCACTTGGAGGGCTGCGCGAAGGTGGACAGAATCATCCTGGGCAACTGCAAATACGCCGACAATCGCGGCATGAAGTATCTGGCGCTGGCGAAAGAAACACTGCGCGAGTTGGAAATCAGCCAATGTCCGAATGTCAACGATTCCGGACTCCTGCAGCTCTCCAGCCTGACCAAACTGCAGAAGCTCGTGCTGTGCGATTTGCAGGGCGTGAAGGACTTGCCGGGCATTGAGCAGCAGCTGAAGATTCATCTCAAAGATTGCCAATTTCAAGTAACGCCAACGTGACAGAAAACTTCCTATATTTACACTTAAGAGACTCAAAAAAACGATTTAGAATCAAATTTGTGAAGAGATGAAATCTTAAGAATTATAGCATTATAAAATCTACAAAAAAACACACTCTTTTTTTTATCCGTTAAAACATCCTTCACTGGGTGGTTTGTTTGCCTTTGTCACGGTCCTACTCATTGTGATATACTTTGGATATTTACACACATTGAAAGGACTTTTTTTTATATAAGAGAGAGAAAAAAAATTGAAAACATTAGCGAAAATCATTTGATTACAATTCATCTAATATAAAAATATTATTGCGCTAAGAATTGAAAATATTTTTCTCTTACTGGATTTATCTTAATAGTTTTTTTTCCTTCACTAAATATTTATATATATATACTTTTAAAACCTCACATTGACCTTTTCTTACATTTTTGCTTTAGTTTGCAAGAAAACAAACGTACAATTAACACTAACTATCGTCTAATCCTTACAATTCGTACTTTTATGATTATGTCGCTAGAGAAATTATATTAATTAGAATAAAATAAAATCATTTAAAGCCAAGGCCGGATTAAAGTATTAAAAGAACGCATAAAAAAATTCTCCTAATGGCTTAAAATAACTCCTTCACTTTGTGATCATTGAACTCCTAAAGTAACCACTTTTCCTCCTCATTCTTCTTTCTTTCTTTTTTTACTATTGTCATTTGCATGTTGAGCCTCACAAATTGTCCTTCGAAATTATGCTGTTTAATCTCTTTGTTTAACACATAAAATAATTATTATAAAAAATTGCAAGCGCCAATCCGACCCGGATCCAATTTAGCCAAAAAAAAAACATTAAAATATCTCACTCTCACTGTAAAAATCATTAAGACAAGAAATACGGCTTTGTTAATTAAACGCAAAAAAATACTGGGAAAATATTGTTAGTTTAAGAGAAAAAAATATTAAGAGAACAAAATTACTTGTTAATTGTCACTGATTTCATTTTTCATATCCATTTTCTTTTCCTCATTTAATCACTTTAATTAATTGTTATTTAAAAATTTTGTACTCTTCATGGCACTCAACTTCTTTTCGCTTTTTTTTTCTTCTTCCCCACCATTAATAATGTTTTAAATAAAATGCTTTTTTCCTTATTTAAAATCAATATTGATTCACACATTATTAAAAGAGAGGATTTGATTGGCTGTTTTTTCTCCATTTCCTAACCTGTCCTATTTTGAGTCCCTTAAAATCTATCATCAATTAAAGAAAGATCCTTAAAAACATGCGAAGTTTATCTGCAATTTTACCACCTTATAATAATATGCTAAGATTCATCTTCTATTCGGATACCGCTTTAAGTGTTGTGAGCCTGAGCGCCGCGCGTCTCTAGTAGACCTTCGGCATGATCAGATTCGGCACGATGTTCGTGTAGCGCTTCCAGGAGGACATGTAGCGATTGTCGCAGTGCCTCTCCACGCGCCGCATGCGATTGAGTTGCAACAGCACGAGATGGAGCCCACTCAAGAATGGCACCCAGCCAAACTTGGCGTACAACAGCGAAAAGAACGACAGCACCGAGATCATCTCGCCCAGGTGGTTCGGATGGCGCACGAAGCCCCAAAGTCCGGACACCAGCAGCTCCTTGTTCTGGTGTGTCGGGATGGCTTCGACATCTGCAAGGGGAGAAAAACGGATGAAAATCAAGTCAGAATGCAGAAAAACCAATATTCTTAGTCAATATTCAAGGCATTGAGAATGAAATTCACTTGCTTAGTGTGACAATTTCTTAAAATCCCTTCTTCTAAAAATCACAAAATTATTGCTTGATAAATTCAATAACTTTTAATACAGTGATAGAATTGAGTGAAATCAAATCAATTTCTCTGAAACTGTTTCAGTTGGAGTTACTGATTGTTCACACAGTTCACGATAAATTGAAGAGATTGTGGACAAAAGAGAATTTCATTCTCTTATCAGAATATCATTGTAAACCAACTTGTTCCAATTTGACTAACAGGATTCTTACAGGCATTGGTGAGAAAATATTCCCGCTTTGACTGCAATTCATATACTAGAGATTGTATTGAAAATTACTCACTCTCGAACTTCTCATGTTGCGGATTCAGTCTGAACTCGTATTTGAACTTGTCGGCCAATCTCTTCACCACGACGCCGGCGATAAAGAGAACTGCGACGGCGACAAGAAACCAATTCGGTATTTCTTCGTCACTCGGAGCGATGACGAGTCTTGGTATGGTGGTGATCAAGAAGGGGAAACTAGAGTATGTAAGCAGCAGGAAGCTTCCGAGTCCTTCGTACTGCAGCTCATATGAGCTCGTGAGATGATGCTCGTGCAGAAGCAGATCCAGTAGGTAGAAAACCAGGAGTCCCGAAGTCATGGCGATTGCATGATTGTAGTGTATTCTGTCCACGAACCCCAGAACGAGGTCCACCAAGGGGATGTCACTCTGTAACATACCCTTCCGCATCCCAAACCTGACACTTCTGTAGAAGTAGCTGCCCGCGATCATGAGCGTCAGCAGAATTGATATGCGTCGCTGCACGAGTTTGATGTCAATGCGATCGAACCAGAGCGGCGACACTTCTCTGCCCATCATGAAGTCCACGAGTTGATTTCCGGTCTTCGCTTGTGGATTCCACAAGAACTCCGGCATCTTCTTGGAGCGGAAGAACAGATACAGGGACAGCGACAGTCCGTTGATCAGGGACAAGACACAGAGCTGGAACTGGTGTGCGAGCACCAAGTCCATCACTCGATACTTGAAGTACTCCGCCAGTGCCACGCAGCCAGTCGCAACCACTGCCGTGCCCAGGCCGTTGAAGTAGTAGACATTCTGGCCGCGCTCCGTGTACATGTTCACGATCCTGCCGAGCGGGAAGGACGCCAGCAGAGCCACGAGAACATTGAAGGAGATGAAGAGTCCGGCCAGTTGGTAGTTTATCGACATTTTCAGATTCCACAGGTGGCTCCACTCGGGCTCGCGCAGTCCACAGTTGTACACCTCGCAGAAGTACGAGAGGACGAGCGTGAATATGGTCACGAACACCAGGTGCAACACGGCAGCAGAGGGCCTCAAACTGCCTCTCTTGTCCGCCGGGAGACTTTTGCCTCTCTGCACGTACGACGTGGCCAGATCATTGCCGAAGTCGAAGCCCGTGTCCTTCCCATACTCGTTTTCATTGTCTGAGAACTCTGTGTGCGAGAAACGGTCCACACTCTGGCTAACTGACCGGCTCACACTGCGGCGCGACAGCTCAGAGGCCGGCGTCAGTGTTCTCGGCTCCTGCGACAGGCGCACAGTCAACACCTTGCCCCCCATCTTCAAGTCGGCATCCTCCGCTCCGCGCGACAGCGTCACCGTCTTGCTGGTGGACTGCGTGGTGACGGAAGAGGTCGATCCGGTTGTCTTCAATTCCAGCTTCTCCGCACTCTTGGGCGATGTGTGTCCCTTTTTCCGCTCCTTGGGCGACTCCTCCTCCTTCTTCGACGGCTTCTTGGTCTCCCGGCGCGGCGACTTGGACGCTTTGCGTGCCTTTGCATCTTTCGGCGACAGCGAACGCTTCGCTCCGGGGGACCTTCTGGCCGGATACTTTCTAATCACCTCCGGCGATGGTGATCGCTTCTTCGAGCCATATCGCGAGCCCTTTCTGCCGTGCGAATCGGAAGTTCCCCGCGTTACACGCTTCTTATCCATTGTTTATCTGCAATTACAATATTGGGAGGGAATTTTAGGACAACGAATTCAGGTTATGGCGCCGTGGCGTCCATTTGACAAATCCCATTCCGCTATGCCTCAGCATTTCCACCCATTTCACCGTTATACACGCAAAAATTCTGCAATATTCCATGTGAAATACCTGCAGGGACAGTTCGGTGGTCGAATTAGACACTTTTTCAGCAGAAATGTGGCCAAAATACTAAGAAAAATTCAGAAAATGCACTAAACTCTCACTGACAATGACAAGACGCCAATTTGCACTGCCACCTGCAGGACGGCATTTGAAACTGGATGTGGAAAAAAAACTATCCGAGTTTATCCAAGGAAATTTGAGGTTGTGTTTGTGGTGCAGGAAGAAAAGCTGATTGACTTGCAGAGAATCCCTAAAATATATTCCAGACTGCACCAGAAACTTGATAGTAAGTTGTAATTTGGTAAATGAATGCTTCCTCTATCATTCTACGTAGGAATATTGAATTTTGCTTCAATATGTGGGTAGAAATTGCGCGTTGAAAACATTGTTTTGGGTTTTTAGGAGAGAAAATGACTGAACTTGTGACTGAAGGATTCACGCACGTCCTTGTGATTGACTTCGAGGCGACTTGTTGGGAGGGAAAGTTTACCCATACATGTGAAATCATTGAATTCCCCGCGGTGCTGTACAATCTGGAGACGCAAAGGATTGAGAAGGAATTCCGGCAATATGTTCGTCCCACTGAAACTCCAGAACTGAGTGAATTCTGCACAAGATTCACCGGAATAACGCAACAGCAAGTCAGGGATGGTGTGATCTTAGCTAAATGCCTGCTGATGTTCAACAACTGGGTGAAGGAAACTGTCCAGGAGAGAGGATTGCTCTTCCCGCGCATGGACAGGCGGAATATGCATGGGAATGTGGCTCTGATGACTTGGTCTAATTGGGACATGACCAAGTGCTTGAAACAGGAATGTGTCCGGAAGAGTCTCTCGAGAGCCTCATACTTCAATCAATGGATAGACTTGAAGAAATGTTATGAGGTAATTTGAGTTTTGCGTTCTTTTAGCCGAATTTACAAATTTCCTGCCCTTCAGGAGTGCTTCAATTACCCTCCGAGATCATTCGCAGACGCCCTGGACTTTGCCAGGCTGAAATTCGAAGGACGACAGCACTGTGGGATGGACGATGCGCGGAACATAGCCAAATTAGCGGGATTAATGCACAGGAGAGGCTACAGATTTGAGTTAACAGCCAACTTGCTGCCGCCCAACAAGATGAATTTCCCATTTTGATCCCTTTCACCATACAATGGACATGTTTTTCGGACGACTATCGCAATAGTGAATTATCATGTTTAATTGACTTTTTTTTATTATTAAACACTGGGTGGATATTAATTATTTCATTGTTGCAATTTCTCACGTACTGAATCACAAAATCGTTCAACAAAAAGCGCTGTGACGACATTTTCATATATATCTCCTAATGCTGTGTTGGACGCTCTTGGAGAGCGACACAAGAGGTATTTTCCACCGTGGAATTCTCTTTCTTCACTCCTATAAAAGCTAAAAGGTGAAATACAACTCGCGCGCTCTTCGTTGACTAAAATCGCACCTCAATCGTGTGCTGCGCGAGAGACTTGTGAGCGTGTGCTCGAGCAAAAAGCCCCAGAGTTGATCAGTCAGAAGATCAGAGATTCAAGATCAACCAGAGGAGGTATGATGAATCATAGCTAAGCAGCAATGCCAGGATATTACACTCAGAACGCCCAGAATGCTTGAGGAATCTGAAAGACAGCAGGATGTTCCCAGTGAAATCTTGCTTGATCTAGAAAATCACTCGCTGACGACGTTCAACTCCAATCGCGGCACAAGAGACTTTCGATTCCACTCGAGATTGTTGGCCAAGAAGGGGTTTTTCTCTCGCTCTCTCGCGACGACGGCTGAGAAAGGCGAAGAAGACAAAACGGCAAGGCTTCAATCCCACCACGAATCCAGTCATCGAGAGTCACTGGCAGCGAACACACCGCGTTTCTTTGGCGCGCGCGCACAAAAGAGGAAAGCAGCTCATGAGAGCAGCGCGCAATTAAATGAGAGAGAATTAGTGCAATAAGCGACTGCTTAATTCGGTTGATTGCGCACCGCGAAGCCGCGGCGGAACTGGGTTGTTGTGTGTACGGCAAAATTATCAATTTGCATCCTCAATGGAAAGTTGTTGAGTGCTGGTTTTTTTTCTGCCTCTTTCATCGTATTTTATTGGTGTGTTTTGCGGGGAAATGCGGATTTTCTCTGTGGCATAAGAAGAAGAAGAGGAACGGAAAAGCCGCCAAGTGTGAGTGTTTGTGCTTTCGAGATCTTGTTCTCATCTTGGGTGATTGCGTGAGAGAAGACATGAATTTGTCCGTGCCTTTGCGAGTGCTGGAAGGAAGCTAAAAGAGCAGAGAATGTGGCAGAGCTAAAGAGACGAAATTTGTGAAAGAAGAGAGAGAGAGAGAGAGAGATTTTAACATCCATTTATCGCACCTTTTCTCCTCTTTTTCACACAAATCAACGCATTTTCCTCCTCTCACCCCAAAAATCCCGATTTCCCAACCACGCGCGTGAAATTATCCAATAAATCCCACGACGAGAGACGCGTGCGAATTTGCTTAAATTGAAAACCTTCTTGTGATAAAGTTAAAATATGGGATTTCTCCATGGGACTCTCACAGCACTGGTCATCGTCAATCTCTGTGGATTATCTCAGCAACAGGGTGAGTTTCGTTCCCATCATTTTCATTGCGCACATATGTATGAAATCCAAATCGCGGAGAAATTGAAGATGAAGAAAAAACGACTCTTTGTGATATAATCGAAGTCATTTCTTTTTGCACACCACATCGCGCCAATGCAAAGGAATAAAAAAAAGCCGTGCTAGCGAGAAGGTGAATTACACTGCAATGTATATGTGAATGATCGAATTGCGTAATTCGATAAAATCGGTAACAAATTTCCCAATCATTTCTCACTCACACACAATTTTTCCCTCCTCAAGAGAATTTCTTGACCAAAAAGAGAGAATCTCTGGGTGGGAAAAAACGCTGTGAGTGTTCTTGGGACGCTCTTGCAAAACCATGACACACTCGAGAATGTCGAGATGTTCGGTGGTCAAACAGGAAATTCACGATACATAAGCACATTTCGGTGATGAAGATCCACAACGCAAAGTGCTTAGAGAAATAAAAAACCCGCCAGTTGGATATTCATTTCATATTTGCTAGCGAGAGACTTTCAAGCGTCTCTTAAAGAGCACACAAGCAGACAAGAAATACTTTCCTTTTTGCTCAAGGCCTCCCAGTCACACAAATCCACCTCTCTTTTGATACACAAACACCTTCGACTTCTTCCACATATATATTGGTATCGAATCGCGAGCGCGCGCGCGTAAAATGGCAAATTTAAACATCGAAAACCCGAGAATTTGGACAGTCAAACAACACTTGAGATTCTCACGAGGCGTTTTGGCATTCGCAAATCCACCCTCGAGTTTGTCGCCAAAGTTGAGGAAATAATGTCCATAAGAAATCTCACAGGCAAATAAAATCTCGTCAGTGTGGTTTAATGATGATGGAAAACGGGTTTCTAAGACATTTTCAGTGCGCGAAATAGTCTTTTTTCTCTCCTCCTTCTCTATCTCACGAGCCCACCTTGATTTCTTGTCTCACTGAAGGAGACAAGAAAATGATTTTTCATTTCCAGGTTCGTCGCTTCGCGTTGATGTCTTTCCTTTTTTTTCTCGCCATCGCGTCAAGTCAAGTCGCACACAAGAGTCTCGCAATTGCAGATGATTTTGCGCAAGAGCGCTTAACATTAAATTTAATTAATCTGAGACAGAGAAACACGCCCTAAGATTGCAAATGTGTCCACCATAATTCAATTTGCCTTCACGCTGAGAAAATTCACCTAAAACACAATCTCATTTTCCCTACAGAGCGCCAGAGTCACGGATAAGCAAATATTGAATGAAAGCAGGTAGTTAAATTCACCACTTATGAAAATACTGGACTAGGAAGCACTTTGACTTGAAAAAATGTGGATTTACGAGTGCACAAATGTGGCTTAATAACAGCCCAAATATTTATCTTTTACGCCGGATTTAAGTTTACCGGAAATATTCATAAAAATATTGATTTGATTCGCTATTCAAATCCTCCACAGCTCTGCACACCTTTCAATTATTATTAATGATTTTCAGGCAGAAAGCCTTTAATCTTCTGCAAAATGTACTTCCTCTATTCAAACACTGTCAATACTTTTATTGTTTGCCATTACTTTGGCACTAAGGGGTGGAAACTTAAGCTAATAATTAATAAATTACTGGAGATAAATTAATAGAAATCAAGTCAACTTGAACCACAAAATATCTGCAAGTTATTCTCAAGACACAGGAAATCAATGGTTGTAAAGACATCACAGACTAATAGTTAAAATCAATCTCTGTGAAGGTCTGACGTTTGGAACAAATGCGACGCATGGCTTTTGAAAGCTTTTTCAGGAAATTTGCAGCACTTTCAGTTCTTCAATTGTGTCAATAACTGCTTATCTAAGACGATTTCTGGCGATTCCTCGCTCCGCCCCTTCACAAGCCCCGCCCACTCTTATATCGCTCCAACCACCATTAATTGCAGTTACGATAAAGTGACATTGCGCAACTTCTCTTTCTAAAACTATCATTTGCCAGCAACTTAAGAGCCTCAAATATCCAACAATTACTCAGTTCTCTATCATGAGTAGTTCACACGTTTTTTTTTTATTTATCATCTCTTCTTGTTGAGAGACACAATATTTTTCTATGCGATATTGTCTGTGAAAATTCTCAGTGTTACTTCTCTCACTCCGCGGCGACTATTTATATTGAGCGCGACAAATGCATGAAAAAGAATTCCTACGATAACCTTGGCTCGTGATTTCACTCAGCAAAACCTCAACGGTTATTCGTGTGAATGTGAAATAAATTTATAAATGGATTGCCGTTGTGTAAGAATTTTAATAATATAGTCATACGCGGAGTGGCATTTAGGAGGAACATGGAGTGAAACAAGAAATTAACAGTTGTTGCCAATTCAATTGAATCACCACCGAAAACCTATTCCTCATTCCCAAGTCCCCAAAAACTCGAGGGCATTCAGAGAGACGTCGTTGAGTGAAATTAGAGACTTTTTACTGGCGCAATGATGAGTGTCGGCTGTTTTTAAGGTCGCGCAAAAAAAGTGTCTCTCTTCATCTTCAAGATAGCATTCGTAGATATTTTCTCGTGGGTGCGCAACAGTAGACAACAAAGCATCAAATTCATCTTCCTCAACATGAGATTTCTCGTTGAAAAATTAAGATAAATCTGCTTAGGCAATTGGGTTGAAATGAAAACTCTTAAATAATTGGTGCGTACAACTTTTTCTACCATCATCTCCGTCATGTTTAACCAACTCTTTCACTCCTCGTGCGTTGCCCACTTATTCTTCTGCTCTCAAGCACAGAGAGCAAATTATTTAAAATAAACTCTCTTGAGACGCTGGACAAAAGAGCATTTTTATAAGGCCGGCCGAATTAATTTTATCGACGGCGCAAAAGGTGGGATTTTTTAATGGTTGTGATTGTAAAAGAAATTCACTCTTCGCTTTTGCGGCGCTCTTTCGAATCGCACGAATGGACGAAAAGAAACATCGCGAGGCAATTTGCAAAAAGGTTCGGCCACTGCACCGTCCTTGAAGTCATCGACTTTCTTGTATTATTTCATTCTCAGGCACTCGAAGAGAAAACAAACAAAATTCCACAAAATACCAAAACTTGAAATTTCAATTGATCCGCTTGCAAAACACATTTTCGGTGGAGAATCTTCGGGTCTTAAGAAATTCAATTCCTTTGTGTCCACAGAAGAGATTCAGCCAAGAGATACTGATGCGCGAGACAATTCCGCGTCCAGATCTCTGGTGTGTGTTTCCCTTCTTGGCGCGGAGCCGAAAAAGAGGCAAAAACGCTTCGCAGTGAAAGAGAATTTCTCGAGTCATTGGACTTTGCCAGAGTGAGAGAGAGACTCTAAAAGCAAAATAAAGGCACAAGAAGCGCAATAAAAGCGCAGAAAAGGAGGAATTTCGTGATGTGAATTGTTTGTATTTGAGAGAATTTAAATCAACGCTGCGAAGTACAACTTTTGGTGCATGCGTTCAACTATTAAATAACTTCACCAAGTAATTGTCTAACTATTTCGTAAAGAAGAAAAAAAAAACTCTTTTTTTCATACAGAGCGCTCGCGCGCGACTTATGTATGAATTCTTTCATTGCCGCGCGCCACAAGAAAAGGCCCAGATACCAATTTTATTCCCATGAATTGTGAAATTGACTCACAAAATTCAATTTAACCGCGCGCTGTGCATGGATTTTTCCCACCATTCTCTCTATCTGGCCACCCAATTCGTCTTGCATTGTTTACACCAGTGTTGGGATTATTGTTTGACTCTGAGGCAGTTAAATATTTTTCATTATTAAAATGCGATATCGCGCAATTCACACACATGATTCATCCCGCCATAGCTCTCTCATCCATCTCACACCAGCAACTCTTCCATCTCTTTTGCAGATCAACAGAATTACTTCTACACACAGAATCAAGGGCGTTTTGCGCCACCGTACCAAAATCCGAGGAACAATGCGTACTTCGGCCAGGCGCAGCCGCGCAATCCGCAGCCCGGCTCCTTCCAGGAGCAGACGCTGTACGTGGGCGCACCCGGAGCACCCGCAGGAGGCGCCCAGGCCGCTGGACAACTGCCAGATTCCAGTACGTCGGCGTACTTCCCGTTCCCGCCATTCACGGTGAGTCACTTCAATCCGCCCGCTCTTTCTGCCGCCTGTGAAAAATCCGATGATCTTTGCGAGGAATGCGCACTCTAGGGTGTGCCATTTTGCCACAGAGCTTCGACAGAGAGAGAAAATCCGCCAGCGAGAGGAAATAATAATAACCAGAAGAGCACAAGTCACAGTCTGACTCTGACCTCAATCATTATATAAAACCACATTCGAGTTTATGTCATATTCTGGATACTTTCATTATCTCAGAGATTTTAGGAGATGATTTTTTGTGCTTTGGAAAGGTCTCAAGTCGCTCATAGCGAGAATTCACATTGATTTGTATCAGTTTGCAATAATACATAATCAATTTACAGCAAAGCTTACAGGAAATCCTTCCGATCTGTTCTGTTTTGTGCAATTTGACAAAGCGTTTTGCTCGTTTTGCATTCTTGAAATTAAACCATAAGTGGAAATCGTGTAAAGAAGGCTTGCCAGAAGGCTTTCTAGAATCTAGAAAGACATAACGAAAGCTATTCAAGTGTGCGCTTAAAATTATTTATAGTTGTAATGTCGTTAAACCTCAATTTACATAAGTAATGTTATTATTTAATGCAATATAACATTCTTATCGCTTGTAAATTAAATTAATAATTCACCCATTGCATAAACAAAGGTCTTATAATCCTATATAAATACATTGCATATTCAATATTTGTGTATAATGAAGAGTATATTTTGGTGAACTTTCGCGATGTTTGATGAGACAATTTCCAAATAGCAAAAGCTAATGACAGAAATGCAATATAGTCAAATTATGAGAAAAGCCCTTTCCGCTTCTCCGATCTCCGGTTCATGTCTTTCTTTCAGAGCGTTAATCCGTTTTATTTCTAATTATTTTATTTGTGTAATTTTAGCTAATAAAACCTCATTAGACTTCTTGTTGGGTTTGTTTCACAAGAAACTTCTGTGGAAATCGAGGTTGATCGCTCGATATATTTCTCTTTCATAAGCTCAATACCTTTTTTACACGATGTGAAAACCTCTTATTTTCATCAATGGCGGGAAAAGTTGAGCTTTTGTACTCCGTTTGCTCTTGAGGTTTATTTTTCATTGGTAAAGCGCGCGCGCGCGCAATTTTACGACAATTTAATCCGCATGAATAAATTGCTTGTGTTTGTGTGATTCGGAAAAATCTCTTTGCGCGCGAAAAGAGATCAAGTGTGATTATCGTGAAAATTGTTTGTGTTCACCTTGAGCAGAAGCACAGCATTTGAGCGTTGGGTGTTCTATCAGAAGCTCTTGACCTCGCACTTAATCACACAACACCTTTAATCTCTGAATATATTCTTGTGCTATCGCGAAAAGCGACAATCATGCAGTTGCGCTGCACAAATTGGAACACGCCTCGATTTTTCTGCTACAATGTTTCCTTGAAAACATGCATTTACTTCTTTGCCTCTTTCGATGCTTTTCGGTTGTCTGTGAGAAATCCGTTGTTTTCCCTTTTCGCCATTCCGTTCACGTACGCGCGCCACTGTTTCATTTCAAAATAGCCACTGGCTTTTTTAAAGGTGCGGAGGAATCACGTGAAAATATGCCATCAAGTTCGATGGACGTGCATTTCGTGCGGGAAAACTAATTTCAATTTAATAATAAATATCTCGCGGGATTGCCAAATGGCGGCACAGCGGAAAAAATGCCGCAATGTGGCAATGTTGGGGCGCTTTTTTCTCCTTCCCAACACCCGCCAGGAATGTGTCGTGGATCGCTGAGTGGCCTCTAAGTAAATGCGGCTGGTAGGAAAAATTATGAGTCTGACTTGGAAAGTGATTGAAATTCCATTGCGCGCGATACCCAACCCACAATTTTGCCACCATTGTTGCCTCCAAATGGCTTTCCAGGGAAGACATTAGAGTTGAATAGGAGTCGTGCGTTCGACCTCGGCGATCAAACTCGGTCACAGGCGCGATCACAAGAGATTTGACACTCACACCACGGATTTACATTGATTTGCGCCCATCAGGCAAAGAAAGGCATATAAATCAGCGGAAAGACGGTCAAATGTGTTACAAAGCCAAATTTTTGATACTCTTACTTAATGTGCATGTCTTTTTTCACCTCTTGTTTTTATTTTCGGTCAAAACTGGAGCGAATTTTTTGCAAACAATTTCTCATTTTTATCATTCAATTTGAATTTCAAAGCCATTGATTCACAAAATTAAAGGCTAATGAGCAGCAATTTGTATTAGATTGACGCTTTCTTGCGGATATAATTTTGTAAAATACTTTTGTCCAATTGGCAAAGGACAATTTCTCTCTCAATCCCAAATAAGATTGCGCCAAATGATGACCTCTAAACGGTATTTTTTCTTTGCAATTGCAGACAACGCGACATCCGGAGCTGTTCGAAATCTCCCCGCGACCATTTGCCGGACAGCCGCTGAGGAATAATGCCTTCCAGTTCCAGAGGATACCACCGACAGGAGTTCCCCTGCCGCCCCAGCCGCTGCCCGACTTCCCGCCCCGGAATCTGCCGCCACACCAGGCGGCGGATCTGTTTCTGAATCAAATCGGTCTGGAGCGAGGACAGCAGCATCGCCAAGACCAACCAGCGACGCGTGAGAAGAATCCCGGCAGGAATGCGGGTGCTTTCAAGGCCTCCGCGGCCGATGATTACTTAACTAGTCATGAGGAGACGTTCAGGAGTAGGAATAGACACCGAACGACGGAAGCGCCGGAGGTGAAGAATGTGCGGGCAAAACCCACCAAGGGAGTCTCACCAGATGCCATAGAGCTCAGGAAGACGCCGCCAGTGCAGAAGATTCAGCAACTCCTGCGCTCACGGCCGGTGCCTTACGATCAGCCCGAAGCGACGCCCTTCCCGAAGAATCCAGAGCCACCAAAAATCAACATCAGTCACAACGGCAGCACGAAGCAATCCAACGAGTTGCCAACACTGGAGGACAACTATCCGGACTACTATTACGATACAGCCGACGAAAATCTCATGGCGAGAGTGAAGAATCCCGAGGAGAAGAAGAGAGTGGCGACGAAGGAGGAGTCATCGTCGCAAGAGCAAATCAATCCGAATGTTTACGTTCCAAACATGGTGAATCTGGACGACACAAGCAAACACATCAGAGACAACAAGGCCACCTTGGAGGAAAAGCTCCCTGAACCCACGGAAGCTCCGAAAGCTGAAGTGATCACGGCGAAGGAAGAAGTGCCTGAAGATCACACAGTCATTCTCACGTCGAACTTCTATTTGCCGGAAAATCAGAACGAAGAGACGCCCGAAGACAAGCTTACTCCCGTAGAAAGCGATGATGAGGAGTACGAGTATGAAGACTACGCGGATGAGGATGAAAACATCCCCCAAATCACAACTGCGAGTCCCACATTTGAAACACCAACGGACAAGTCCACAACTCAAGCGCTAGAAACGGAGACGCCCAACATTGCGTCGCCCATGAGTTCAGAGAACATCTCCACGACGACAGAGAGTTGGGTGGTGATTGCTTCTGTGCAGACGAGCAGATCTGTTTCCGGAGCGAGATTCCTGCCCTTCCCTCAAGTCGAGCAGGAGGAGAAGAAGCAGAGTCTGTCGGATCTGGAGAAGGATGGCAAGGCGTCAGAGGAAGAAGAGAGTAAAGATGATGATCTGTTGGAGAGAAACATTGCCAATTCGACACCTGAACAGGAAGAGTTCACAACACTGCCGAACGAGGAGGAGATCAAGACGGATTCCACGCCAGAAGCTACTTCACACTCCGCACCAGCTTCTGGCGCTCCTCAGTCGACAGAGAGCATAATCGACAAGCTGGACAGAGTTCAATCAGAGCTCTCGAGTGGAGTTCTCTCGGGAAAATTCCCCATCCTCAATGAGACTCTCGAGGATGTCACCACGAAGTCCACGCCTGTTGTTGTGGTGAAGAAATTCAGTCCACGAACAACTGCTGCGCCCACGTCAACAACAACCACCACGACGAAGAAGCCTGAGATAAAGAAACTCGTCTTTGAGACACTGCCCATGGACGATTTGGCTGCACTTCTGCCGCCCGGATACAAGAGTCGCGTGGGGTACAAGAACAAGAAGATCCCCACAACATCCACAACGACCACAACTGCTGCGCCGGAAGTGAAAAGTAACTCCTCCGCACTGGCAAACCTCATGAGCAGTATTTTCGTGAAAGACCTCAGCGTTTTGGGGCTTCTGCCGAAGAACTACACCACAGAAGCGCCTGTGAAGTCTTCGGCTGATGATATCCTGCAGAAGGCGCAGAAAGTCGACATCAGCGCCTTCCTACCGTCCGGCTATGTGGCCAGTCCAACCACCCCGAAAGCCGTGCCCAAGAAGCCCTTGACAGTCACTGTGGAGGATGACATCAGCAAATTCCTCCCGGCAGGGTATAGACTACCCAAGACCACCAAGATGCCTCCGACAACGTCCACAGCTGCGCCTGCCATTCCCATCGTCGATGATATCAGCAAATTCCTGCCGCCAGGCTTCAAGCTCAACGACAGCGTCATTCCCAAGGCTGAAAAGGTGGACATCTCCAAGTTCCTCCCGGCGAACTACACGGAAAAGCCCCAGGAAATCCAGAAAGTAGTCTCTTCCACCCCAGCGACGACCACAACTGCCAGCGCGAAGGTTGTCTTCCCCAGTCGCCCAGGATTCCTGGCCAAGAAGCCCGGCCAGAGGCCGACTACACCCAAATCCACGGAGAGCGGCGGACCACCTTCTCCTGACATCGTCATCCGCCACGGCCCGCCCACGAGAGCCACCACGGAGTTCACCGGCTGGCCAACTCCTTCGACAACACCTCTGTCCATTGAGAAGATCCTCGAGCGCCAGCGCACGTCGACAGTCGATCCGCCGGACTTCTTCTCCGCCTCCACGACCGCGCGCACAACCACCACGACCACGACGAGGACCACCACGCAGCGCCCCACGGAGCCCGGCATCTGCCAGGCGGACTGCGATCTGGCGGCCACCATCAAGATCATCGGCGGCGTGATGTGGAAGCCCGAGCTGCTGGACCACAACACGGACGAGTGGAAGAGTCTAGCGCGTGAGATGGAGACGCAGCTGAACAGCGTGTACGGCAAGCATCCGATGCTGAGCAAGTGGTTCAGGAAAGTGCGCATCGACAGCTTCAGCAAGGGCAGCGTGCTAGTGGATTATTTCGTGGAGCTGGCCAACATGCCCGAGCGCCTGAACACGCTAGAGCTGAAGAAACTCTTCCACTCCGCCCTCACCACAGTTACCACAGAGCCTCCGGAGTACACGACGGAGTTCGAGGATGACCCAACGACTGACCTGGACGATGACTTCGGTCCCGTTGTCCGGGAGCGCGTGATTGAGCCGAAAGCAGCCAAAGAGACTCTCCAACTTGGACACTTTATCATTGATCCCATCTCCACGGATTTTATCGGTGAGTGAATTACGAAATCTGCGTTGCATGAGTTCTGTTGCACAAGAGTTCTCATGGCGAGGAAATTTCACCTTCACGAATGAATGAGAAATATCGCTTACAAATTCCAGTGATCCACAAGCAAATCGCCCCGACAGTGGAGTTCGCCGAGGAGAACCAGCTCCTGCCGCAGTGGGCGATCGCGGTGATCGTCATCGGCGTGGGATCGCTGCTCTTTGTGATTATCTTCGGAGTCACAGTGGTAAGTGCAACAGCCGACGGATGGCCGGAGATTTCTCACTGATCAGTGCTGTGAAAGACACTTATTCATCCCTTGGCTAATAATTGTGCTTTGCAGCTCCTCAACAGGAAGAACAAGGCGAAAAAGAAGGCGCCCGCGCCCCTCACGACTGACATGTTGAATGAGCTCAACAAGAATCACATGGGCGGCGTGGAGAACTACGGTCACGAGGAGTTCTACAACGTCGAGGACGCGTGGGACGACGAAGCGGACGCGCGACATCACGAGGGAGGCAAATCGAAGGTAAGGAATTGAGCATGTAATGCAGTGCGATCAGATAACTCACCCTGTTGCTTCTCCCGCGCAGCGCTATGGACATCCGATGGCCAGCGCGCAGTCCAACATCTACGACAGCTGGAGATCTCAGCGGCATCCCGGCTACTATTACGACTCGCATCACTATCCGCAGAAGGTCGGGCCGTATCCGGCGGACGCCTTCATGGACTACCACGCGCCCACGCAGGCCAACTCCATGCCCATGTACACGTACAACCCGCGGCGATATCGAGACTACGACGAAGACTTTTAGCGATGGCGAGAGATGTAACTTGTAGAGTAATTCCCTAATTTAATAATAATCTATTGACTCAAGCCGAGTGTTTTCCTGCGCTTGCACAGCAACTCGCTGTGATTCTTCCTCAGGCAAATGCCGCACACGCGATGAGAGCTGATTTTTGCCTTCCTTTTGCGCCTTGGGCAGCTTTTTTCCAGGTGTCCTCTCTCGCGGCAGATCCAGCACGAGGCGTTCTTCGCGTATTCCGCACACTTGTGACCAGAAGCTTGAGTGCAGCGATTGCAAGTGTTGCAGTGCTTGTAGAAGTCTTTCACGCACAAACCACACTTGTCGCAGTGTCTGTACGAGCCGCCATTCTTCGACGGACACTTCTGGCAGATGGAGCAATGGGAATTCCACTCTCCAACCCAACGACAGCAAATCCCGCACTCTCGGTAGCCTTCTTCCGTTGGCAACTTCATCAGCGAAGGCAAGGCGTTCGTGAAAATCCTCACAGGAGATCCAAATCTTCCGCCGCCATCCTGGAAGCTGGCGTGATTTTCGTAATTCACCCTGTAGTCCATCATCTCGAGTTGTGGCATTTCGTTCGTCACGTAAGTCTCCATGAAGTACGGGAGAATGAGGAAGATCGTCAAGATGTGAAACTGGATTCCGCACATTTCCTGAATCTTCCTCAAAGTCTGGCCCAAGAGCTCTGTTCGACATCCAAAGGGAGGATCCAGGAAGATCGCCACTCTGTCTTCCTCATCAAGCTTGAGGAATTTCTCCAACTGTTCCGCACTGCTTGCATTCTCGAAGAAGTAGAAATTAAACATGTTGAACTTGGCAAAGGTTTCCTGGCTGTAGAAATTCCCGTATCTCTCATCAATGTCCAGCAGGAAGCTCTGAATGTCCTCTCTTTTACACAGAGCAGCATGAATGGAAGGTGCTCCAATGCAGAGGATTTTCGTGAAGTGCATCTGATGCAAGAGATTCGTGAAGAATAATTCTGTCTTCTCTGAAAAGATGTACTGCGCCTCGCCTTTGTCGTCTTCCTTCAGCGCCAGGAATCTCGATGGACACTGCTCGATACTCCTAACATCCTTGGGTGACAATTTCCTCATGACTTCATGTCTTGAGTGCGCAGTTTCATCGCCTCTGAGGAACAGTCCACAAGTTTTGCAGAAGTGTTTCTTGTTCTTCATCTCTTCGGGCTGTTTTCTCACGCCTTCCTCAGTGCGAATGTTAATCCGCTTCAATTGCTCCTTGTCAGTCGCTTGCCATTCTGCCCTGTTCATCCGGAATCCACATATCAATCTATCCCGATATTGAGGACAAGCGAAGAATTCCACTTCTCTCTCCCGGAACAATATTGCTGGTCCGTGAAGGCAAGAAGGTCTCTCCACGTCTTCCTCCTCTTCCAAGACAACCTGCAGGCGTTGACCTGTGAAACATCGTATCAAAACACTTCTCGATGCTTGAATGCCAGTGTACTTACTCATTTTCCATGTTAAATCTGCAAAACTCTGGAAAAACACTTGATTTGATGATGTTTCTCCAACACACACAAGACTCGTTTTGTGAGGTTAGATTTGCCCAACGCGCCTTTTGGATAAAATCAAACCCGAAAACCGTTGACACAGAGTGAGGCAAAAGAAGTGAAGAATGTTATCAAATCATCAATTGTGCGGAAGCAAAAACATAATTCTCGAATAGGAAAGTGAGTTTATTTTAAAATATTTTATTTAAATATTCATCAGCAAAGAAAAAGTGAGTTTAATAATTACAATATAGAAAAAATCAAGCTTTTGTCTTTCCAAATAAAAGAGAAAATGAGTTTTTTGAGTCGAAATACTTCGTCAATTTCCATTAGTAAATTACCTGGTTTTCTCTCTTTTCTATTATATTTTTATTAAATAGCATTATTATTGGGGGAAAAAATTGGTAAATTGTACATAAGTCATAATATAAAAAAAAACACGGTAAGGCAACAGAACAATTATTTCCAATTTTCTCTCCACCTCCAAAATTCTACAAAGTCATCCGTAAAAAGTAATTACTTGAAAAATGTCTCTAAATAATTTTTTTTTCTTCCTTCATTGATAAAAACATAAAATTTATTGGTATTAACAATATAGTTTATGTTGGATAAAATGATTTCTACAAGAAGTAGCAAAATGCACAAACCACCAATATAAATGACGCTTTTCCTGCTCTTCTCCTTCCTTCCTTTTTTCCCCTAAACTCACAATAAATATTCCTATGCAACAATAAACTTGGGCATTCGTCTCGCTTCTTCTTCGCCTTTTCTCTTAACACATCAAATAAATATTGGTGCAATTCATTCCCTTTTGCCTATTTTCTCCTCCCATTTCTACCCTTTTTCAGTGATCCCTTCGGAAATGTGTCTTCAAAGATAAATCAGACAAGTTGCCATTTAAATACGGGATTATAAGATTAATGATTTTCGCTCTCTAAATTCTCTCTCTCTCTTTCTTCTCGTCACATTCTAAGTCAAGAGCGCATATATACTTTTTTTCATTTAAGATTAATTAGCTTTGTGCTAAATTCATGTTTTTTTTATCTCTTTCATTTTAATACATTAAAGATGCACGTTAAATAATTAAAATGTAACATATTACTAGGAATTGTGTATTTTTCGCTCACCATCATTTTTTGTGATATTAACTTTGGCTTTTCTGCAATTAATTTGAAGCCTATATATTTTTTCCATTATTTTCTCTTTTTCTCTTTCTTTCTTTCTCTTTAAAGTATTCAGTTACACTTCTTCTCCCCCTTTTTTCGCATCTTTGCGTCAAAAGGTGAAAAGAAGTTAATCTCTCATTTATGCATTTTTTTCCCATACAATTTCTTTAAAATAATTCTTTTTATACAAGTCAATTACACGCCTTCTGAAGTTGTCCACTTTCGTGCTTCATTTTCTCATCTTTGCTCAGTTTTTTCTTTTCTTTTTTAAAATTAACACATTATTATTCTTTTACATATCCTTAGAATAGAGAAATATCTGCAAGGAAGAAAGCACAGGAGTTTGTTAGAACACTATGAAAATCAATCGTCTTTAATCATCATCGCTTTCTCACCTCTATTTTCCTGACTATCTGCAGTGACTAGTGACGGGATTGCTGAAGTCGTATTCGCTCTATTATCGTTATTGTTGTTGTAGTTGAAGACATCCTCAATCTGCTGCTGCTGCGGCAAACTATCGAAGTCAATCAGCTGCTGATCCGGAAGCTTAGCATTGTCCTGATTCATGGCGAGCACTTTGGAATCAACCACATTATTCGTGCAATCCACAGAGCTTCTGCCAAGTGAAAAGAAAATCATCAAATAAAATCAAGCGATGATAATTTCCCAGCCACAAACTCACAATATATTGTCGACTCCGCTGTTCTTGAAGCCATTCTCGCTGGTGTTATTTAGCACTTTGTTGTTAATCACGTCCGGGATGTGAACATTCTCCTGCTGATGATGATTGGACGACTTGTTGTTCACGCCATCGACAATGTGAGCGAAGCTGCCGAGCAGAGCATTCTCCTTCTCTGTCACCGACTTCTCATACTCCTGCTGCTTCTGCACCTTCTCGGCCGTCGAGTCCTTCTGATTGTTGACGCTTGGAATGTTCTTTGAGTGATTATCCGCGGATTCAGTCTGTTCCTGGCCAGCACTTGGAGTGTTTCCCTTTTCGTCTGTCTTTTCGTCAGCGCCGCCCTGGAAAGTTATCCACCCGAGAAAGCCATCAAGATCCTGCATTTAGAGACAAAACAGACATGATCTCAAGTACCTTCGTGGGTGTTCCTCCAACAGATCCTCTCGGTCTCGTCCTGGACATGATGGCCTCCACTCTCTTTCGACGCTCCTCGCGTTCCATCTCCTCCCTCTTGTGCCTCTCCGCCGTCTGGACGCGCAGCTTTTCCGCCTCCTCGCGAGCCTTCTTCTCCTGCTCCTCGCGCTCGGCCTTCTGGCGTGCCTCCTCCTCCCTCTGCTGCTTCTCCTCCTCCTCGCGCTTCTGCGCCTCCTCGATCGCCTTCGCCAGACGCTCCTCCTCAGCCTTCCGCTGCTCCTCTGCCATCCGTAGCGTCTCCTGCTCCAGTTGACGCTGTCTCTCCTCCTCCTCGGCAATGCGCTTCCTCTCCGCCTCCTCCTCAGCCTCCAGACGAAGGCGCTCTGCCTCGGCCTGACGCTCAGCCTCTTCGCGCGCCAAGCGACGTCTCTCCGCCAAAGCTGCCTTTGCCTCCTCCTCGGTCGTTATACGACTCTTGGACATCATCGACGACGTCATCACATCACTGGTATCGTCCTCATTGCGCTCCTCGCCATTCTCCGTCACCTGAACATCCACCACATCGACCAGCACTTCCGCCACAGGCTGCTGCACTTCCTCCACCTTCACCACTTCCTCCTTTTCCTCCTTGACCTCTTCTTGGGTCACTTCCTGCGTCAGCTCCTGCTTCACCTCTTGCTTCACCTCATGCTTCACCTCATGCTTCACCTCCTGCTTCACTTCTTCCTCTTTCTTCTCCTCCGCCTGCGGCGGCTGACTTTGTGCTGCTGGCTTCTCACTGACTTCCTTGGGACTGGCCTTCGGCTGAGGCGGCATTTTCACCTCCTTCTCCGCGCCCGGCGACATCAGTGGCGTGGCGTTCTTCGAGGCGCCGCGACTCTTGAGTGGCGGCGTTCTCTCCAGAGATTTCTTCCCAGACAAATCCAACGAACGCGTCATGAGCGACGACGAGGCAGCAGAGAAGGACTTCTTCACCTGCGCCGTAACTTTTGGTAGTGGCGGCTTCTCCTGCTTCACCGCGCCCTTCTGCCCATCGGCATTGGTACCTGCCGAAGAAGAAACCAATTCACATTTCATTTCATAACTACTAACAAAGATCTGCTAAAGAACTTAATTAAATTAAAACTCTTGCGTGATTTTTGGATATAATCTCAACAAGCACTCCTAAATTAGATGTTTTCCAAACATAATAACGTCTTCTTAGGTGCTTTCTATTGTAAATGCCACGTTCTTGGCTGATTTTGATGTCACATTGCGTGCAGAAATGTCTCTCAAAGAGCATCTTTAGGGCTTGGAATGGGTTTTCTCTGGCAAATTGACGGTCAAGTGACTCACCATTCTGTAGGGAAACACCTGTGACAGCAATACTAGCCGGCCTGGGTTTGCGGGGTGTGAATGCAGATCTCCTCGACACAGTTGATGACACAACAGTTGAATTGGACATCGCACTATTTGGTCTCGAAGACAGAGTTCCGCCTGGCGTCACTTCGCCTGATCTCATTCCTGTTGAAATCACACACGATCATTAACAAAACCTTAATTACTCTTCGCTGTGAAGCACATTTGCTATATTTGGACAAACATAACAAGACTACAGAGAGAGAGAGAGATAAAATAAAATCATAAAAAGAAAAGAAGCAGCAACATTGCACCGTCAACCGATCAGCAATTATCCTCCTTTTCACCTTCAACATTATCTATATGAAATATAGCCCAAAAAAACCTATAAGACAATTATATTACATTGTACATTGTAAGATTTTCAGACCCAAAACCGTCTTTTTCATTATAATTGTTTACAGACTAATCAACCTCCACAGCCATTTCTCCTCCCCATATATAACTTTTGTGTTATGCACTTCTTAAGCCACTAATGATTACTCGCTCATTTCTTTTGCTGTTTGCTACAAGAGAAAGCTTTTAAGCGTCTTTTTATCAACCTCTTTGGCACCTCAATTGAGAAAGAGAGGAATAAAAAACGCACCACCTCACCAAGGTAAATAAAGCGAACATGTGGGACTTTTTACACTGAGAAGTTACACAGCTGAGAGAGAGAATGATAGTTAGGAGATTTTACAATAGAGCGATCGCATTTGCCAAAAAAAAACACAACACAACACAACGGCTACACCATTGAATGAAGGTTTCTTTTTGACAAACTCAAGCACTCTCTTTGGCATACAACAATTAAAATTTCATCATTATTATTATATTACTTGCTCAAACATCTTCTAAGCGCTACACAATTTGTAATATGCAACAGAGACACTGAGGAAGCAGAGAGAAAGACATCTGGATATCCGTTCACATTGTCCATCGTTATCTACTTTTGGGTAGTGAGATCTAACAGATTTGTTACGCCTTATCATCTACCCACGTCCTCAGGGAGAGAGAGAGAGAGAGAGCGGAATGGAATGTGTGCGATGAGATGTTGGACAGTAACAACACACCTGCTTTGTCAACAGAATCTTTAGCATTGTCCGCCTTTCTGGTGACGACAGCATCGCTCTTCCTCGAGCTGCCGCCGCCGCCACCGGATTTATCCAAATTGCACATACTTCTCGACAACTTGAGCGTCGCCTTCCTCACAAATGTCGCCTGACCATCGCTCACATGTTGTCCAGTGTTTGTTGGTGGAAAACTCTTGCGGCACCGCGGCGATGCCAGATGAATCATACTCTTGGACATTATCTTCCGCTCAGACGCCGATCGCGGCCTCTCGCGACTCGGCGACGATCCAGTTGACAGCAGAGAAATCTCCTGTTGACGCTCTCGCTCCATAATAGCACTTATATGCTCACCATTGCGGCGAATAGGACGTGCCAATTGATCCAAGCGTGTCATAGAAACAGCTCGACCTTTGGGGAACACATTCAGCGTGCAAATATTCGTTTTGCCAAAAAATTATACATCAAACATCACAGAATTTTATTCCACCACACAAACATTGATTTAATAGTAAGAAAAAATCATGAGAGAAGTATTAGTAGTGTTTCGTCTTCATTTCAGGAATAACAACACAGAGATATCGCAATGGATGCAAAAAGAAACGTGACTGATCTGTCGAGATCAATTGGCTTATTTCTCAATTCTCCTCATAAAATGCAATGATCTGCAATCCATCATTTAACCAATTAATTTCCCATCCCACGGAATCTTTCTCTTGTAATTCCATCTTCTATTATTTTTGACCTAGCGCCCTTTCCAAAACGTAATCAATCAATCAAAGAAAACAACAACAAAAAAAAAGACAGGAGAGAAAGGAGAGAAATCACCCCCGAAATTATCGCAAAATCATAATAAAAAAAAAACAAAGTGTTAACAGAAATATAACACACTTTGGCAAAGGAACCAGAGATACAAAAAATTATGTTACACCGAAACATTCGCCAATTTCAGAAAAGGGGGTTAAATAAGAGATGATAAATAAATAATACCTGGACTCCGAGGAGTGTGACTACCTAATGAAGATCTAGAGCCATAATTGGTGCCATCACGAGGACTAGGAATAGTTGGCATTAAATCTGTTTTCCGTCTAGCCACACTGCGATATGAAACTGTCGCTGAATCGTTTGCAGTCACGATTCCGGCTCCGTCTACGGAGAAAACACACAATTTCCACCATTTACAATGACATTCCTCTTTAGTCACAAGTGTGTAAAAATGCACTAGATTTAGTCAAGAAGTCAACATTCTTTCCATGGGTTATAAATAGTTAAACAGATGGATTAATCAATCAATAGGAAACAAAGTTCACATGACTCAAGAGTTAGAATAACAATGTTAGGAAACTCAAAAGACATTTAATAATAAGAAAAACAGTGATTTACAAAGAATAGGGAAATGAAGTTAAGGATATTAATTCTGTTTTCTCTGTAAACGAAATCAAATCTGAGGCAGTGTTTACAAATTATGTTGTTTCATTTCACTCTAAATAAATAAATCGCTCTAAATGATATTAAGATATAAACTAACGTTCATTGAAAGCGAATTCTTTTTTTCTTGTAGCGGTAAAACATTTCAGCCTCCATTCATGACACATTCTCTAGTATATTTCTTTTTTTTCGCCATGCAATACAATCCGGAGATTGAGAGAGAGAGACTTAAGGTAATATAAGGGATAATAAATAAATAAAGCTCTTCATGCTGAATCCGCGTTCCACAAAAGCCAATAAGAAAAATCATAAAGATGTACAAAAAATATTGATCAATGAAGCCAAAAGGAAAATAAAAAAAAAACGGACAGAATTGAGAAGCTTTCCCTCTCACCGTGATTAGAATAATTGCTTCCCGGATCATCGATATTTATTGAGGGTCCAGCTATTGATAACTGAAGCTTTTTGCACGGACGCCGCTCGTCATTTGCATAACCCCAATTAAACACTTCATACATTGAGTTGGACGTTCGGTGATAATCTGTGTTTTGGTGTTTTTCAAATTACTTCTCAGTTTATTTTTTTGTAAACACATTTTCAATGCATTTATGAATATTCCAATTATTATTATTCTTTTTTTTTTAACTAAAACATGTGTGCCTGCTTTTCAATAATAACCATCATTAAAACATAATAAAATACATGGATGGAGTGTGTTAGAAATCGATCTAGAATGATTAAAAATAGAACCATGATCATGTTTTTCTTTGTTGTTATTTATGTACATAATAAAAATACATGGAAATATTGTGTTTTATCTCAAGTTTCTTTTATTCACTCAATGCTTGTCACTCTGTGATAAAAGATAATAGAAAAATCCGACATTCCCAATTGAGACAGAAGATAAGATAGAAGCAACAAAAAATTGTCATTTTTTCCGTGATTTTTACTCAATTGATTGATATCTTTTCACCACTTTTTGTCCCACTTTTTGTTTCTAAAGTTTACCCAGAATTACCAGTTGTCAAAAAACAATGATATAAATATTTCAGGAAATAAAAGAAAATAATATTATAGGCGCTTATAAGTGTTAAATTTGCAGCCAGGATTTGCCTTAAAACGCAAACGAACCTTAACAGATCATTTCTCTTCAGGATATCTAACCTAGGATCTTAATGGCACCCTTGAAAGCTTGCTTATGCTAATCTTGCAACGTATGAAAAGACAACTGGGTATCTTCAAACACATCTCAATGAAGCGCTTTGTCTGGACAATTCCAGAAATTCCTGCTAATCTCCCATTGCGTAACACATCACAAATACATATATTCCTGACAAATCGCCAAAGTCAATAATAATGTGCTAATATTTGTCAGTGCTGTGACAATAACTCATTGTTCCGGTCATTCAATTGAGATCTCTTGTGCGATTGCTTATCGATTTGCTCCATAATTACTATGCTGTGACACAAATTTCCTCACCACAGGAACTTATTATTATTACTCCACTGTACTCTCGATTTTTTTTTCGTTGTTCACTCAGCAACAGCAGATAAATATCATAAATATTAATTCAACAAAAAAGATATTGTTGGAAAGTTTTCTTTCTTTTTTTGCTTCGAAATGGCCACAAAAATGGATCAAAACAACACGATTTTTCCACCATCTTCACACTCCCTCTATCATCTTTTAATGCACACCCATTTCACCAAGTGAAGATGTTGAGATATTGCGCGCTTAAGCTGAACTTTATACGATTTTTATAAGATGGTGAAAAGGGATAAAGTTGTGAGTCGGAATTGATGATTCAGTTTCCCCCAGAAGTCAAAGAGTATCTTGAGGTCAAAGGCATAAGAGTGAAAAGGTGATACTAATGACCTTAGATTTCCTCTCATGATAAACTCACTTTTCACTCCACCAAAATCATACATATAGTGAAATATAGAGAGAAAAAGAGAAGAGAGAAATGAAAGGAAATATCTGCAAATGAGATAAAATCGCGAAATCATTAACATTCACCAAAAAAAGTCCGGGTGAAATGTTCTTCTGTGTTCTCAGCATAAATCATATCTACATAATGTCGTTGGAAGGATAATGTTTCTTCTTCCCCACCATTTTCCCAATGTGTTTTTTTTTCTCTGTATTTGTGTGTGTTTGATATGAAAAGTGGGGGCGAATTGATTGACATGCTTCTCCAAACATACCTTCACGCTGTCGATCGAGTGCCGTGGCTGAAGTGGCTCGTTTCTTCGGTGCCTCATTTAGCTCGCGTTCTGAACTGCGACGAGTCAAAGGAGCACCAGAATATGCAATATTGCTAATAGAAGTGGCCCTGAAAGGACAACAACAGCACAGCGTCAGTAAAGCCACAAGAAAAAAAAACCATAAATTTTCAGTCCATCTCTCACCGCCTGTGATTCCAGAATTGACTCGGCGACACTGTGCCCATTTCTCCCGGATCCAGCAGTCTCGGCGTCGATGATCCAAAGGCAAAGACAATGGAGCTTCGCTCGTTGCGACGCTTGGACTCAAAGCGCGCCTCGCGCTCCATATTCTTCCTCAGCAAATACTCTCGCCTCTCGCGCTCCGCCTCCTGGATGGCCTTCTTCCGCTCCTCCACCTGGTGCCTCCGATCCGTGTCCTTGGAGCGCGACTCCTCCAGCCGTCGACGACGCTCCTCCTCCTTCTGCTCTCGGAATCGCTGCGCCGCCAGCGCCTGAGCCTTGAGCTCATCCAACTTGCGCTGCCGCTCCTCATTCTGACGCTCACGCACCATCCGAACGCGATCTTCACGCTCCTTTGCCGCCGCCGCCTGTTCTTTTACCGCTGCAAAGAGGCCAAAAACACCATTAAAACATCACACGTGACACAATTCAACCCATCAACACAACGCACACACACTGGCGATGTGTTGAGTGCAGTTGTGAGGTCACATTCCCCGTGGGCGCTTCCCAATGATTATGCATTGTTTGTTTTAGGCGATACGAGTGGGTGAATTACTGGTATTTCACGAATTCCGCCATAAGGACCGGAGGCAGCAGAATTTGTCAATCAAATTCAAGTGTGAGTGCTTTTCCATGACTCACTGCAAGTGAGCTTCTCTGCTATTCAGCCAAATTTCCAAGAAGTCAGCGGAAATGTGCTGATGAAGTGGTGACTGTGTTAAATTCAAGTAAATCGCCCGCATTCTAAACATCAACAAATTAACCACATTTTCTATCTTATCTCACACACCATAAACGCTCTCTAGACTTTCATTCTCACTCTCATTGTTCTTGTGTCTGGCAAATGACAACAGAAAAGGAGTCTAAACTTGGCAGCATTTGACCTTTAAAATGCTCTCTTTCGCAGCTTTGATAACAACGCAAAGGTAGAAAATCTGTTCCAGTTCATTCGCTGTGACAAAATTAATTACAACATTTTATTTATAGATCCATTACAGCAGAAAATAAGCCAGACATTAAATTCTCATCATCCTAATTCCATTTAAAGTGAAATTGATAGTCATTGAACTACATTTCGCGTCATTTTCTTCAACTCATTCAACACAAGAAAAGTCTCCTCAATAAACAATAAACAAAACAAGCAAGTGAACAAAGCCAGAGATTCTCAAGAGATTGCACTGAGCTTGACCGCTTTTTCAAGCCTCTTTTCTCTTTCTCTCTACTTGATATTTCTCTGCCGCAGTTCATAATGTATATTCAAATGGGAAATAATCCACTTTTTCGCAAGTGAAAAGAAATCCACTCTTTTTCGCACCAGATTAAAAAAGCACATACATTTTGCAATGGAAAATCAGTCAATAAGTCACAAAAGGTCACACACAAATCTGATCAAAATCAAAGAAGAGAATTTCGAATCGATTTTTTGAACAAATTGACGTCGTTTTCAGCACAAGTGAAAGATTCAAATGTAAAGACACACAAACACATTTGTATATATGGAAAAATTACTCATTTACGTTATGTTTCCCCTCTTATTTCGAACTCCAACATTCGCCTCTGACTCACACACTTGTGACCTGAATGATGTAATTTGTATTAACAACTCTTGTCTATTGACCATGTTGGAGATACTATTTAACATACAAGACAACTTGTCGTCGTCCGCTTTAAATTGCCAGATAAACAGCATGAAACTTCACGCACTTTTTCGCCTTCTTATGCGTTTCTTCATCCTTTTCAACCCTTCAGCCAATCGATGCATGTCCGTTTCTTTGTCACGTTGTCAAAGAAGCAAAAAAAAAAAATACTACCCACAAAACCGTCAGTCAAAATCCAGTCAACAAACAGTCTCTTTGTGCACACCTCGTTTGGATGTTTCTTCGGCAAATATTGAACAATATTATTAATTGCAGTCATTCCACAGTGGCTCTGCGCTCAAACTGAGAGAAGAAAAAAATCGCGCACACACAAGAGAGAAAAATTTCCAAACGCGCTTTCCAACAATATCTTCACTGTGGCCACGGATGGTCAACCAAGAGCTAAAATGTCTCTTCCACACATTATTCTTTTATTTTTTCGCGTACAAGTAGAAAAAAAAACCACTGTTTCTTTCCCCTCTTTCACCTTGATAAAAGGAGTTTTGCCGTTAATGTTCACCTTACTCATAAACACATGACTTCATATTCCCCATATTTTTCTGTTCCGCGCGCGACACACAAAAACACACCACACACAACACGAACGAAAAGGCGAGAGATTAGCTTTTTGTTGGGCGGCACTCCCGAATTTTGAGCGAAAGTTGCGTGAGAAGTTCAATAGATTCAAGAGCAAGAGGCCAACATGTGAGACTCGCAGTTTCTATACGGTCAGGTTGTGTGCTCTTTTTGTCTCCCCAATTCAAATTGCCACAAATTATTGGCTCTGTTGGAGTATAATACAGAAATTGTATTGCTATTACAACACCATCCTGACGTCATTCGCAGCGGAGGAACGCAGTGAGAAAGAATTCATGCCCAGTCACTCGAGAAGTGTGCGGACTAAAGTGTTGAAAAATTAACAGAAGGGCTTTAAAAATGTTCAATAGATGGAGAGAATTGAGTTATATGTCATTAATAGACTATCAAAAGTCTCAAATGGAACTCAAAAAGAAGGTCTTGGTTCTGTCGAAGGGGAAAAAAAGTCTTATATAGTCAATAAAATACGCTTAAATGCATTAGATTAATTCAATAAAACAAGTGAATCGATTTCTATCTTCGTAAACCAGCTTTCGTATTTGGAAAAGACCAATAAACTATTGCTTTCCAACGCCAATTGTCAAAATTGATTTGAAGCACTGCTTAGATTCTTATCAAATTAGCGCCGTTTCTAAGGAAATTGGATTGTTTGCAAGCAAAGAATCACTTCTGCTTCTACTGTCAGGAATGCTGGAAAGGTGGGAAAAAGATCTCCTGTTTCTGCAAATTCTCTGTCATAAAATGAAAGGCTTGAGAGATACTGAAGTCCACTCGGCTATCGATTAACTGATAGCATTGCCAATCAGCTGATTAGGGCGGAATGCAAGCAGAAAAGCCCACCAACTTATCGATCAACTTTCGCGGCCACCTCGAAAAGTTTCTGCCCATGCGAACAGCGTGTAAATTTTCCTTTTCCTGCATCAAAAAGTGTGTGTGTGGAAAGTGTTTGAAAATTCCGTGATTTTATCGCCCATTTCGAACGTCGAAAAATCATTTGTGTTGTGAGTCAGCAAGAAAATCACAATTAAAAAATTTATATACACAAATGCAGCAGCATTTTTAATTCAATTTTGCCAATCACGAACGTAGAAATTCACTCACTCTCTTTTTGCCCAGCGAATCTCGCTGATTTTCGTCGATATTTTGCTCATTTTTTGTGCTTTGCACCTTCAATTATCAGCCCGAGAAATCTCGACAACTTTTCTGTTGCTAATTTTCTCCCAGAGAAAGAGATGAGAAATTTCACAAAGCGAGTGCGTTGGAAGATTTGGTGGAAAAGTGACGATTTTCATGAAAAACTCTGGAAAATTGCGCTCAAGTTGGTGGAAGATTGTCAAGTAAAATTCTGGCCAAGTGGAAGTGACTTTCTGTGACTTCTTCGTGGGGAAACTCGTGGAAGGTCGAAGATTTCCACTGAAAACCTCCCGATCGATTAAACATCTGACCCCACTTGGCGTTCGTCGCGAAAATGCACCATCGCGAAGCCCTTTTTTCGGCTCCAAACGTGGCGAAGACAAGAGGGAATTTCTTCAGCGCGAGGAGGAAAATTGATTTCGACCAGATGCACTTTTTCCGCAGCCAGACGGAAAATTTTCCTCCGGACTCAGCAGAAATAGTCGCTGAAGCACGAAAAAAAACCACACAAACACCACATTTTGTCTGCACTGTGAAGCGGGCAGAAAAAGAACAGAGCGAAGAACGGAGGAATTTAGAATATCCTCAGCTACTCCGCCGCGCACAATTGCACGGCTCACGTCCGCGAGTCCCTGGCGGAATCACCATCTGCTCCCGATTTTCCAGGGACTTCCGTTGTGCTCCACTTTGTGTCCTCGCCAGCGCCGGCTCACGGTCGCCGCCGCTTGAAAAGCACTCTGCGCAGATCTCGGAGGAATTTAGAATTTTCTGACTTCATCACTCTCCAACAGGGCGGAACTATTTCTTCCATTTGCCCACACTTTCACTCACGCCACCAGCACAGATTCACTGAAATACCCTGCACTGCACATCCGTGCACATTTTCCTGCAGTTTTCGTGAATTAATTTTCCCTATTTACCTACCTAAATTATCTTTTTTCACCGACGTATTCTCTTCACCGAGACTCGCCATATTTTTCACACAAAAAACTACTGCTCGCCCTCTGGTGGCCAACACTCACGTGAACTTTTTATCCAAAAACCCAGCTGAAGAACTCCACAGAAAATGCGTACTCATTTCGTACCTTATTTGGTACTTGTACTCAATGGACGAAAGGACGGAAAAGGAGTTTGCAAATATGCGCTAAAACGTCGTTGACCTGAATCCTTCTCAATATGAATTCTTTATCAGGGAATAAAAGGTTAAAGCAATTTTGGGGTCTTCAATCATCTTCCAAATGATGATATAATTAGTCTTCACTTCTTCCTATAAATTCAGAGGAGATTTCCAGGACTCTTCAGTATTTTCTGTTACACTGAAAGCACTGAAAGTGAAAATGCAGAAACGAAATGCATTTTCTTATCATCACATTCTCTTGTTCTTCATCTTCACTATTCCCATATCAGGATTTAATCCTCTATTCAACGTCAGCAAAGAGAACGAGCAAGAAAATGAACTCATTACTGGCTTGGTGGAAATCGTGAAGTCCATGGACATCAAGAATCTGGTGATTTTCCAGCCCATGGAAAACAGCTCATACGACATTGACAAATTCATCTCCAGGGTTCACGAAAGACAACTGAAATCCGTGATTTTCTTCAATCCTGATGACTTTTACAAATACATTGCACAGTGCAAGAGTGATTCAATTGAAACTACAAGTTTAATATTCTCTGAACCGAGCGAAATAATCCCTGAAATTCAGTATCGAGTATTGGATCACAGATTGAATCTCTTCATGTTCTTCTGGGGATCTCGTCATCCCCCCAAAAAGGCAACGCTGTACCTCAAGGAGCCCCTAAAGGTGGTAATTCTTACGACGCCCAGGCCGAATGTGTGAGATTTCGTTGATTCTTAAAGTCAAAAATCTCTTATTTTATTTAAAAAAAAAATCATTTTTATCATTTCAGGCTGAGGCTGTACTATAATCAAGCCACACCGGCTGAAATTGGCGTTCTGACTTTTGTGAACTGGTATGATGGAAATAGTTTGGGCCTCTTCAAAGTTCCTGTGCTGCCAAGACCAGATGATGTGTACCAGAACCTGCGTGGACGCATCCTTTCAATTCCCGTAATTCATGTAAGATGTGGAAAAAATCTCTATAAATTTCCATTAATACTTTGCCTCATTTTCAAAGTCTCCTCCTTGGCACTTTGTGGTCTACCGCAATGAATCCTCGGACAATGAGACCTTTTTGATGGAGGACTACGATGACATGGACATGAATTTCAAGGTGGTCGGCGGACGAGATGACAATCTCCTGAAGTTGCTGGCGAAGAAGATGAACTTCAAGTACGAGTACATTGATCCTCCGGAAAGGACTCAGGGCTCAGCCTACGGATCAAGTGACAATCTGACCTTTTCCGGAGGATTGGGACTCCTTCAGCGTCGCGAAGCTAATCTTCTTCTGGGCGACATTGCGATCACCAGCGAACGAAGTAAGGCAGTTGAGTTCTCCTTCTTCACACTAGTCGATTCCGGAGCTTTCGTCACTCACGCTCCGCGTCGTCTCAACGAAGCCTTGGCTCTCGTGAGACCCTTTCGCCTGAACGTGTGGTCAGCACTGATCGTCACAGTGATCGTGTCCGGTCCAGTGCTCTATCTGATCATCGTAATTCCACAGTGGTGGAGGAAGTCCTCCCGGGAAAACAGAAATTTCTTCCACCACATTGACTACATTGGGGAAATGAGCTACGGCGTGCGTCGTGGGATCAAGCTGGTGAAGCGAAAGAAACTGCCGCGCAATTTGTTGGGAAGGTGAGTTAAATTATGGCAATCAAAAGAGTTATAATTCGCCATTTTGAAAACCATCAACACATATTTTCGTCAATTGCTTAGTTCTTATGGTATGAATTAGACCCACATTTTAATATGTTGTAGCTGGCAATGATTGCTTCCTGGAGAAAATCCACATAAGTTAATATGTTACTATGCATTATAGATATTTGGATCTAAGATTTAAAATGAAAAATAGCCATTAATCAGGTTCCAATTATCCGATTTTAATCATCTTGGGCTCGTTGGAAAGCTCTTGCAAGATCCTACAACTTTCCGTAATTCGAGGTTTTTCTTCGTAGGTGCGTGTGGTTCACAATCAATTTGTTCTTGAAGCAGAGCGCTTGTCTGCCGTACAAGGGAAATCGCGCCCGATTAGTCTCCGCCATCCTCTGGCTCTCCGCTACGTACATTCTGGGTGACTTCTACTCTGCCCAGCTCACGTCGCAATTAGCACGACCAGCGCGAGAAGCCCCGATAAGTATGTGCTCAGCAAGAGTATGGATTTGAGGGGTATTAAATTGTCTGTCTTGAATTCTAGATGATTTGTATCGATTAGAGGCGGCGATGAAGTGGAAAGGTTATGAATTGTACGTGGAGCGCCAAAGTGCTTCTCTGGCCATTCTTGAGAATGGCACAGAAATATTTCACCGGCTCCACTTGATGATGATGTCTCAGAATCGCAAATCCAATGACTCATACCTGATATCGTCCATCGAGGAGGGCGTCTATATGGTGATGATGGGTGACCGGAAAGTGGTTCTCGGTGGGCGCGAAACGCTGTTCTTCAACATGAAGCGCTACGGAATCAAGAAATTTCAACTTAGCGAAAAGCTCTACACAAGATATTCCGCCGTGGCCGTGCCCAATGGATGTCCCTTCCTGGAAATCCTCAACAAAATGTAAGGCGCGAGAATTGAGAGAATTTTGCAAAATCACATCAACTTCTCTTTGCAGAATAATTCATCTCTTCGAGGGCGGAATTCTGGATCGCATGACAAATGAAGAGTATGAGAACTTGTTCGATTCGAAGAAATTGACGACGCCAAACGAAGAGATTGATAAGACCACACAAAAATCCACGAAGGATGTTCCTCAAGAGGAACGCATCTTGAAACCCGTGAGTCTGAAGCTGCTCCAAGGAGCCTTCTACACTCTCCTGATTGGCTACATTTTGTCAGGCATTGTCCTCCTGTTGGAGTGCGAATGCAAGAAACCGAGGAGAAATTGTACTAAATCTATTGCAAAGTATTTGGATGAATTTTGTCTTTCAGTGAAAAATATTTTCACGAGGTTTTTCTCGTTTCTCACAAAAGAAATTAATGATTGTTTCAACGAAGATGAATATTAAAGGGAAAATAGCGAATTGTATGACAAAGAATTAGTGAAAATAAATACATATTCTCGTTAATTGTGAAAATGAGAAGTTGTGCACGTGAAAAGTGAGATTCCATTACTCTTCGCGCCCTTTCTCTGGCATGCAAGTTATGATTTTTTTCTCCTTTTGTGTGTTTTGAGGTTATGTTGTGAAATGTCTGGGAAAATAACACCTCAGGATTTATCTAAAATCGCCCAAAATGTGGAAAATCCCTGTGTTATTCGTAACTTTGGGGTGCCCTGGGCATCTTTGGGATCTAATTTAGCGAAGTGGTGTGAAAAAGTGGATCAAATATACCCTGAAGGAGTATCTTTTGAGAAGGCTTCCCAGAAGCACGGATCGGAGCCTCAGTGGGAATGTTTCCGGGAGAAAACCCCCAGAATGACATTGAAGAGCTTTCTCATGTATTCCTCGACGGATAATTGGCTGTCCTACGGATACAAGAGCTTGAGGGATTTGCCGGAAGGCCTTAAGGAAGACATAGATTTCTCACCGTTGGGCTTTCCAGAGATCAAGGACGATGCCACACTGTGGCTGGGCACCAGGGCAGCCCACACGTCCTGCCACTACGACACCTACGGCAGGAACATCGTGGTGCAGGTGTTTGGCCACAAGCGATGGATACTCTTCAGTCCAGAAGTGGATTTGCAGGCGACGAGGATTCCATTTGAAGAGAGCAGCGTCTATAGTGGCCTGAACTTTTTCAGCCCTCGGGATCTTGGTCAGTTCGATAGCGTCAAAAAGCTGGCACACATCGTCACTCTGGCTCCAGGAGACGTCTTGATAGTGCCTCCCAGATGGTGGCACTTTGTGGAGAATCTTGATACGGCTCTGGCCATTAATGCCTGGATTCCCATCAAGGAAGACATTGACCATCAGATTAGCGAGTGCTTTGTGAAGAGCATTATTGTCCAATTTCTCAGGGATGTTGATTGTAAAATCAAAAAATTCCTGGTGAATCCAAATGAGATGGAAGTCTTTGAAGAAGATCCAAAAGAACTTCTCGAGCAACACGTGAAAATTCTTAATTACCTGAGAAATCTCAAGCGGTCCAAAAGTACCCAGAAAAACAAATTTTCTGAAGAGGAATGGGAAGAATTATTGGAGAGAAATTCAGTAGAAATCGTCCAGAAATCGACCGAGGAAGAATTTCTAGAGATCCTCAATGGGAACATGAAAAGACACGACGAATCTTGGAATATTCCCGATCTGAGCGAGGAAGAACAACTTCTGATCAACCAATTGACAGAGTTTATTAATTCTCTCACTGATGCTGAAGCCATTAGCAAAATGAAGAAGCAGTACTTGAAAATATCATGACTTTTGTATGTAATTCACGTAATTCAGGTGTATTTTCACTATAATTATTGTTTTATAACAGTTTTTCAAATACTGAGCCAAAGCATTTCATTTACTGTATTTTGATTTCTTAAATTCCCTCCACAGTTTACCTTTAATCTTCCTTCTAAACTCAAAAATCTAGCTTTAAGTTGGTGAAAATGTACAATTAAACATAAATCTTGTAAGATACAAGTAGAAAAAAAAACAAGATAAACTTGTAAAATCACAAACACAAATGAGTGCTAAATCCTATCATTATTCACACATTTACGGAGGTCGATTTTATCTGGCAATGATGAAGGCTTTCACTTCCATTGGGCACAGGCGGATTTCATCTGACGGCACTACAGCCTCCTTCTTGATCAGCGTAAACTGCGACGCGTAAATATCCTTGCCGTCATCGAGACTCAGCATTCGCCTAATGTTCACGACGCCCTCGAAGTTAGGATCCGTGCTGCACTTCTCCACTTGATTGCGCCTCACGACGATACCGAGGGGCGTCTTTCTGGTCACCTTGGATGGCGCCAAGTGCGGCAGATGCCTGAAGATGCCTACCTCGATTCCCTTCTCCACTGGCTCGTGATTCTCCCCAAAGCTCGGCAGCATTCCCACCCAATCGTTCTCATGGAAGACCAACTTCTCCACGGGATACGTGAGCGTCATCAGCTGCCAGTGTGCATTCGTGGTGAGAAATCCCGACGGATGCTCGGCATCGAGAGTGTCACAGGACTCCCGCAGCTCGAGAATTAGCCTGAAGATGTTCGTCACCGGCTGATTGTCCAACACTCCTTGTCCCAGTCCACGATTGTCATCCTGATTCAGCCGCCTGTCCTGCATAATCTCCACCTGACCACTCTTCAGCGACGATCCGCCCAAAGGTTGCGCCGTAAGCAGAGTCAAACGGAAAGTGTCATCCTCAATGAACACAGAACTCGGCACAGGATAGTAATTGGCCTGAATGGGAATCTTGCTGAATCTCTCACGCTTGATCACCTGGAATCCATTCAAGTCTGTGTAGAAAAAGTCCTCATTCTTAATTGGCGTGGACAATCTCATGACGATCTCCGTGTTCTCCATGCCGCCAATGTCCACCAAATTCCTCATCTCCAGCCCATCATCGCGCATGATGTACTCGTGAATGGCGAACGGCAGTCCTGTGGACACACTTGACTCCAGCTCTCCTCGACTCAGCAGCGTCGTGAGATTTCCCAGCAGTAGCGGCACTGCCGGTCCGTCTGGCATGAAGAGATACGCTCCACTGCGATCTGGACCCTTCTTCACGCCATACTTCAGGAACTCCATGTGAACCGGCATTGTAGGCGAGTTGGAGTCGATTGTCATGGATTTCAGAAGACCCTGATTGCTAAATGCCACGCCGGCGCCGTTTTCCGTGTGCAAGGAAACCTCCTTGGGCGTCGTGAACTCAATCTGATTGGGATAATCGCCCATGTTGAGTGAGAACGGCGTGTGAGTCATAATGGTGATCTTTGCGAAAGAAACTCCACTGAAAATCAAAGAAAATAATGATGAAAACTATGAATCCACTTTTTTATGTGTGAAAAACTCACCGACTCTCCGCCGCCGAATTTGTGGCGTGAATTTTGTAGACTTTGAGTCCCATCGGTGGCACGATCGCCTTGAATGTCAGTCGATACTTCGTCGTGGACGCCTGAGGAGAGTAAGCGCTGAATCCTCCACGATGCCACGACCACACTGGGCTCACTTGTGCCGCCACGATGTTCTTATCGGAATCCGTGACGCTAACAAATGGCCTGGCGATGAGGAACTCCACCAATTCCGCACGCGCCTGCGGCAGGGAATTGTGCAGCACGACGTACTTGAAGGGAATCTCATCGCCAATGATGATTGTTGGTCTGTTCTCGTCCGGACTCGGCGATCGCGAGTCGTCAATGTTCAGGTAGGTGAACTTGTAGTCCGGCTGGTAGATTGAGGGCTTCGTCAGCAGTCTGTAAACTGCCTGCTGAATGATGAATTTCGCGGCGCGCAGAGCATCAATCATCCTGGCGGCATAATCCTTCATCACGTGATCCTTGGCTGTGCCCGTGATGCCATCGTGATGCTGGAAGAGTGACAGAGCTCTGCGACTGTTTGTCAGGAGATCGTCAAAGCCCGCTTCACTCTCCCACGTTGTCCACGCGTGGAGCATCTCGGCGGAGCGCAAGAAGGTCATCAGGACACGATCCAGACGCTTGTGGAAGGGTCGAGAGGTGAAGTAGCCACTCCAGTAGTTGTCATCCTTGTCGGCATACGTGAAGAAGTCCCCAGAAAGGGAGGGAAACTCACTGAAACTCTTCTCCTTCGCCACCGATTCGAAGTACTCAGTGAGAGTGGCGAATTTCGCGTGACAATGAAGACTTGGCTCATTATTGATATAGTCAAAGAGCTTCATGTAGTTCACACGCTGCGCCTCCCATTCCGTGCTCTGACTGTATCGGAAGTCATCGCCAAGCGGAATGAGAACGGATCTCGTTCTGTACAGCACCGATTTCTTCCTCCACTGATCCACAATCAGTTCCGCCTTCTTCGCCACATTCACATCCTCAATCGGCTGCGGAGCGATTCGCCACGGACACGTGAGTCCATATCCTGGCAGACGCTTGAAATCGAACTGGCAACAGATCTTCGGATCTGGACCGCAAGTGTGCGGCACGTCGTAAGAGTAGAAGGGCATCATGTGAGTCATCAGTTCTGTGTCTCCGTTGCTATCTGCAAAGCAAAAGTCACGCTTTAGCCACAGTGTGAACATTGATGGCACTGGAAATACCCCAAATTTGTCGCCATCGGAATTCCAGGTCCTTGTTCTTCGCCATTCGCTTCTTCACGGAGTAGTGTGTGCGTTGGATGAGAAGATGCTTCATGCCCGATCCCTTGAGCAGATACGGCATCGTGGGCGTGTGTCCGAAGGGATCGATGGCCCAGGAGGAGATTGGAGTCACATTCAGATTCACTTTTAGCCACGCCAATCCCTCATTGAGTTGCTGCAGAATGGAAACCCAGTGCGAATTGGCCTCGTCATTCATCACCCAGCCGCCAGTCACGAACTCCAGTTGCTTCCGCTGCACGAGGCTGGAAAAGCATGGGGAATTAAGGGACATTCTCTATGCCATCACAGCATCGGATCGGTGAAAACCGGTATTTTATCGCTCTTTTAATTTATTCACGTGAAAGAAACGGGTTGAACTGAGTTATACTAAATTTTTACCAAGCATTTCAACTGTCTGTTGTAGATAATGAACATTTGCATAAAATGACTATTTCGCAAATTCTCAGTTCAGCATAGATTTATGAATAAATTCAGACGTTATTAGGGGGTAAAAATATGTCGGTTTTTCAACCCTAATCAATAATTCCATCATTTGTGGCAAAATATCATGGAACTATTTTGATTTTCACTATTTATAGAATCAATTATTGGTTTAATGCAATTATTGTGTCGTTCGCCAATGATTTTTGCCCAAATTCACTGCGCAAGACACATATTTACCCCTTGGATATGATATTAAGACTATTCAAAATTCCTTTTTGCAATTCTACTCACCGCTTCACCTTCGTCTTAGCGTCCGCGTGGAGCTCGTCATACCACTTGGAGAAGTAGGAGATCTCCGCCCAGATGAACTTCAGCTCCTCGTGCATCTCCAAGTGGCGCAGCATGTTGGTGAGGATGGGCTTCGTGTCGTGTTCGTAGTACGTGTCGAAGGTTTTGATCCAGCCAGGGTCGTTGTGCGAATGCGGCACCACGAACACCTTCAGCTGATGGTGGCTGTTCCAGTGGTGCGGATCGTACTCCACGCGCCAGCCCTGCGTCCACGGGCCGCCGTTGGGATTGTCGAATTCCATCTCGCGGTACACGCGCAGCATCTGCACGTCGGGGCGCGGCACGGCGCCCCACTTGCTGCACTCGGCGCCATCGTCAGCCGCCCACTGGCCGGCATTGATGATGGAATCCTTCACCAGGTCGTTGCCGTCCAGCTGCTGCTCCTGGCTGCGCTCCTGGTTCGTTTGCAGATTGTCAATCTGCTTCTTGATCTCGTCGAACTCCTCCGCGTGCTTGTTGAGATTGTGCTGCAGCTCTTTCAGCTTGTTCTCGATCACGAACATCGACTTCTGAAAATAGACACAGAGTGCAGTCACCGCGCCGAGAGGCCGTGAGTTGGCCGAAGAGCCCTTACCGGCTTATCGCTGGGAATGGCGTAGTTGATCAGCACGTAGAGGAAGAGGAAGAACACCAGCATGGCGCTGGAGAACAAGACGGCGAAGCGCTTGCGAATACGCATCTCGAGGGCTTCTCTTGCGCCTCAGGTGAGAAGAGAGAAGATAAGCAATTTTCACGAGCGCCAATCAATCGATAAGGATGCCCAGCAATCTTCGCATTACGTGGCAACGTGCCCAGATGATGCCGGCAAGAAGCGCCCTACAGAAGCTGCTGACCCATCTTCGCGATTCACACAACAAATTTCCGCCTCTTCGCCACGAGAATTGTGTTATTCAACAATTTGAGGGAAGGAAAACTACTGTGTAAACACAATTGTATCGCGACTCTGGTGGAACTCCAGACAAACTTGAAGTCTGACAATTTGGACAAAATTAGGCCTGACTGATATGTGGACTTTTAGGATTCTAGAATTGACCACATAATAGATAAATGGAAAAATCATTGCGAAAACATTCGTGTAAAAAAATACATTTAAATCTCCATAGAATCTGGAATAATCCGTAATAATTTCGTATTGTGATTCAAAAGGAAGTGAAAAGTCCTTCGATATCCCCGAATCACTTGCAATATCTGTGACTGGCTTGAGCGCTCTTCAAATTGACTGTCAAGACAAATCGCCTGTGCTGACCGCGAGAGGCGCTGCGACGGGATGTGTCAGTTGGACGAGCCTTGGGGAGTCGATTGGGAAGTGGTTTCGCAAAAATATTAGGCAATTGCATGAAAATTCGTGGAAAAAGCCAAGGGAAAATCATTTGAAAACGTGTGATATTAGCTAAATAATCAACTTAGGTGAAGAAGTGCAGTGTAAATTGTTGGTATTAGGGAAAAAGTGTGTCCCCAATATTTATCGATTACCTTATGTTGGGGTACGTGAGGAAAAAAGCATAATTTAATTGGCGAAAACAAGGTGAAAAATGTCGTAATACCCTTTATGCGCCACGATATCCATTGTCTGGACAGAATAAAGAAGTCTGTGGGCGGAAAAGAGGCCCCAAATTGGGTGGATTTGCCAGACAAATAGTGCTGAGGAAGTGAAACAGGTGTTAATAGTGCACCTTTGGAGGTGAACTTGTGCACGTCCGGAACGACTTGATGTTGCCCAGGAGGGCGCTTTTGGTGGATTGTACTTAAAGAGAGTGTCTGAATATGTCTAATCCCATTCCACCACTTGTTTGCGACTCACCACCGCCGATTGATGATGACTTTGAGCCTTCGGATGACGATTTTGGGGCCTTCGAGGGTGCTGAAGGTGAGTTGAGTGGCTTTCAGTGGTTTCTGGACGTGACTAACTGAGGTATTTTGCGGGGTTTCAGAGTCAATGTCACCGCGGGAAGAGAAATCATCATCGGTGGAGGCGAAATTCGAATTGCCCGTGCCGGAGATACACAGTGTAGCGGAAGCGTGTGATGTGGAGACTCTTCCGCAGCGGGAAGATCCGCTGGGTGAGGCGGAGGAGCATCAGGAGCAGGAGGTGAAGGAGGATGTGGAGAAGAGTGCACCAGCGGAGCAGGATCTTCGTCTGGGCGATGATGTGGTCGTGAAGAGGTGCGAAAGTCCTCCGTCGCTGGTGCTGTCTGAGGACTTCAGCCGCTTCCCTGACGAACCGCCAGCCGACAGCAACTCCTCCGACGAGGTCTCCTTGCCATCGCTCCACCTGGACTCCGGCGGGGAGTCCAAGAGCGTGACGCCCACGTTCGCACCCGTGCCAGACAATACAGACGCCTTTGTCATCGCCGAAGATGACAAAGTGGGTCACGATGCAGAGGAGAGTTTTGGCGATTTCGCCGAATTCACCAGCGCTGCGGCTCCCGTGAGTGCAATCAGTTCATCCGAGCCTGAGAAAAGTGCCGCGGAGACGATAGACTTTGTCGCGGACTTCAGTCAATTCGACGCGTCCGCGAGTGCGGTTGTGAGTGCGAATCAATCGAGAGACAATCAACTCGAGGACGATGATGAGTTTGGGGACTTTAGTGATTTTCAGCAAGAAGCAGCAACGACAGCTGTGATAGATACCACCAATTTAAATAGTCAATTCCTGTCTGCGCTTGACCTCTTGTTTCCCAAGGCGCCTGAGAGTGCCGATGAGGAGGCGCGAGGAGTGAAGATTGATGATGAGACGGCGAAGAGTCAAATTCTGGAGGACTTGCGGGACTTCGAGGCGTCAAAGGCGATTCAATATCAGTGGCTGAATTCATCGTCAAATCAATGTCTAATTCGATCGCTGGGCATCGACTCGAGAAATATTGTAAGTTTATGGTTTATTTATCAATTGCTGGGATTTTTATGGATTCATGGACATTTTCTTTGTCTAAAGGTAGAACAATTGTGTTAATATTTGAACATATTGATTGCGTTGAAGAAATTTTAGAATGCAGATCAAGTGAAGAAAGCAGCAGATGACATTGATTAGTCAAAATCCTGATGATAAATCCGCGAAAAACTTAATTGAAAGAAGCAATTTATAGATTTAATCATACCATATTGGTTTGATATTCAGCTTTTTGCCTATTCATTGAGCCAAATGTGCTGAAAAGAAAAGCTCAAAATCACAGTGAAGGCACTGATTTTGGCATTAGTAATACTGAAACTGAATAATGAACTTCGATGTGGATAATTAGAATTGTAATTATATCCATCATTAGACTAGTAATTGGAGAATTGACGCTATGGTGAAATTGCAGCGTTCAACACTGCTTAATTGAACGTATTGAAGCACAATATATAGGTCAACTGTGCACTGATGAAGTCCTTTCTCTCCTTCTTTTTCCATTGTGCAGCTCTACGGGGGAAAATGGAACAGTTCAATGCCTCGATTTGCTGCAAATCTGGGCTTCAGTCCGCTGCAGCCGATGAAACCGGGCGCTGGAGCGTCGTCGGCATTCAGCATGTCGCAGACGCGAAGCGATGCCGCGAGTGCAGGAGTGACGGAAGTGCCGGCGGCGCAATTCGACTGGACATCCGCCGGACTCGTGAATCCACTGGATGGTGAGATTTGCCACTGTTAATTGCATTTCTCCATCTCATTAATCGAAATCTCACAACATTTTTCCACTGTTTGATTTTCACTTTATTTTTTATTTTTTGCTTTCATCACTGCGAAAGGCATTCTTTTGCTGTAACGTTTATTTTTATGTTGTTCAAGCCACAAAGAGTGTCGCGCTCATTAAGTGCACAAATGCAGAGCGAGAAAGGTGGTGGAAGAGTGACTTTTCTTGTGCTTTCTTAGGAGTCCCTTTTATTTTAAGATATCCTTTCTTGTGCATTTAACGCAATTGATGGCGCGAAAAGTGCCACAATATATTGAGTAATTGAATTTGGTGTTAGAGCAAATTTCTTTTGGCAAAGCTGGATCAATTAAGTGCAGAATGATGGATCCAGTGTCTCACATTCTGCTATCGCTGAGAGGTTATTAGTTTTCCTTTTTTTGGTTTTTCTCTAGTATTTCAACTTTATGCGTTTTTATTATATCGAATTCACGAGAAATCATGTTTGAGAAATGCTTTGAGAAGCTACTATAGCATGTCTGCGCAGAGTAATTGGCGGTAATAAGAAATATATTGAGTTTCGTTTTTCATTTAATTTACTTCACAATTGGATTGGAAAGAAAAGAGAATTGATGAACAAAAAAAAAAAGAGCATCAATATTTTTACTTCCCTCTGGCAAATTTGATTTTCCTTTCATTCCTTCTCCATTGCAGAGAAAGTGTAAATTGCCAATGTAAGAAGTTGTGATTACTTTTTTTCTGGTTTTATTTATGCTGCTAAAAATATATGAAAAAATTGAAATTTCTTCTTACCTTTTTCTTGCCTATCATTTGAATGCGATAAACATCATGATTATTCTTATATTATTTCTTCAGTCATTTTTTTACAACTTATTATTATTCTCTCTTTCTCAAAATTTCTCTTTCTCTCTCTCTGTGTTGATGATGATGATGATGAATTTTGGGCAAAATGGAAGAATATGAAAAAAATCATCTTCTTGTAATTGATCCAGCGTCACAAGCACACACTTTACTATTGGACCTAGAACAACTAGTGGTGGTGGCTAATCTTGATAAAATAAACCTTGATTCCTCCTCTTCATGCTCTGTGGCGGTCCATCGAACGCCTGCCGATGATGCTTGGGCTGACGTTGCGCCGGCGACCGCGCGTCATCTGATCAACATCCGTGCGTCGGATGATGATGATAAATCGCTTCACGATGGACTCGATTGGTCCATTTTTGACAATATCCATTCAAACTCCTCCAAATCTCTTGCATCCAATGGTGATGGATTCACTAACAAATGTCCTAATAAACATCTTCACAACTCCTTCGACACTTTTTTGGACATCAGTAAGTGTGTTTACGATCTTCACTGTCCTCATGTTGTGTTCTGTCGTTTTGTGATAACAATTTCTGTATTCCTGCACTGTTGTTGGGTAAAATTTTGTCGTGTTTGTCAATTCATTTTGCACCTTCTTCTTGTCACTGTGTTTGATCATTTTCTATTGAGAAAAATTGTCATGTTATCATGGGGGAAAAAACCCCCATAAATTGTAGGTGTCAATGTAATTTATGAACTGATTATTTAAATTGGATTCTAAGAATTGAGAAGAATAATTTGGACAGTATTTTCTGTATGAAATTCTGAGCAAATTACAGTTTCTCTCACTTATCATATAAATTAAATATGTCAAGGTTAATTGACAATAGAGAAGTGTGCTTTTCTCTCTAGAAAAAAATCTCATTGAACTCTGTTATCATTTGTTGGTGTTTCTAAGTATTTTAATTTTCCATCCTCAATTGAAATGCATACAAATTGAAGTCACTTATTGAATGTTATTATTTCTGGGCACTTTGCCAATTTGATGGGGGAAAATTCACCATATATTTGGGGTGGAAATAAATTTGCACGTAATTGGAGGTAATTTTGAACATGAATTGAATTGATTTAGGAGCAATTTCTGGTTATGACTAAAGTGATGCATGCAATTTTGGTATTATGAATTTATCACATAATTCTCTACGTGTGAGAATTGATTTGCTGATGTTTTCGGTTGGGCTTTCCAGGCGCCCCAAAAGTCCTACCGAAGCCAGACGATTCAGAAGATCCGCAAGACCAGTCTGAGTCTGTTGCGGCGGCCGCGCCTGCAGCAGCCGCTGAGCCAGGCGACGTCGTCGTGGCGAAGGAAGTGAGTGCCGCCGGTGTGCGACCGACGCCGCAGGCCGCCTTCAGTCAGCCGCTCAGGGAGACGCACATCTTCACGCCCAGCAAGAGCAGCAATCCCGTGGCGCGCGACGTGGTGAGTGAGCTGGGCGAGAGCAAGGTGGTTGTGAAGGAGTATCGCGATGTGGAGTACAATCCGGACAAGGTGGCGGCGGCGGCGGCGGCGACGACGCGCCTTGATGATGACTTCTCGGACTTCACGGAGTTCAAAGGGGCGGAAGTGGTGAAGCAGGAAGTCGCTCAGGAGGTGATACAGAGAAATCCACCCACTGAGTCTCCTTATCGGGCGCCACAGAGCGCCGTGGCGTTCACAAAGCCCACGTTCGGCGTGTCGCCCACGGAGGAGATTGTGAATGGTGGGATGGCGAGTCCGGAGGATGACTTCAGTGATTTTCAGTCTGTGACACCACCACATTCCGCCGCCGGCAGCCAAATGGCGCCTGTGCTGCAGCCACTGAGTGTGGCCAAGCTGACGGAGGGCAGTCCGAAGATTGCCTGGCCCAGTCCGGGCATCAATCCGGACGAGATGGCGCGCCTGGAGGCGATTTTCCCGCAGAAGAGGCCGGAGAAGGTGGAGATGAAGGTGGCGGCGAAGGGCAGAGATGAGGATGAGTGGTCGGACTTTGTCTCCGGAAACATATCCACGTCCAATCGCGATGACGACTGGACGGACTTCATGAGTGGCGGCGCTCCGGCGCAGAAGGCGCTACAACAGGGGCCAAACTTCAGCTCGTGGACCACGCCGCAGCTGCCGCCGCCGCAATTCACCGCCTGGCATCACAGCAACATCTTCAATCCGCCGCAATTTGGCGGTCAGGCGACGGACAAGGTGATGAACAATGGCCAGATCAATGGATTCCCTCTCGTCAATCCATCGCTGGCGACCATCACGAGTGGGAATCAGCGATATCCGGCGGGCAGGCGGGTGGCCAGGGATCCGCAGAGTATTTCTGTGATTCCGGACATGAGTTTCCGGGCGCCAAAGTCACTGATAAATCTGCCGCGTTCGGGCTTTGCCAAGAAATGATTTTTGGAGAGCGATCAGACTGCACTGGGCGACGTGATGATGTGAAGTCTGATCGCTGAGTTTAGCGTGGGTTTAGTCTCAAGATCATGTTTTAAATAATAAAGTTTAAAGAGAAAAATGCAGAAGAAAAATACAATCTGTTTTTCTGAAATTTTAGTGCCAGGAAATTGATCTAGTTGTAAAGGAAAAAAACGTTATATAATGACGAGACTTTCAAAGCCCAAGCGTAGATTGTGACTTTGCAGGCTTTTAGGCTCCATCCAAGGAATTCTCAAGGAGACAAAATATACATATGATGATATATGGTGGGTTAAGAGAGAGAGAGAGAGACCACAAGCATTACTTAAAATTATACTATATTTTACAATTAACACTGAGAAAACTAAAGAGCTTTTATGTCTCAGTTTTCCTTCTGTTGTATTATTTTTTTTTTAATTTATCCTTCTATTAAAAAAGTAAAATGAGATGAGAGAAGAATTATTGTGAGTCATGTAAAGGATTGTGAGCAACAATATTAGAAATATGAATTGATGCGAGGATGTAAATTTAGAGATGGCAGAGATTTTAAAAAGAGCAAAAAGGTGTGTTAAAACAATTTGTATAATGAAGATTATGTAAATACATACTTACAATAAATGTTATTTATGTAAAAATAAAGAGAGTGTTGTGTGTTTTATTTATACAAAAAAAACCATTTATTCTCAGTTTTTAACATTATAAATTTGCATTTAATGGAACAGATAAAAGTTATTCTCTCACAAATTCATGTTTTTTTTTCTCATATTTAGTTCTTCTGCCCTCGATGGCAAATTAGACGTGAAACGTGGAAGTGTTCAACGATCTAGATTTATATCCAAAAAAAAAAATGTCTTGCATAAAAAAAAACCGAGAAAACGAGGACTGAAGAAGGTAGGAAAAGGACGCTTAATTTATGGTTAAATTATCCTCTTACACAATTTCGGTAAATTCTATCATCGTCACTTCTTCATCAATAAAGAGAGATATTATTATCCTAAATACACATTTATCTTTTACATTTTCTCATAAACTCTAGCTTCTTCTCGCGTTATCTTCACAATCAATTTTCTTTTTTTTACCCATGCGTCTTCTTATCACTACGAATAGTCCAAATTAAAAAAAAAGAGGAAAAATGTGAATTGTATGTTGAGAATGTCTTTGTCTTGCATGATTGTGTGTTGATTTCTTTGCTGAATTAAATGAAAAATGTGTGCTAATTTGCAGTATTTTACGGATGCATTACATTTAATCACTATACTTCAAAAATTTATCCATTCGTTATTATTTTTACATTCAAGTCCTTGTCACATTGATATTTTCCTCACTGATGCTCTGGATTGTTGACTGAAGGGAACCAAAAATGCTTCTTTCTTTTTCTTTTCCCAATTGGACACTAAAATGCCCCACAAAAGGATGTCAAAAACCCCTAAAAAATAATCACTTCACAAATTGGTTCAATTTTTAAGCATTAATTTATAAATCTTTCATCAAGCGTTCATTCCAAAAATTCACATGTTTTACAGTAAAAGTAATAAATTAGCAATGAATTCTCTCAGTTTAACTAGAATAAAGGTTCTTACAATAAATTTCTTTCTTAAGTGAAACATTATTTGAAATGTCCTGTTTCTCTCACACACCATAAATATTCCTTATCCTCTTCGCTTGTTTTTTTTTATCATTATTATTATTAAATCCTATACATGAAAATTTCATTGAGCCTCCCACATCACTAAAAAAGACACATTTTCCTTCTCAAAGTCAAAAACAAAGTCATTTGAACCTTTTTCATGTTTTTCTTCTCTTGAAATTCTAATTTAAAAATATTACTTGCTTTTTTTTGATTCACTCTTTCTTACTCTTCTCACTCACTTCCGTGTCATCCTTCTTTGTGCTCTCCTCACCCTTTCCCTCTCCCTCCAGAGCCTTTGCACTTCCACCCTCTGAACTGACTTCACTCACTTCCGGCAGACACTTGAGCGCCAAGTCAATATTCTCGTCGATCTTCTTAATGTACCTTTGGCGCTCCTTGCGCTCCGTGGAGCCACTCTGGCTAGTCTGCGGACTCTCCGTCTCCACCGTGCTGCCGGATTTGTCTGGCGACTCCGCCGCGGGCTGCTCCTTGTCCCCGGACACATCCACCATCTCCACCGCCTCACCCGATGACGTCGACGACGACGGTTCCGCCGGAGACTTCTGCACACTCGCCGCTTCTGCACTCTCAGGCTGCTGACTCTCTTTGACGCTCGTCTGCGTCACTTCCTCACTCGAACTCACAACCGCCGCATCCGCTTCATTCTCACTGATTTTACGCCGCTTCGGTGGTGATTCATCTGCAAAATCAACAAACAACAAATCATCCTTGAACGTGCTCTCAAAACATCCAATTTGTGTACATTTTTCTCTGAGAATTGCGTTTTCCCAGCTGTTTCGTGTGAATACAAAAGAATTCTCACCTTCATGCACAACAATGTCATCCTTGAATCGCAACTTCACCTCCAAGAGCGCCGAGCGCAGTTGCTTCTGTATCCACTGTGGCAAATCACTGGTGCTCTCCACAATCACCCTGATTGTCATGATGTCCCCGCACAGATCATACACATTATCCTTGCTCAGGATGATCACACCAATTGAGTCCAGCAATCGTGGGATTGTTAATCGTGATGTTATCTAGAAATATCAAACAATTAGTTATTAAATCTTCAATTGGAAGAATTATTTCTACATTTCAATGAAGAATTTGCGTGTTTAAGCATTATTTCACGCATTGAAATAGATTTTGGTGGCTTAAAACAGCACAAATTCTCAGTTCGACTGAGTTACACTGATCAATTCTGGCAAAACGTCAGATTGTGTAGAGATAATGTCTGATAAATGATTAATATGATCAGAATATCATGTCATTTGATAAGGAAAAGAGTCTTCCACACACCTTTGGATAGTAGATCTCCATGAAGCTGAGAATGATGGGATCATTGAGGGAGATCCTCTCATCGCGCAAGATCATGTCAATGTACTCCGTGAGGAATGGATTGTTCGTGAGCAACTCCACATACTTATTCGTCTGCTTGTTGTTGTACACACCAACCCAGAATTTGGGGAAGAAGTTGAAGTGCAGCGCCGTGCCTTCAGTGCCCGCCAGACAGCTCAGATTCACAATTGACTCATTCATCTGGTTCGTGTTCACCGCCATGCGGAACATCACGTCCAGAAAGTCATGGTATGGCTTGTAGAAGGCCTCGAGGGCCGCATCGAACTCCTTATCTGTGCCCTTCTGCACCAATTGCGTCTGCGGCACACTCATCTGCACCATTGGCCGCGGCGGACGTGGAGCACTCTTTGATATGGATTGCCAACTGCTCTTCGTCGAGCCGCGCCGCGGAAAGTAGTAGCCGAGCTGACTCAACGGATGCGTGGAGTTCTGCGACGCCGTGTGGCAGTGCGTGAGCAACGGCACGAGAATATTTATCACCTCAACAGTGGAGTTCTTCACCAACTCCTTCAGCACCTCCATGGCGAGATTTCTCATCTCTGGCGGATTGAAGGTGTTAAGTAGTGTGGCAAGACGTCTCACGCCCTCCTGCAATCCCTTCAGCACACCCGGTTGCAGTCTCTTCTTCGGATCATTGCGATTCGTCAACCTCAGCGTGCTCACCAGCAACACCAACTCAGCCAGGAGTTCCTGCAGATCACCTGACACATGACAAGCCGTAGCCTCGTGATACATGGAATGGAGAGTGTGCAGCGCCTCGAAGGCCATCGCAATGCCACCGTGAAGCACAACAAATAGGCGATCCTCATCGTTGTCCACTGAAAATTGGGTCAGTTTAAGTTAGAATTTCTGCTCAAATCGCAAAGAAGCATCACTGGAAGGACATCCACCCAGAGGAGGCTCACCTAAAATGCGCAGGGCAGCTATCAAAGTGCCCCACGACACCCTCGCGTCCAATCCTGTGAGATATGCCGTGAGTGTTGTGCGCCTGAAGTTGCTAATCTCCCTCTGGTCACTCTCACTGGCGTCCGGATGGCGCTGAGCGAAGAGAGTCATCAGCCTGAACAGCTCCTCCACAGCCATCGCATATTGCGTGGGATGCGGTGTGATGTTCTTGAATGCCCACTGGAGATTCTGATGCGCCGCCAACTGACGCGTGAGAGTGCGACTTTGCTGACAAAACATCCTCAGCAATCCATAATAGGCCGGCAACATGGCTCGATTGTAGGCAACAATCTCCGACTCATCGTGATCAGCACTGAAATGGATGAAAAAAAGTCTCAGCGTCAGATTGAATTCCATTGAAAACAAACTTAATTTGCACATACAGAATGTAGTTGAAAGCAATATTTCTCGTTATTTCTGGACAATTGACGACAATTTGTGCATTTTCCGGACACTCTGTTGTCGCATGATGCCAGAAAGCGAGAAGTGCTTGCTTATTGTGATGTGCAGGAACTCCAGGTTCAGAGAGTCGCGGATGAAAGAGATCCCACAAGGCTCTAATGTGAGATCCAAGCTGAGAAAAGAGAAGTAAATAAATCAGTGAAGAAATGCAAAAATCAAAGTGATCTTCTGTCTTACCATTAGCTTTTCAGTCTTGGACACCATCAAGTAGGTCATCAGCGTGAAATAGGCCGTTAATTTGGCCGTTCCATGTGACCCAATCTCTGTGTAATTGCGCGCCTGTCGCAACAGACGCAGCAGCAAATTGAGAATGTTGTGAGCAATGAGTTGCGCCTCTCCGGAGAACTCCTTCTGCTGCCCATGGAGCATCAGCTTGTGATGCGAACTCACGCGATAGTTCGCCCTGAAGGATTGCGATGGCACCAAGCAGACCAGCAAATAAGCAGCCGCATTGCGAACGCGTGAATTGTTGTGCGCCAGCAAAAAAGGTTCCACCCACTGTTCAGCCGATTGCAGAATCCAACTGTGAGCAATCTTGTTCCGTGGCGCCTGAACTGCCAACCAATCGAGGGCAGATTGCGGACAATACTCTGCTGCGTCCCACACGCGTTGCAGCACCAATTGCGAGAAGCACGGCATTCCCGACGGACCCACTGAGTTCTCCGTGAGCAGCGTGAGGAGCTTGAAGAACGGCCCACACAGTTCCGTGTGCTTCGTGACGGCCGTGAAGAGCATGGAAATGATCTGATTCGCCAGGCGATCATCGAAGCGACACAGAGCATGGATAAGATGACGTGTCTGATGTGGATTGATGTTATCCTTGATCTGCTGATAGAGGAAAGGGAAACCCTTTCCACCCGCTATGGCATGATAATCACGCGGTGCGAGATGCAATCGCAAATCTGGACCGCGAGATCTCTCAACAAGTGACGCCACAAGAGCTATCATCTTGTCCAGACTTGCCGGACGGGTTTTATCAACAGACAGTGTCTCATCGGACGAATTGTCGTCATTATCAGACCCAGTATCGATCTGTAGAGTGAAGAAGAAAGTGTGAAATCAAAGAATATCACTGATTAACAGTACAAAAACTTACACAATCCTGCGTCTTGTGACCCAAATAGAAGTCTGCCACATTCCGAATGATGTTGATTCGCAACAAAAAGAGCGCCTCCTCTTCACCCATGCGAGAGAAATCGTACAACAGACCAAAGAACTCAGAGAGATTCCTCATGTGAGCCTTTGCACTGCTCTCCATCAGCATTATCAGTGACTTTATGAATCTCGTCACACACGACGCATTGCCAATCTCCTCCTTGCCCTCATCATTTGTCTCAATTTTTAAGTACAGCAAAGAATGGGACATTCTGTTGAACAGAGAGAAATGTGCGATTAGTGAGAGTTTGTATGCATTGCGTGAGGTGTAAAATTCTACCTGAGTCGTTGTATGACGTGAATTACCAATCGTTGAAACATTTGACGCACCATTTGATTAGGACACTGTATGAGCACCTGGACAGGCCACCATGGCACCTGTGACATGTGCGTGAGGAACCATTCGCACGCCTCGGGATTGGCATTGAACTGCTTCGTGAGGAGTTCAACCCAGAGCACCATTGTTGGCTTCTCCTTAGCATGTATAAATGTCTCAATGAAAAATGAAACCGACAGTTGAGCTGCGATGCACGTGATGTCGCCCTGCATTAGCAACGTTTGTGGAATATGTCCACAAATTTGCCACATGAAGCTGCAAAGGAAAAAGGATGATTGAGATTTAGTAACGATATTACAATAGAGCTTAAAATTATTAGCACACCTGAAGTAGGTGTGCTCAAAGATGTTGCGGTCCTGCAGGAAGTGCTTGTTGTCCTGCCATATCCAGTCTTCCAGCTCTTTACTGAGCAGTGACCGCCTTCCAGATGCCGATGCCTTGCTCGTGGACGCGATTGAAGATGCTACTAAATTCCCCTTAGCTTCTATATCACAATTGGTTCTATTTAAATTAGGTTTTATCAGTAAATCACTACTCGGGTCAGTCTCATTAGCACTCGCACTCGCACCCTCTGATGACTCCTTGCTCAGTGACCTCGGTATAGCCTCTAGCATTGACGCCCCCATATTGCTGCTATTGTTATTCCTGCTGCTGGTATTGTTATTATTGTTGCTGCCACTCAAGCTCGATTCATTGGCACAACTCGGACCACTCTCTGAACTGCCCATGGCGTCCTTCTCATCCCTATCCGTGCGCCTCTCGTAGAACAGCATGTACGCCGAGTTGGTCTTCTCAAAGCTGAAATCCAAATACTTCTCCGTCACCGAATCGTATGTTTTGCTCGTCATTTCACCGCCAAAACACTCAGCGGCAATTTGCGATGGATCGAAGATCTTCACTTCGGCATCATTGAAGAGGAACCATCTGTCGCCAAGTCCACTCGTGGAGCGTTCTTTGATGAAACTGTAGTAATGACCACCGTCGGCAGTTCCCGTGTGCACCGTCACACCCACAAGATCATACTCAAAGTGATCTATAAATTCATCCTCATCCTCGTCCATCTCCTGTGAGCTCTTCTCACTCGCCTCGACTGTCTCCGCTGAGCTCTCAGTGCTCGAACTGGGCGAGCAATCCTTCTTCATCTTCTCCGACGCCTCAGGCGATTCTGTGTTGTTGGACGATCGTGAACTGGATCGACGCAGCTGCATCTTCTTCTTCTCCTCCTGATAGTACTGCGGCATGAGAGACTTCTCCGAATATCCAGACATGTCCAGGCGCATCGGGAAGGAGAAGTGCGTGTTGACCTTCTCCTTCAGCATCGTCACCATGTTGAAAGTGTATCGCATGGTGTTGAAGCAGAGAATTTGTGGCAACTTCTTGAAACACGCCCTCTTCTCCGCCCTCACCTTCTTCCCACACTGCGAGCATGTGTACATATTGTCACCCTCCAGTGTGTCCTTCACTGTCACCTCATCCAGAGACTCATGCAGATTCCTCATGTCCGCCACTTGACAGCGCACCGTGTAGAATTCCTCCAGTGTGCGACTCACATGGCCACAATCCAGTGACACAACATTATTGCTCAGCACGCCACAGAACAGATTCTTGATCAGACTCTTCAAATCCGGCGTCATCTCCTCCAACTTCGACACGAGATCAATGAAGAACTCCGCCATGTCCTTCTGCTCACCCGTGTTCAGCGGCTGATGATCCATCTGATACACGCGACAGAAAGATCGCGGATTGTACGACTTCCTCTCCGACTCCATCAAGTACGCAAACATTCGCTGCAACTCATGCAATGTGTTGGCATGCTTCAGCGCATTCTGCGGCGGCACACTGAGCACCGCCTCGCGCGCCTGTGGCATCATGTAGAGATGCTGAATGCACGACGCCATGTAGCACGTGGCGCCGAGGTTCGTGAGTCCCACATAGCCACACTCCGATCGTCCATCCTCGCGCGGCCAGTAGTCCCAGGGATAGGACGAGTGTGGCCCCGATTTGTGCTGCTCCATCAGCTTCCCGTGCAGCAGAGCGTAGTTCTTGCTTGAGTTCTTGCACATCTCCACCAGCAGATCGTACGCCTGAGCCCGTGCAGACTGGGATTTACACTTGGGCTTCTGCCTATTGTCCGCCGATGGCAGATCAAAGAGACACTCAAAGATCCTCTCAATGAACTCCTGACCGTCGGCACTTTGCTTGAACGGCGGATCGAACTTAATCAGACTGGCCAGTAGATTAATCAATCCCACAAGTCCATCATCCTGATGTCCGTGTCTCACCTCGAGAAACTCCCGATCCAGAATACTCTTTGACACTTGTCTGCAGAGATTCTCAATGTCAATCGCCGATGTGTGTGGCGTGTCCAAACCCTCCTTCATCATCTCCGTCGTCATTGTGTCCACAAGTCTGCACAGCAGCCAGAAGTAGTCTCGACACGCGGGTCCATACGGCTCCTTGCCCTCATCCGTCGCCAGGCTGACATTCTGATTCTGACAAATCATCTTCTCCGCAATCGGCAAGAAGTTGATCAACTTGGAGAGCAATGGCGCCGTGATCTCATAGAATGTCTTCGCATTGCCCAAGCACACTCTGTACAATCCAGCGCAAGCCTCTCGACGCACCGCCGGCTCCGGATCGTTGAGTATCAATCGCTGCAGCCACGTGCAGTTGTCCGGATCGGACCACAGCTGCTCGCGCGCCTGTGGCGACGAGTGCACGAAGCACACCAGGAGATTCATGGTGAAGTGAATCACCTGCGCTCTTCCCCAGATTCCCGTCTTGAAGTGATGCGGATTCAGCGGTAAGGACGAGTCATTGAGAATGGACGAGAGCCGCTTCAGTGTCGGCCGGACAGACATCAGCGGCAGCATGTGCTCATTGAGTTTGGGAATCGTGAGCGGTGTGTCATCTGGCTTCATCTCCTCCATGCCCAGCAAGCAGAGGATTCTCAGTAAACTCGCCAGGCAATCATGTCGCCACTCATTGAAGTCATCGCCACAACTCTCGTCCGGCTGCAGCACACCAGACATCAGGATGTCATACAACTTCCTCAGCCCGCCACACTTCACAAAAATCGTGCTCCACGAGATTGTTATCTCCGACGTGATAATCTTCTTCACCTTGTTCGGATCCAGCGGCGGTTGATTCTCCGTGTCAGCCGACGAACTGTTCTCCGTCTCACCAATTTCCATCTGCTTCGACTCTGACTCATCAACTTCTGCATTCTCCACACAATTGCTGGCATTATCACCACCTCCCGATCCCTGCTCTTCCAGCTCCATCGGAGTGTTGCACAGCGTCACATCTGTCTCACCTTTCTCACCACCACTTGCCTTCCTGTTCGCCACAACCTTTACACTCAGCTTGGACATGATCTTCTGCGGATTCGACGCCTTGATGGCCTGCGCCTTCACTGGCGCCTTCTCTGCCAACTTTCCCGCCGTGAATTTCGTCTTGCACAGACTCTCAACAATGTGCAGTGAATACATGAACTTCTGCAGATTTCTCGGATCCAGCAGATCCTCCACATTCATCATTGACGGCTTCTCCGGCACCTCAGTCTCCATCTCTTCATCCGTCTTCGCAGCCTTCTGGTGCATGATGTTCTTGAAGTTCTCCAGAAGCGTGGGACTTGTGGGCAGCATTGCCAGGATGTCCCACACTCTGCGCGACAGCAACTGAGCCTTCGTGTGCGGCTGACGATTTCCACCCTTTCCCAGTGTCTTCATGTCACCCAAAGTCTGCATCAGCTTGAACAATTGCTCAAAATACTTCGGTTGCAGCAGCAAAACCGTCGGCAGACATTCCTTCGGCGGCGGCGGTTGCAGGGATGGATGATCGCCGGGATCACGACGTCGGCCACTGCTGCGACCGCCCAGAGACACATACACCATCTGATTGTCCTTGAATCCCACATCAGCCAAGCTCCGCTCATCGTATTCCGCCGTAATCTCTTGTCCCTGCGTGATAATCCTCAGCGGACCTTCGCTCAGCAACAGCCCCAGAACGGGAGCCGTGGCGCCGGATGTCTTTACGCCACTCTGGATGGATTCCCACCACTTTGCCACCTCTGCCTTCAGATCAGCCACCAAATCCGTCGAATGGAGATGCAAGACAGATTTATCCGGCACTCCAGCTGGCTGCAGGATGATCCTAATTGGTGGCCCCGGACCCTCACTCCTCAGAGCACTGTGGGCCGCAATGCCCTTACCCTCGAGCGCCCAGCGCCGCAGATGATAAGCATAGCGCCGACGGAAGGTCTCCAAGTGCGTGTTGAGCAACATCAGCGCCCGCTGAACACACATCAGAGCGTGCTCTTGCCTCTCCACATTGTTCAAATCCTCCGCCGCTTGCGTCAGATGATTCATGCACTGCGCCACAAACTCCTTCTCCAGCTTCAGCTGCTGTCCCATGTAATACGAGTTGATGTACTGAATCGCCGCCAGCGACACATCCGTGTTATTCGCCCGCAGAGCAATCTTCCACAGATGACTCATGCCCACAATGTCCAGCGACATGTCACTCCCTGTGTCATAATGCGCCGCCAGGCGTGCCAAGCTGCAGAGTTGCTGAAACAGTCCCAGAGCGACCATTGAGATGCCTTCGGGACGCAATTCTGGCAACTTCCGAATATACAAGTGTTGCAGCGTGTCAATGCCCAGCGCGTGCTGATCTCCACTGCCCTTCGCTTGCGTCTGCAGCCATGCAAACAGACAGTCTGAGCACTCCGTGTCATTCGCCAGCCACGCCCACAACGCATCCACTTGCTCGAGGCTCAGCCTGAACGGCTCCGGTGATCCCATTGAGCTGAACACCGACGTCAGGAACTGCAGACGCACCTGCACCTGCGTCAAGTGCGAATACATCAGTCCACCGCTCTGATTGAGTATCTGTCCCTGATTCTGTGTCTTCGTGGACACGGCGTAATACTTGAGATTGTTGAAGAAGTGATGCATCATCTTGTGCTGCCTCTCCGCCCACATCGTCACCTGATGCGTGTCCGTGGCGCGGAATTGCTGGAAGGAGGCAAACATCTTCGGCAGCAGGCGCAGACACACAATGACACTCTTATTGTTGGCCAGACTCATCAGGCATCCCTCCACGAACTTCATCCGAATGAATTTGTCGGTATTGAAGCACAGCAGCGTGCCCAGAGCCTTCTCCGCCTCCAAGGCTAGAGATTCGCCCAATTGACCAATCTTGTCGTCCTGCAGCAAATCCCAGAGCAGCGTGTTGCCCGGCTGGCACACGTCGATGACCTTGTACGGCGCCTGGGTGGCAGTGGATGAACTCGAGGAGTTTGCGCTCTCCTGACTCGCCTTCTCGCCACCACTCTTGGCCGCCTTCTCGCTCTTCCCCAGCACACTGGCAATCGTGCGACTGCGGGGAAGCGTGAAGGCCGTCAGGCAGTGTCCGCGCGACGCCAACTGCTCCAACTCTTCCTCGCACGGCGAATCCTCATCGTCAAAGTCAGCCATGTTCTTCTCCGACTTGTTGCTCATCGGCGACGAGTAGCTCCCGTCATTCTCCGCTCCGCTCAGCAAATCCATCAGCTGCCCTTCCGAAATCGCCCCAATGAAGGAGCCGTCCGAGTGCAGGTGGCTCAGCACGGCGGACGGCAAGTGTGTCTCGCTGCAGTCACTGTCATTGCCCACCACGGCGCCATCGCTGTGCGACTCGCCATCCGACATCTCGGCAATCTGTTGCATCTGCTTCTTCGACAGCACTCGCATCTTCCGCCGCTTCCGCAATCGCTTGCGCATCACCGAGAAGTTCTCCGAGCCATCGAGACCATCATCGCTGCTCGAGCCGTCCGGCAGGATGGAGATGCGCTGCCCCATGATCGTCAGCGTGGGTGGAATGCCCTTGTCACACTCCACATCGTCAGCCACATCCGCCTCCACCTTCGTGCTCTCTGCGGGACGAAAAGCAATCAACACTGCGCGCTCTTATCAGAGATCTCAAATTAATTGCAGATGAACTTAAATATGATACTCGCAGGAAGATTGTTTACACAACTACATCGTAAAATAAGATTCTCTCGTTTGATTAATGGCTGATAAACTGCCATGGAAAATTTATGACAAGTGTTGCAATATTATCGCTCGTAATATTGAAAGATTTCTCTACATTTTGTAACTTTCTCAAAGACATAAAACAATACAAATTAACCATTTTTCAACAATATCAAGTTACAAACTGACATTTTCTCTCTAGACTTTACTTGATTACTGCAAAACTAACCTTAAAAGGTGGATTTAGTTTCCAATTGCAAGTGATTTCTAAGAATGCGTCAATACTTTGTTTTTATCTGTGCTTTTTGCACATGAAAGAAACACACAAGATACTGAGGAATAAAAAATTTCTGACTGTGTAAAGAGTAATAAGGTCAGTTTGAGAGATTTTATCACTTATTCATCTCATTGAAAGATGCTTTTATTGCCAATTTCTTATGCATCAAAAATGTAAATTTTGCACTATCTTTAGATCTACAAATCTCAATCAAGTTTTCTAATACAAATCAAAGTATCATTGATAAAAAACAGTCATTTCACTCACCATCTGTCGTTTCGCCGCAGCAATTCTTGTGTCTGGCCTGTTTGCAAGGCGGCGCGCCGGAATCCGAGCCCTCAACCTCAATTGGACTCTTCCTGCCCTCCGAGCTGTCCTCCTCCTGCTGCTCCTCCTCACTGTTGCTGCCCTCAATGCTCACGCTGTTCTCCGAACTGGACGCCACCGCGGCCACATTGCGCATCAGGGCACTTCCGGTGGCGCCACTCGAGCCCGCCACGCTGCTGCCGCCAAAGAAACTGTCTACACTGGATTGGCGACAACTCTCGCGCGACCAGATGAGCTTCGTGAGCGCCGACGCGATGTAAATGCTCTGCTCCGTGTGCTCCTTGGGATCGAGACGACAGAGCAACTGGTAGAGATGCAGCGCAGGACGCGCCGCGAGGTTCTTCACGAGGGACGGCAGGATGTCATAGATGGGCTTCGAGCAGTGCTTCAGCTGCGCCGCCTGCCAGATCAGGCTGATGTGCTCCTCGGTGATTTGATTCTCCACAGCCAGAAAGTTGAGCACAATGTGAGACTGCTTGATGACCTCGACGTGGAGATTCGGGCCGAAGAGGTGCGACACGATCTGGTTGTCCGTGAGCCAGTCGCCCAGCTTCTGGCCCACCACCTCCACCTCCGCCACCGTGTCGGACGTGCAGATGTCGTTGAAGAGATTGATGTGGGCATTGATCTGCGCCATGCCCGACAGCCGCATCGTGAGCGTCGTGGACGTGAAATACTTGAACGCCAGCGTCAGGCCCTCCATGTCGAACGTAATCTGCGAGTCCAGCGGATCCTTCACCGCCGCCCACATGAACTCCGCCATGGACTTGGTGGCCGGCGAGCGCAGATCCTGGTCGTTGAGCTTGCACATGTACTGCAGCACCTTCACGCGCAGCGGCACGAACAGCTGCGCCGTGCTGCGATAGTTGAGCCACAGCTTCACGTTGCTGATGGTGGCCGTGATGGCGTGCGCCGTGGACACGGGCAGATTGGGCTGCTCGAAGCAGTGCGCCATGGCGGCGAAGCCGCCGCAATTGCAGAACACAGAGACATTGCGGAGCAAAAAGGCGGGAATCTCGTTGTCGTGCAAGTCGCAGAAGATACTGAGACTGTTGGCGTCCTGGGCGGAGATGTCGTCCAGGCGCGAGTGAACGCCGTGCTTGTAAGCCACATAGAGTGGGAAGTTGAGCAGGAACGCTTTGGAGATCACAATCAGCACTCTCTCCAGCTCTGGCAGACTCCACGTGGAGCTGAGATCCTTGGACTTGCTCCCGGTCGCCACTGGGGGTGCTGGGGACGCTGGCTTGACCTCCTGTGCGTCCCCCTTGGCCTCCTTCGCCTCCCCTCCGCCGCCAGACTCATCGGCATTGTTATTGTTCGTCTGACTCTCCTCGAGGATCGCCTTGATGTTCTTCAGCTGCGATATCGTCAGGCATATGATGGACTGGACAATCAGATTGAAGCGCTCGAAGTTCTTCACATCCCTGTAACAGCACATGCACTGCCTGGAGAGCGGGAAAGACAGAGAGAGACATCATCAGTGTCAGCTGCGGAAGACGCACAGCGAAAACTCACCTTTGCGGCCACGTCTGGATGTACGCAAATGCAATGTCCACCTCATTCTTCTGCAGATGCTGATGCTTGAGTTCGTTGTTGCTGATCCGAGTCTCATCTGCGGATGGAACAAAGGCCATGACAAAATCTTTCTAATGGGAATCCCTCCCAAACCAAACTCGTGTTTGACAGATGAACAAAGAAAAAAATTTTCCATCCCAAATACCAAGTTTACGCACAAGGAAAGCAATCTCTGGACACTTGTCCATGTGCAGGAGAATCATTTCTAGCTATTTAGTGCTGTTTTCACGCAAAAGTGACAAGATTTTAGGGAATATTGACAAAATATGGCCATCGAGAGCTAGTCGAACATCCCACCCTTTTCCTGCTCTCTCAGACTCCCATGTGCGCTGGAAATGGCATTAAATCCTTCCTCCAGCCACCCTTCTTGCACCATGACCAGAAACATCCCACAATTTCCCGTGAATTGGTCGGGAACACGCCCGGAAAAGGCTGTCCGGAGGGCATTTGCAGCGGAAACTTACGGGTGGTGAGGAGATGAAGGAAATCCGCACACACGTCGCACATTATCACTCACGGTCGCTTTCTGACACCATTGGTGGCTGAAAGTGACTCAATTGGGGCACCTCACACGATAGAAACGCTAAAATCATCCAATTTATAACTACAAAACCACAAATTTACTTCTCAACTTGATCGCGAAATGTCATTTGCCAAAACGATGAAAACTCGACGGCACACCGCAGCGCTCCCATGCGACACCCACGCGAAACTCGCGTGAATTCGAGGAAAAATCCGAGTCGATGAACTTCGAAGAGGGAAATTTTGAATTGCCCAGGTTTGTGTCTTAGGTAACGGAACTTGGTTGCATCCGAAAGATGGTTTACGTTTCGGCTGATTCCTAAATTGCAAGGATTCCTATGAAACATGAATGAAACATCTTAATTAAATGATCTAAATTGATCAATACTTTGGATAAAAGGTCGTCATTGGAAACCACAGAGGAAGCGTCAAAATTAGACATGTTTTGAGCGGATTAAATAAAAAATCCTCATGTTATTCAGATGGAGCTGAGGTCACTGAAGAGTTTGTAGATTTTCAGTCCACAACACAGAGGCGCTGCAATCTCTTCAAAGGGGATTTTTTTTTTTGAATAGGAACCTAAAACCAACAGAATTTTGATACTTTTCCTTCTCAATCGGATTCTCAACTCTTTTTCTCTTGATTGAAATAAAATGAATTGGGATTATTGAAACACAATAAAATTATTTGAAATCATTTTATTGTTTAATTAAACTTGAACACTGAATTTTCTCATTTTTATATACTTGATGATTTTAAATAAGTTTTCTGTTGCTGCTGTCTATGGATTAAACAGATAAATAAGTTGTTGGAATGTACAAATTTATTCTTTTTTTTTAACTTCATTTCTCAGTGATATTCTTCGACCCCTGACAATCTTTGTCTCGTTTTTTTTTTTAATGACGATAAATGTAATCAATTATTTTTGTATAGTATTTTTTATGCTTTTATAGTCTTATCTCATCTACTTTCTCTTCTATTTATATGCTCTATAACTTCCCTTTTTCTCACTCGCTTGCATCTCAAACCATCGCAAAAACTCAAAAGTTTGCACTCAATCGACATCCTTTCTTTGTTTTTTTTCCTTTTATACAGTTAAAAATATTCCTATTGAGGGTAGTATTTTTTACTTCTTTGTTCTCTTTCTCACTTCAAACTCAATGAGCGACAGCAAAATTCCTCAATATTTTTCTCTTTCATGATTTTTAAGAAATGTTTCCGGATAAATTTGTGTTTTATAGTCACTTTTAGTACATATTTTTCATCTTTTTTTTTATACACAGAAAGCTAATAATGATATAACTTCATTTTTGTATGATTTTTTCATCTTAATTAATTCTTCGGTACACAATTGATATTTATTTATTTACACCATTCACGATGTTTCTTCTCAAACTTTTTCTTCAATTCATTCGTTTTTTGTTGTTGTTGTTGTTGTGTGATTGATTGATTGAAAGTTTAATGCGCAAGGAAACAAGAATTAACCGAAATTTGAAGGGGTTTTTTTTCTCTTTCAATGTCTTAGAACAAAACATTTCAGAGGGAGAAAAAATAGTGAGAAAATTATTCGTTTCTATGATGAAAGGGGTTTTTTTTGTCTCTTTCTTTCCAGTTACAAGAACAAGATTATAAAGAATCAGAAATCCTAACAGCTGCATTTGATTGACAAAGCAAAATATTACATGTCTTCTGTGGGATCAAAATGTATTTGAAAATTATAAAAATGGAGCCTAAACAAGATGTTGATCTGAAAATTTCAATATTCTTCACTATTTCTTTTTTTCCATCATCATATTCACTAAAAACTGTACATATACATTTTGAATTAAGTTAATTCGTATCTTATTATATCTAAAAATATTTTATTTAATAACTATATAGGTTTCATCTTCAAAGAAAACGAAAAAATAGAAATTAACAAAGAAATTCAATTTATTCCTTCTCTTCTTCTCACACTTCCTAAGAATTTTCATCATCTTCTTCTTCTTCATTTTTACCTCGATCTCAAACACTTTTTCTCTCTTTTTATGCAAAAAGAAAAATCCTCCGAACGAATTGTCTCTAGAAATTGTGCTGAAAGACTCTTTCTCCCGAGGAACCGGGACGAATGGTTGGAACTTAGCGGCTAAAAGGGTGGAGGGATGGTAGCGCCCGGGCTGATGGGATCCTGATGGCAGAATGGACATGACAAAAGGGAAATTGCACCACAATCGCGCGCGCGCGCGCGCGCCGTCAGAGTCTCGAGCGCATCCCTCGTGGATCCAGCGCGCAGCGCCCCAAAGAGCCCGTCTCCGCGTCCAGCATCACGACACATCGACCGGCTCTCTAACACGTGGGCGGACCCGCTGGCACCAGACCCGAGTCAGAGGCTCTGACGGCACGACAGAAAGCCCTCTCCTTCTCTTTCTCTCTCTCTACCTCCACAGGACTGCAGTTTAGTGAATGTGAAAGTCTCCTTCTCGATAGCAAGAGGAGGAGGTGTTTTTCGACTGATCTCTCATCATCATCATCATCGTCGTTAAGTGGCCTGCCATCCTTATTTACGTAATACGAAAGCATAAACAGAACTAAAAAATGTGTGTGTGGGCAAAAAAAAACACCAAAAATGAGGGACACAGAAAAGAAAGTAATTAAATTTACATAGTAGGGAATCTCACCCTCCTCAAACGAGGAGGAGATCTTCACCATATTTTTTTTTCTCTCTATATATTCTCACTTCATTTTCACCTTAATACAACAAGAGAATTCCTTTCAGGATGCGCGACAAAGAAAAATTGTTCTACTCTTCATTTTATATACTCCTCCATTCATAACTTAAATTATATATTACTCAACTTGGGTTTCTTTTCTGCTTGTTTTTTTCTTTTCTTTCTCCTCCTTTTCCACCATTTCCTTCTTCACTAACTGTTAAAACGTGGGTGTGTTTCTGTTTTTCCTCTTTCTTTTCTCTCTTTCTCTCTTCTCTATCCTGTCAATGAAGGTGATATTATGTTTTTCTCAAAAAAGAAACTAAACAAATTTTTCTCGCTCTGTTTTCAAACTTCATTCAAAATGGATGTTTTAATTAATCTTTTCATTTGGTGTAATGTGTTTGTGTGTGTTTCTCTTCTTCTTCTCTTCCTCTCCACCTCGACTTCTCTCTGCTCTTTTTTTTGTGTGAAAATAGAAAGGGGGGGAGCTATTCGGTTGGTCGTTTACTTGGTGTACAGATAGATGGCCACAATGAGACCGTAGAGACCCAAGACTTCGGCGAAAATGAGGATCAGAATCATACCGACGAAGAGACGAGGTTGCTGGGCAGTTCCACGGACACCAGCATCACCCACAATACCGATCGCAAAGCCGGCCGCCAAGCCGGAGAAGCCCACAGCCAAGCCAGCGCCCAGATGGATGAAGCCCCTGCGGAATGAGGAAAGAACACATGGCATTAGATCCTCTCTGATCAACTCAATGCACGCCAATGTGAGACACTCACTTATACAGACTGTATTTGCTGGGTTCTTCCAGAGCACCGGCAATAAGTACAGCCACGACCAGACCGTAGATGGCAATGATACCAGCCATGACCACGGGAATGATGGACTTCATGATCAACTCCGGTCGCATCACCGACATGGCAGCGATACCTGTTCCTGACTTTGCCGTTCCATAGGCAGCTCCCAGCGCTGCAAGGACACAAAACAACACACAATCATTAGCTTTCTTCTCTCTCTCTCTGCTTTTGAAGTTACACCAAAGTATAAAAAAAAATCTCAGATTCAGGCTCTTTCTGGATCTCATCTTCACAATTCCATAGATATACACACATCGTAAAGAAAAGAACGTAAAATGATATACTTTTATGGTCTCAATTACAATTATAATCATAAGTCTAATGATGGGAAGAGAGCAAAAAAAAACCAACTCACTTTCTCACACGTTCTTGGCATGATTCTTTCTTTTCTGTACCCCAAAGAAAATCCCATTTTCTGTCCAGACAACATTGTTTGCATTCAATGCCACGTGGAAGAGATGTGCTAATTTTTGCACTGAACTCTGCAAAATGTCACTACGAAGGTGGAAAATTCCCACCCAACGTCACACACATTCACACTAACACTCAATCAAATTTATATGGTCGAAATCATCATAAATTAAAAGAGAATATTTGCATGGAAAAACAACCCCTGAACAAAAAGAAGCGGACAAACTGATAAGAACACCCTTCCTCTCTCTCTCTCTCTGCTTTTAATGAGGGACGTATGGCTGATAACGCATCTCTTTGTACGTGAAAATTTATTGGAACCATCAGCCAATCAGTCATTTAGAGATTGAAGTGTTATAATTTTTATTTTTGTCACTCAAGTACCCAATACTCATGCCAATTAGTCAACTGACGTGACCATCTCATTGTAAATTTCCCCACAAACACAGACAGCGAGACCATTTTATAAATGCTCCGCAAAACACTCAAGGAAATACGCGGATAGCCTGAAAAAAATTGTGTGACTGCGAAACACATCGAACAAATTCGTCAAACACAACAAGTAAATCTAATCAGTGAACCTTCATCGTGTTTTTTTCCTCCTTCTTCTCTCTCTCTCTCGTCTTATTACTTCTTCCATTTAAAGTCCTATTTATTTATTACTCGTGCTCTTTTGTTGCACACAATTATACTGATAAATTCCCAACAAGTCTCTCTCTCTCTTCTTTTCAATTCTATCAAGCCATAGAGTGAGAGTGGTGAGAACAAGAGATTCTTTCGGACACTTCCTGTAATTGAAAACTGACCAAATGCCATTAATCGCGCGCGCCAGAGAAAGAGAGAGAGGAAGACAGAGAGAAAAGAGAAAATGAGAGTGAGATGAAAGAAATTTCCCCACAAATTGCACTCTCTTAACATACATTTTTCTCTCTCTCTGCTCAAGAATTTCTTCTAACTAAATTTAGCATGAAAATAAGAAGTGGGGGAACAATGAAAATAGTATGAAAACTGTATGAGATCCACATGGGGGCGATTCTCGCTAACATTCCAGCTCATCGAGAGCCTAAAAGGGGATTCCCATTGACGTCTCAATCGATTTGTCTTCATCGTTGTTTTCTCATTCATTTTCCTCACAAGAGTGACTGAGTTTTAAAGGGTGGTTTTGATAGACTTCACCTGAAGAATTTCAACGTCCCACATTTTGCAAATTCTCTCTCTCTCTCCCACACACACACTCTCTGACTCTCACCAAAAATCTCTGAATAGATGCGCAAAAGACACAAATCAGGAGCATTTTATGGAATTTACACGACACAATAATATTCACCAACTTTTTGGCTAGAAAATGTCACACATTTTTCCTCTTTCTCTCTCTCTGAGAAAAGACCCTTTTCTCTCTCTCTCTCTCTCTCCCACGAGAGAGCAAAAGATACGCCCGGAATATATTAAATGAAACCATATGGAAACACACAAACAATTTTTCCCAAATGACCTTTTTCGCACTTCATGTGGAAATTGGCGAACAAGTAATTTTACTAAAAAATTCTGCTTAGCAAAGTGTGTGTTTTTCTTTCGTAATAGTCGTAATAGAGCAAGAAAGAATCAGAAAATAATACAAAACTGTGATTTGATTAATTTGCCAGGCTTGTAAATTAAAGTCATTTGATAGTTTATAATTCAAATCATAACAAATAAATTTTGCGCGCCTCCATCAGAGTTTTGTGTCACTGGGAGGAAAAGATAAAATGATGGGTCACGAGGTCGCCACACGCGCGCGCTCACTCACAATTCACTCCAGCTTCTTCTCTCTTTCTCTCTCTCTCTGTCTGCCTTTCGATCCCATTCTTTTCTTTCCATAAATCATGACGCGTTCGTCAATTTACAAATCATACATTTAATTAACTGTCTCATCAGCACACCAATTTGGATAAAATGAATTGTCAAAGAATCATTCTAGTTATAGTTACAAGCCGACATTTTTCCTCAAACGTCTTTTCTTGTGTACATTTTCACCCATTACGAAATCACCTCCCGATAATATCGCCATCAATCTAATCTCTGTGACCGTTTGGCGTTGGATTTTGAGCTTCTGCACAAGGCATAGAAAAGAAAGAAGAGACAGAAAATTAAATCAGTGAACAGTGATAAGGAAAAAAAAATGTGGTAGCGCAAAAGGGAACACAAATCTTGTGTCTCAATCGGAGCGTGACACTCCTCAACAGAACGCGCCCGTGAAGGAACAGAAAAAAAACCGTATCCAGAAAGTGCGATTTGAAATCAACAAATTGATAAGACACTCAAAATCTTTATCAAACTCTTCACACGGCAAAGAGTGTGCGATTAGAGAAAGTGAGAATGTTCTCCACATTTTATACTTCTCACTTCACTATTTCTAGTATTTCTCCCCGCATTTCATCTTTAATTCATAAATTCAATTATTATAAAACATCTTTCATCACAAACAGCAACAAGTTGTCCTTTTCGCTCAAACACGAGACAACATTCCAATACAACAAACGGAGAAAACAGAGGTTTTGTTCAACATCATTTACAAAAGTAAATTGTGACGAAAATCAATTCAAATTTGGGACAAATTAAACTTTATGCTGATCAGGTTAGAAATCTTGGAAAAATCTCAATAACTTCCAAAGTGTTTTACTGTAAAATTTCACGCTTTTGATAAAATTAAAAAAAAAATCAACTATCATTTGCTAATTTTGGATGATTTAAAATCAGTTTTAAAACGTGCTCAATTGAATGTCGGAACGTTGAAAAATTTCCCCCGCCTGAAAAACTTCCTCGAAATCCAACCTTGATGAATTAAACTTTTCAGCAAGCAGGTGAAAAATGGAGCTAACAAATTTGTCAATGAACACAGTTTTCATTGAGATTCTCTCTCTTTCACTCGCTTGTGTGTAAAGTTAGATGATTGTGGAAAAGGCTACACATTTTGCATGCAAATTCTTTTCAATAATAATATTATTTCCAACAATTAATTGCCTTTCCATGCACACGTTATAATATTGAGAGTGGAAAATGGCTATTTGAGGGCCACTCACAAAACCTGTCTCATTCACACACACACACTCTCTCTCCTTCTTTCTCTCGTAGTCATGAAAAATATCATTTTATGCTGCATGTCCATGGTTTATGCTTATTAATCGCATCACTGTCAGTCTGTCGCGCGTCCCTCTTCGCTTCTCTCCTCCTCAATCCATTCAGCGATTGTGCGATCGAGCACTATGTCTCCTCTAGGCCTCACTATCAACTCGACAAGACACAATATTTGATGTCATTTAGATAGCATGGGGAAAATGTGTTTTTCCACACACTACACTCACATCAACATATTATATTAGGTGAAAAACTCTCCGACATTTTGTCTCATTGTGAAGGTAGATTATTGTGTAATTACAAGTAGATATCAGGCCTTTTTTCCAACTCACACACAGAACAACCTTCAGTTCGCGAGCGCACGTACATATGTGTGAATTAATTCCACACAAATTCCCATTTAAAACGGTTAAAACGTCACCTGACATCAAAAATCCACTGACACCACGTGACCACAGGTGTTTTATAACATCCCTCTCTCTCTGTCTCTCCATTCCATAACCATCTTCTCCACATCTGAATGGGAAATTGTCTGGGAAGAATTATTACCGTCGAGAGACGGCATTTTATCGTCTCTCTATTACAATGCACAGCAGCACAACACAAATTGCCAAGCCAGAAAGGCAACAATTAAAAGCTGCTCAATTCAGCAAATAATCAATGAAGTAAAAAAAAAAACCACATTTTTCTCCATTTGTGTGTTTGCAGGAAAAGAAGAAAAGAATTATTATATTTTGTGGAGAAGATTTCTGAACTTTGAGATTGATCATCTTTATCAGAGAGTGAGAGAGATGAAGAGAGAAGAGCAAACATACAAGGGTTGTCACAAGACTTGCGTGGAAAATTTCCTTGAAATCATATGGAGAGTAAAAAGTTGGTGAAAAGTTGTAGAATTGATTGAATAGACAAGGAAAAATCACAGGAAAAATCCACACACAAACAACACACGCACGCATTGCAGGGGAGTTGAGAATCACATGAATTTGCGGATGTGGAGGCCTTTAGTATCATCTTAAGTGCTGCCTCACGACAATTTTTCCAGGAGTCACATGATTCTCTCTCGCACTCCAACACTATCAAGGAATTCAATCTGCCCGCCGCCGACTGAGCAACAACACCTTGGCTGAGTGTGTCACCTGACAATCATCATCTTCCTGGGCGTTCACACAGCTCAGGTGACTTGTCGTCGCACTCCCAGGCGCGCTCCTGCAGGAGCAGCGCGCCCGATCAGGTGCTCTGGCGACGACACAACACCTTGAAGAGATACAATAACATTGCCTGTGTGAGTGATGAATGTGACAAATTCCATATCAGAGATTATCTCGAAAGTACTGGAAGGCATGTGACCTCCTTCTGAGCACCGCGATCATCCAGAGGTGCAAAGGTGCTCCTCTCCTGTCGCCCCGCCGAGCCAAAAAAAACCCACCATCCTGAGACGACGATGGAGAAAATGTGGTGGCAAAAATCGATACAGTCATGAATGTGTCATGAGACGGTGGATTTCCACATGCCCAGAATCCCTGCATCCCCCGCCCACAGATCCGGGAGTGATCAGAGGGAGTTTTCCGCGAATTCTCAGCACACACACGTCCGCCGCTGAGGCCCCACGGGGGGCGGCCGGCCATGGAAAAATTTCAGTCCCGTGACTCACTCTCACTTCAGACACACGATTTCTATGAGTGCAAGAGTGACGGGCTGATGAGCCGAACTGCTTGTGGGAAGAGTATCGCCTCAATTTCACGGAATTTCTCTCACACGCATGCATTCTCTCTCACTCTCTCTCTGGCGCTCTGCCTCTCTTACGCTCTCGCCAGCCCCCTTTTCCACCCTCGCCCTTGCGCGCTCCCTCGCCTGCTGCCCAGGGAGCGCCCCAGAAGCAGCGCCAAGGGCACACGGGCGGGAGGAAGAGCGTCGCCAGGAGATAAAAAGTGCATTCAACTGACTTCTCGCACGAGAGGAGCTCCCCTCTCTGTCTCTGGCGCTGAGCACACAGGCAGTCCTTGGCCCACAAAATCGATAGCGGCCACGATGAGAGAGAGAGAGCTCCACTTTTTCCCATCTCGCGCGCCCCCAGCACCAGTCCGGAGAGCGCACGCCACGGGGCGTATTCCTTACCGCTGAAGATGATAGCAGCCGCGGCGCCCATAACTCCGAAAAATGGTCCATAGACGGGTGATTCCTCTGGCAGCGCCATTTTCTATGTGTGTGCTGTTTTTTTTTCTTCTCTTGTTGCTCTTCTCAAAGAATTTCCTTTGCTCGCTGGCACGAACGCTGGTGTGACTGGGCGAGAGAGAGTATTTACAGGCTGGTCGGAGGAACAAGCTGGCCTTCTAGTTGATCTCCTCAAGATGGATCCTGGCGAACCGAACTCGCTTCACACACTCACTTCACTAAACTAAATTGATTCCACTGTCAAATATGGCCTACACCACCGATTCACTCTCTCAGAAGAAAGATGTCTGACTGTGCAGAGAACTTGAACGAGATGGTCATATGACAGAAAGCACAGGGCCGCACCAGGCGATCGATCGCCCCCAACACACTTAAACCTCCTCCAGATTCCCAAATCCACCCAATCTCTCCCAAGTGTGCTAGGGAAATAGTTTCATATACGCGAAAGAAAGGTAAATGTATTAAATTTCTCGTGATTTTTCCACACCAGCGGTCTTCAATCTCAATTTTCACGCCCTGGAGCAGAGTCACCCTAATTACTGCCCTGCGCCAGACGCTGTCACATGACCATACAAAACAGGCGCTGATTGGGCGAAACGGGACGTTTCCAGCATTATCAGCCAATCACATGAGCTCTTCTATCGCGAGCGCATGACGTGCCAAATGTCAATTTTCGCACACAACTACGCGAGTCAAAACCACGAAATTTACCCCAAATTCGCTTCTTCAGCAAATAAAGCGATACGAGTGGCGAGAAAAAACCACTTTTGGCTTATGAAAGCGCTTGATAAGTGGATTTGTATTTTAGAAAATGTCCTGCACTTTTGCAAATCTGCAGTAAATGACACTTCCGCTGTGAAGTTGGTTGCGAGAATGTGCATTTGAAGGGTTTCGTCGAACATTTTTACGGTGCCCCTGTGAGTGGGCAAATGGAACGATGTGATGGATTTCTGGAATTTCCCGCTCTTTCCCTCTTCCATGCCTTCATAAAATATCATTTTTCTTCTTATTTCTTGTTTGCTGATATTACAATTACGTAAATCCCAAGACACTCGGCTTGGAAATGACTGATAATCCACAATTCAGCAATGGAAATTATGTGAAAAAAGTGACGAAAGTTAACTGAATGTATCTTTCCGCAAATCTATTTTATCTATTTATGTACCCAATTTTCGCATTACGTAAAATTGGAGGCATGATATCGCGCGTCGCTACCTTGAAATACAAATACGATGAGCGCCAATGAGAATAATTTCTTGGGTAAATCTTCAAAAACGATTCTCACCGATTCTCTCTGTCTGTATGGACGAGGTGAGGAGGCGCGGAATGCGGAGGCTGCAATTAAACCCCATGATTCTCACATCTTATCGCAGAGATGCAAGATTCCCCAGGTATCAGCCCAGAGATAACGATGATCCACATGCTTTGTAGGCGCGTTGCGCAACACCAAAGCCGTCAAATTATGAGCACTAAAAGAGCATTTTTATTATTTCTTTTATATTAACAGACAGAATGCAAAATTCCCTCGCTTTAGAATTTCTCCAGAACCTTGACCAGCAGATCGTTCATCTTCACGAGAAGCAGCCGAGGGTCTTCGGACAGTCCAGCACCGACCATGGCATTGGCGAAGAGTTGCTCCGCGAGCAGCGTGGCCAGCTCACCACGCTCTTCACAATGGCGTGTTTGGGATTGATCTCCAGCTGCAGCTGCTGCAGCGCGAAGCGATCTGCGATTCTCATCGGAATACTCGCGACAGTCGGGCTTCAAGTGCAGCACAATCTTCGTGCCGACAGCCACACCTTCGGCCTCTTGGATGTCATATGTGCCGGAGCTGTCGGAGCTCCAGCACAGTCCCACAGAATCCGCTCGTGAGGATCTGGTGAAGACCTCCACCTTGCCCGCCACCATGAAGGCAGAATAAAAGCCCACTCCGAACTGGTCAATGATATTCGATGAGTTCTCAGCATTCTGGCCCTTCTCTCTGATCTCCTCGAGGAATCTCTTCGATCCCGAGCGCACGATGGTGCCCAGATTGGCCACCAGCTCTCCTCCTTTGTCAACCCAATGCCAGTGTCCTGAATAGCCAGCGTTCTCGCCTGCTTGTCCGTGCCAATGTGAATCTCCAGCGATCTGTCTGTCTCCACGTAGTCCTTCTCACCATTTGGCCACAATATCCAGCAGCATTCGCGTCTCCGCCTGGAATTCATGCTTATTCACATTCCCAGTGGTCTTTTCACTGTCCCTAATGATGGAGTGATAGTTCTCCTCGGCCTTCACTGTGCTCATGCATCTTGTCCAGCTGATCTACCCTGGAAAAGGCGCCCCCGAAACATAGGAAAGCAAAGCAACATAACCTCAAAAGAGACATTTCTCACTGTTTCCTCTGCTTTGAAGGATCTCACGTGCTGACTGCACGCACGGGCTGTGGAGAAGAGTCGCCTGACTACTCGGGAAGCACCCAAGAGCCTTGTGGAGGACATTATCACTGGAAAATTGGAGAAAAATATACGAAAAAAACAGAGCGACAAACGAGCGAACACAATTCTTACTATTTGGTGTTGCCCGATGTCCGCGGTCCGGGAATTCCTTTCTCGTCGGGAATTCCTTTCCCGTCGGGAATTCCTTTCTCGTCGGGAATTTCCCGTCAGGAATTTCCCGTCAGGAATTCCTTTCCCGTCGGGAATTCCTTTCCCGTCGGGAATTCCTTACCCGTCGGGAATTCCTTTCTCGTCGGGAATTCCTTTCTCGTCGGGAATTCCTTTCCCGTCGGGAATTCTGCGACTCGAGACAATTCAAAAGTTCCACTTTTATGCGGTTTCGCTGGAAATCACGACGAGTCGTGAGGAATTATTCGCACATTAATATGTCTTTTTGTCATTTATTTCATACTTATGTGAATGATACAGGGGTTGAGGATTGATATCTAAGCATTTAATTATACATACGTAATAAAAAATTCTTTTAATTGTATAAGAATTACTATTCCTCGTCATTTTTTACTTCTACTAATACGCGGTTTTCTCTATACAGAAAAAAAAATTATCTTAAAAAATTCCTCACGAAATTCCATGTAAAAATCATACACAATTAATTACTATATTTATATTTATATGTATATATATAAAAAAAAAGTCGGTGGAAATAGAACTAATTATATGCAAAACAAAAATTCTCAATTTGTTCTTGTTCATGTTCATTTTTTCTTCTTCTTCTTTTTTTCTTCAGAGGGGAAAATGTTTTATTTTTTTTTTAGCTTTTTTTCTCTTCTATTACACGATGAGGTAGATTTTAGCTCTCCTTTTTTCATCAATCCTTTTCCAGTTCTGTTCCGTAATTTTATCTTTTTTTTCACAATGTGTTGAATTTTTTTTATTTTAATTTAAAGTTTTCATTTTCATTTCCATTTTCTTCACTTGAAAAGTCGTCTTTTTACAAAAATTATCATTCAGTCATTTCTGGAGTGAGAAACGAATCCTTTGCGTAGCTTTGTGTAAAATGTTATTAAAATAATTTAAAAAGAAATAATATTGATACAATAAAATGAATTTACACATCTTTCCATCTTACAATTCTCTCTTCTGAAACATCTATAATAGTTGGTTTTCACGTGTTTTTTTTTTTCATCCCATCCAAGGAGACAATATAGAATACAGTTTGGGATTGTAATTAATATGTATATTGCAAAATGATGTCACTAAAATCTGTTTTCATTTCCATTAAAATTAGCATTTATCTAACTTTCTCTTTACTTGATTATTCCATTATTTCTATTTACGATATCCTCATTCTCTCTCTCTCTCTCTCTCTCGCTCACAATCTCAATTCATAGTTTTCTCGCCTTTAATTGTATTTTCCTTCCTTTCTTTCCATTGTTTTCATCTTCAAATGTCACCGAACAGAAGCAACCGAATAACAGTGAGGTGAAAAATTGGTTACATTTACAGGAAAAAACTGCTTGTTTGGTATGGAAAATTGGCTGATTTCTATTTTTTCTTTCTTACTCAACTTCTTTTCACCATCATTTTTATTTTCTTTCCTTTAATTACACTTATAATTCTTAAAAAGGATTCTCTCTCTCTCTTTCGCGCTCTTTAAATCATTACTCAACTATTTACATAAAAAAAATACTCAATAATAGAATTCACAAAAACTATCCGTTTTGTTGCAAAAAAAGAAATCATGTTAAATTGTCCAATTTTGGCAGAAATCAATATATATATATTTATATATATTTAAATATTTTCCACTAAATTCAATTACAGTCCAAATTATCAAATTGGCGACCATTTTTTGTTAGCAATTTCACTAAACATCTTTTTACTAATACAATTTCCTTCTTTCGCCGCGCAAATCAAGTCAAAAGCTGTTAATCCAATGTTTTTTTTCCTCTTCTTCTATTATCCTTCAGAGAGAACAACTTTTCACACTCACGCGCCAATTTTCCCACTCATTCCATCATATTTTCCTCTTTTTTCACTCTTTCCACAACGAGAATACAACAATTTATATCCTTTTTTCTTTAGGTTCTAACCACACTTTGCGACTCTTTCGATCCTCGAAAACCTTCTTCCCTTTGTCATTCATTTTCCATCCTTTTCTGAATGTGTTTTTTTTTGTCCGCAACTGTCAAATTGATTCTTCTCAGTGATTTTTCTTTTAAATTATTTTCTCCCTCTTGCATCACATTTTCTTTCCTTTTTTTTAAATGTCCTCTTTCTCGTGTCACTTTGATTTTAGAAATAAACCTAAAGAAAATTAGTTTACAAACAAATTAAAAAAAAATCAGTCGAAATTGTTTGTTCCAAAAAAAAATGGCAGTTTGAAGAATAATATTAAAATGAATTTGATTCTTGACTTTTTCCCCTATTAAATATTGTACAAAAAAACAGATTTTACAGCCAATGAGAGGCGAGCAAAGTGATCAAATTGTCAAAATGCCGCCTTTCTATTGGTCACTCTTTCTGACTTTTGCCTTTTCGCTTAAGACTTGTGTTGCGCTCTTTGACAAAACAATGTGTGTAAAAATTATTGCCGCGTGATTAAAAATTATTTGTTATAAAAGCATCACTTTTCTCAGTATTTTTCCCCTCTTTATTTTCTTTTAGGCAGTGTAGAAATTCTCTTTTTTTTCTTTTCAATATATTCTTGTCGTTTGATTAACGTTTGCGAATTTAATTTCTTCACCCTCGAGAACAGAAAAAAAACCTCTTTCGCATTTTTTTTGTTCTTAAATGGTACATTTTTTTCCCCCTATTACAAAAGTATATTTATATATATTTCTACGAGACGCGCGCGCTTAATAAAAATTTGTCCGAAGGTATATTTTTCCTTTTTTTTCCTATACTTTCTCTCTTTTTTAATTTTCGCAAGGATTCAGTCATATTTTGGCAGTGACAATTATTTTCACTTCATATTACTTTTAAAAAATTTTCTTAATTTAAGAAAAAGAAAAAAAAATCTTTCGCTTTCAGTTCGAACGTGGTGAATTTCCCTTGTTGTTCTTCGATTTTTTTCTTTCTTCTATTTAAATGAATGTGTCGCTTTTCTTAACTCGATTACTAAATTTTTTTTTCTTCTTCCTTCTTTCAATCTAGTCTAAAAGGAGTGATTTTCTTACATTACGACTCACGATGGATTTGTTGTGTTTTGATGAGGGTGGGAAGGATGTTCGCTAAATCGTCTTAAGATACAATTAAGTTTAATGTGGAATTTTTAGGATGACTTTTATCACTATTTACAACATTACACACAAAAGGTAAGAGGCATTTTTCTTCTTCTTCTTCTCCAAATATCTTTTCTTCATGGGAAAGTTTTTTCATCGTTTTTTTTTTATCTATCGATAGAAATGTTTTTTTTTTCTCTTAAGCACATCGAAATAGAAAAGTTTACAGTATTTTTTAGCCTTACAATGTTTTTTTTCTTTTTAATTCTCTTCTCGTTATTATTGATAAATATGTCAATATTTTGTCATTACAATTAAATGAACGTTTTTCCTTAATTTTATGTTCGTGTTATCTTTCTGTCTCTAAAATCTCTTGTGTTTTTTTTCTCTCTCTCTAAAGCGTGACTTGTCAACCTTTTTGTCCATTTCAATGGTTTCTTTTTTTTCTCTTGTCATCGAAAAATATAAATTTTAAGAGCTTTTTTGTCTTTTTGTCTGTTCATGTGTTTTTTTTCTCTCTTTCTTTCTTATCAAAATATTCATATCTTCAGAAATTTGGTCTATTTTTTTTTTCATTATATTTTATATGATTAATTTTACTCTTCCTTCCAAAATGTTTTTTTTTTACTTCTTCTCTTTTACTATTTTGTGCTGCTGAGGTGAATTATTACTTTATCCTTCCATCAATTTTTTTTTATCTCAATTACAATGATGTCTCTTTTCTCCTGCATTGGTACATTTATAAATATATGCATATACGATTGTTTCTTACAATTATTACAACTCTTTTCCCATCTCTACTATCGTGTTTTTTTTTATCTCTTGTTTTATGTGTGCTAACATTACAATTATTTCCATTGTTTTTTTCCTTCTTTGTTTAATTCATTAGAACATCGCCTTTTTCTATGTCTTCCATTATCATGTTTATTACATACAATAATATTGATTGCAATTTAACTTCTTTTCTATCTCTTTCTTCATTTCTTCATCGGCTAAATCTCCTTTGCTTTTTTTTTTGCTCCGTGAATATAAATCATATGACAATGAACTTCAATTTTTTTTCTTTTAACTTATAGTTGTTTAATTTATCCATTTATTTATTTAAAAAAAAAATGTATTGAGATCATCGCTGAAATACGGTGTACATAAAATATCACTTTTCGCAAGAATAAAATATAATATTAGAAAGAAGACGAAAAAAAACTGTATTTTAACCCTTTTTATTCTCACATTTCAATCAATCTTTTCAATTTTCATTTAGATAGAAATTTTATTCTCTCCACTTTTTGGACTTTTTTTTTTCAAATTAACAATTCTTTTTCGCTCTACATTTACGCATAAAATTTTGGTTGGAAAAAAAAAATCAATTGGAAAAGGCTTTCAAGTTTCATATTCAATTAATTCAATTTCACTTCTCACAAATGTAAAATTAACTATACATTGATCTATAATGTAATTTCAATTTCCGATACAAAAGTCCAAAATACAAATTACAATAGTTTAGACCAAAAAAAAATTCCCGTGGCGAAATTCACTTTATATAATACCTAAAGAACTACTAAAAAATGTTTAAAAAAAAAAGAGGAGAAATTTCTCTCAGAAATAAAGTATTTAAAGATCAAATTGGGGAAAAAAGGATCCGTTACACTAACTACTAAACGAAATTCTCCCTCTTTTTTCTTCTTCTTATATTGACTGTTCCAAAAATTCTTCATCATCAATCAGTCTCTTAAAGGAGAAAATCTCTGCGCGGTTTCTTCTTTCCATTCTCGATCTTAAGAATTCAATAAAGTGTGTGTGTGTGTTTTGTTTGTGTGTGTGTGTGGCTTTCTAAAGTCGAAATATTTGGTGGAGTCTTCTCTCTGCCACCATTTGTGGACCACTGAATTACATTTATATGTCACTTCATCCTTAACTATCCTATCTATGCGTTACTCACACGACGTCGACGTCGATGTCGAAGCACGAGAACACGATTGATCGGACTGACAGTCTAGGCGTGGTGTGGAATTGAGAGCGGGTCACGACGGCTGATCCCTCTTCGGTGGCTTCCTGTGGTGCTTCCGGCGCTGTCGCGGACACACGCTGAAGTCCTCGAGAATGGCCACTGGGCTGCTGCTTCTGGCCACAACCCGCTTCAGTACTTTTAACTTTGGCGCCGATTCGCTGCTATCATCGCACTCGCTCGAGCTCTCGCGCCGATACAATCCTCGCAGGTGCTCCTGCAAGGCGATCCGCTCCCGCGTGTCCAGCGACACCAGCGGAACAGTCTTGGTGATTGACGAAGAGCCACTCTCCGGCTCCATCACCCACTCATCGGGAATACTAGACAACAAACCGAGAGAGAGAGAGAGAGCGATTAGCTTCATAATCATGCGCATGATCATGATGAAACTTACATATTAGCTGGAGTCCAGGAAACATAGAATTCAGTCCCTTTTGGCGTCACTCTGCAACCTATCTTCTTCCCATGGAACACCACAGAGCCATCAGGACCACTCGTAACTGCGCTAGAGATCAGAAGACGATGCTGCAGACTCTCCATGATGCCCGAATCGAAGAAGTCAAACATGCGAGCTGTGAAGACACCAAAAAAAAATGTTAAGAAAGGAAAATCTAAGCATAAAACCTGATTACCAATACTCACCTGACCATGGTTGACGACGATATCGCAGCTTCTTCCCATTCCTGCGAATGAGTTTGTTCATGGGAAGATCAGAGGTTCGCTTGCTAGTGGAATTGCCGGAGTTTTCAGTGGTATTCAGATGACTATTGACATGTTTCTCCAGAGCAACCTGCAAAAGATTCATCAATCAACACTTCTGCCTCTTGTTCTTTAATTGATTTAAATAAAAGACACTCACCCTCGAGCCGAATCTCTGGCCACATCCATCGAAGATGCATTTGAAGGTCTTCGGACCACCGTGTGAGAGCACATGTCCCTCGAGCCACCGCCTGGAGCAGGATTGCCGCGAGTGGACCTTGCAGCCGGCCCAGAGGCACGAAAAGGGCACAGTTTGTGGCGTCACATGATGCGTCTGCAGATGATCGAGGAGCTTGGAGCTGCTATCGAAGCGTGCACTGCACTGATCCCAGTAGCAAACACCCACAATTCGCCCATCAGACTTCCGCACACCCTTCGGCATCTCGCCATTCTGCGGTGGAAAGCGAATTGTCTTGGGCTGCGACAGTATTGGACTCTTGGCACACTCTGGCAGATTCAGCGTGAGCAAATCCGTGTCCACGCGTGGCGATTTCAGCTTCTCCAGCTGCGGCTTCACATCCTCCAAATCTACCACTTCGAGATCCGGACACGTCTTCAGCTGAATCTTCTCCAGCACGAGACTCTTGGGCGACGGCGATGGCAGCACAGCCGGCGTCTCGGGCGTCTGTGTGGGCAAAGCGGGCGATCTCAAGTCCACTGTGGTCGCCTTGGTGGCATCAGGAATGGGCGCCACTGGCGTCGTGGCTTCCACATTCACCGTGACCGGACTCATCTTGGGCGGCGCCTCCGTGACTGTGGACGCCGCCGCGGTAACTGTCGTGGGTTGAGGAATCTTCGAGGGCAGGCTGGGATTGGCGAAACCCGATGCTGGAATGTTGGGCACAATCGGTGCCTGGTTGAATTGATAGCACGGCGTCTGACTCGATGTCGTGGACGTCGCAAAGACCGCCGATTGGGCCTGATGGTGCTGCGTCTGCTGCAAAAGTGTGCTAAAGCTGGGCAGTAGATTCGTAGCAGTGGTCTGGATCTGGTGCACAGCAGCAGACTGAGTCAGGCTTGAGTACTGTGAAGTTATCACCGCGGGCAGCGTGGCGTTCAGGAGAATGCCACCCTGTGGTGTGGTCATGAACACTGGCGATGCGAAGCCATTGGCAGGAAACTGCGCTGATGCCGACGATGTGACGGTTTTGGGCAGGGGCACAAGTGTGGCGGACGGTTTGGTCAGAACACCACCGCCATTCACCCCATTCGCCACTCCGCTCTCGTCAATTGACGGAACAGTTCCCGTCGTGCTGGTGGCCAGCTTCAGCATGCCAGTGCCATTGAGGAAGTACTGTCCAGGATGTGTACTATTGATGCGCGCCAAGTGTCCGCCGTTCATCAACAGATTCGCCGTCGTGCCTTTGGTCAGGATATTTGGTATCTGCACGAAGTTCGACACCACGGGCAGCTGAAACACCGGATTCACCTTCGGCGGCGCCTTGGCCTCGGGATGCTGCATTTGGCCGGCGGAGGATGACACAATTGACTGCGATGTCGCCGTGTGACTGGCGCCCGATGGCAGACGAATGGCAGTGAGAACGACAGTGGGCTGATGCTTCACCTGATCCGCCGGCAGGATGCTCTGCAGCGGCTTCTTCTCCGTCGTCGCCAGCCGCGGCGCAATGGTGACCGGACGCTTTGGCGGCGTGACGGGGACCTTGTTGATGGGCACCTTGTTGCTCCCACTCACGCCCACCGTCAGCGCCTTGGCCTTCTTCTCGCCCTTCTTCCGCGCCTCCTCCGTCGTCGTCGCCGCCGCCGTGGCCGTCGTCGTTATCGCCCTGCTGCGCGTCAGCATGTCCACTTTGGCCTTCGGGAATTCCCGTGATCGAATCACCAGATTCGTGAGATCCTTCTTCATTGTCACCACAGGCTTCATCTGTGACTTGAAGTAGCCCGTGATCTTCGTCTGCGGCGTCGTCTCCTCCTTCGGCTTTAGAATTGGCGTCGACGTCTTCTTGTCCAGGCGCATCCTCTTTGGCGTCTCCATCATCTTCAAACCCGATTCCGTGCGCTTCAGATTGTTGTTGCTCGTGGTGCTGTTGTTGTTGTTGCTCGTCGGCGCAGGAGCGATTGGCGAGGGCAGAGCGCCTCCGCTGCTCCATGGCCACTGATGTGGGGTGATCTGTGAGCTGCCCAGGCTTGTCGGCGTCGACTGTGCCTGTCGGGGTGCCATTGTTGAGTTCTGCAATTCCTCCAGTGACGTCAAACTATACGGTGAACCCGGATCCGAAGTGTCGCTCGACGTTGTGCTGGAATCCGTGCAACTCAGAGCGGCGACACCACTAAAGAGAGAGGGAGAGAGAGAGAGAAAGAGAGAATTCATTAGAATCTTCACCACACACTTTTTCCCTTCTTGCAAAAGGATTCATATATATATATATATGTATGTATGTACTTCAGTGTGAAGCCCAGAAATTGAACTCGCATCGTTGGTCGGCGAGCATAATATTCAAGCATGACGACCAGCAACAGATTGAACTTCCTCAGGTGGTTAACCCACAGACGGAATCATCTTCAATTAACACTCTCTCCTTCACAACCGTCACCTCACCACTCATCCACCTCCCCGATGGGCACCCATGAATTTGCATTTTAATTGATCTGTCGCGGGAGTCGCTGACAGAGCACAGAGACTTTTTAGCACCTCACCGGGAGACTGCGACCGCCACACAGCACAGTTACCACGCACTCGACCACCCAGCACAAGATCCCATCAGGGTGGAAAAGGAGATGCATTATTCGCCACTCAGCGCGGTGGTCAATGCCCGCACCCTGAGAGAGCGAGAGACCAAGTGGATCAGACAGAAGGCACTTTGGCGCATGCAGACACACATTTATAGGCCAATTCCACTGCGCACCATCGTCATGCGCCCCACCGACACAACTCCATTCCCAACATATCAGGAGCTCTCCACACAACCTCTTCTCATCTCTGCTTCTGCGTCCCACCAGCGGCGGGAAGCACACTCTCATCACGGGCCTCTCCAGAGACCCATTCTCAGCTGAAGCCATAGACAAGTGTCTCGGGGCATTTAAATGATGGCAGTTCATGTTCACAAATTCAACATGCGGAGACTGAATCTCTCTCCCTCTCACTCACTCTCTCTCTCCCTGTCTCTGGGGCACACACAGAGACGCGCTCGAGCTGTGATGGGAATGGCGAGAGGCGAAGAAAGCTCAGCAGCGCAGGTAAATTGTGACCTTGGACTCCACGTCCAATGACCGATGTCTGAAAACTCCACAAGCAGACAGAGTTCGACAGAAAACCAACACAATCATCCATAAGATCCATTGCTCAGTAGCCCCCAAGATTAGATCCCACCGGGAAAGAGTACACCGACAATCGCGAACATTCTCCCCTTGACCCCAAATACAACATTGTGCGGCGAAGAGACTTCTGCATCCTCCAGTTTTGCCTCATTCTATTACCTCCGCAATCACTCTCTTATATATATGATGCACCTCATCGCCACAAGAGCTCCACACACATTTATATATGCACCCAAAATTCTTTGTCGGCACAACTTGTGTGTGGAATCTCTCTCTCTCTTGGCATGAAGTTGAAAAGCTCACACTCACCGACTCGAGAGAAGAGGGAACACGACGACTAAAGTGGAGCAGATCCGGGACAGATGGGAAGAAGAGGTGCATTTCCCGATAAATGAGAGTGATGGCAGAAAAATATTTCACATGAGAAGCATTAATCTCTCTTTCTCCGGAGAGAGAGATAAAGATATGCGACGGAATTGGCCAAATGCCTTCATTGCAAAAAAAAGCCTCCCTCTGAGGAATTTTCTCTATATATTCTTGATGTTGACTTCACTCTTCACCATGGAAACTGAACAAGAGATCAAGAGAAAAAAACGCACTTTTCCTTTCTACATGACGAAGGAGGAACTTCAATGTTTGCCTTCAAATTTACCTTTCACATGAGCGGAAAATGCTTTTTGAAATTTGTATTGAGATTAAATTTGCGAGAGAATACAATAGTTTGGCCACAAATAGAGAAAATATTTCTGTGGTTAAAATTTATATCCAATCCCAGACACAATTCTTATTGGAGAATTTCTTTGGAATGTTGTTATCGACATTCTTTTATCTGGCATTGAAATCTCTCCCAAACAACATTGAATATTTCACTGTAATATTGTTAAGGGCTCAAAATTCAATGCACATTTCATGTAGATTTTAATAGATGCCCATTTGGTCGCACATGCTGAAGGAGAGAAATGTCCTGCGCCACAAATTCGCTGGTATATTTACACAAGCAGAACGCGCGTCTTTCCAGCTAATCAAATTGAATGTGTCTGGAATCTCGTGGAGGTTGTGTGATTGGGACGCCATTTAGATAATTAGATATACAGAACTTGTTCCATTTACCCCAACCATTGAAGCCTCACTGCCGAGTGGTGGCTTTAGTAAACTTTCGTCGCTTCAATACCTCACGAGGGTGTTTTTGAATAACTCAACACACAACTTTGGCGGAGAGAAGTTGAAGTCTTCGTGTGTATGTGACTCTCATGAATATTACAATTAAATAGAGACACGTTGGCACTTGAGAATTGTAAATCGGGATTAGGATGCTGGTATCTATTCTATAGTAACTTCACTTAATACTGCTGATATTGCTACAGTCGAAGGAGGAGAGAAAAAAAATCAACTTCCGCACCAACCATAATTGCTTTAAGTTTTCCTCCAACATAATTTGATTTTCCTCCGATAAATGAACACTAATTGAAGCAAACAAGGCGAATTTTCCTCGTCATTCGCTCTCTCTCTCTCTCTTTCTGTCTCTGTCGAAAAGAAATGACAAAAGGGACAAAGTAGAAGAAGTTGATGAAATTCTTTGAAGTACAGCCACTTAGTCGCCCTCATGGCTAATGTGAAATAGCCTGGCTTGAATGTCAGAGGGCTGGAAAATAGATAGAATGGCGTGGAGTAAAAAAAAATGTATTATTGATTCCCAACACGTTCCCATTAATCTCCCTTTCTCTCTCTCTCACTCGACTAACTAAGTGCAATTTAGCCTCTTCTCTATCATAAGCAAAGTCACACTGGAGCATCATTGCCGTAAATCCGTGTGTAAAACTGTTTCCTTGTTCGATTACGCTCATAAATATCATTTATTCATTCATATCATGCAAGAGTGTCTGCCTGTGAGCTCTATGGAGTGCCAATACATCACTGTTCTCTCTCACTCTCTCTCTCCATTGGTGTATTTATAAATATTGCCACCGTACTTCATCATTTCCCTTTTCCACTCACGCGTGTCCTGCGGTGGGATTTTTGTTTGGGCATTTTCTCATATTTTCCAACCACATTAAATTTACTCTTGACAAACTCTCTCTCGTTCCGCGCGCGCGTCCGAAACACAACCACTCTTCCATCACCATTCAGTCATCGGTGGTGAAAACAGAGTGGCACTTTGGTAGCCTTTAACTTCCTGCCTCTGAAGATAAATCAACCCTTCATCTGGACTCCTTGTGGTCACTGGTATGGCATTGAGTGAGACGCCCTTCATATTCAAACACTCTCCACTGATATTAATTGCCACCGATGCCCTCAGAGCATTCTCAAAATCCACCCCCAGAAACAACCAAAATAAACAACACAGTCACCGATGAAACTCGAGAATTGCGAGTGAAAATTGTATGGTGTGAGATTCACCGGGAAAATTCTGTTGCGGAAATTCCTTCAAATTAATTCCAAACGCCAGAGAGAGAGAGAGAGAGATTGAATGAATTTTCTGAATGCAGTAGTATTGAATTTCCAAAGACTTCTCGCGAACTGACTCATTAGAAAAATTCTCGTGCATAAATTAATCTCGCCGGATATTAAATTACATGTAATTATTACGTTTGAATTTTTATGCTAAAGAGATTGTGTGGCAATTCAAGCAAACAACTCACGAGAAATTTTTCCTACTGCACCAAATAATAATTTCCTACAAAAAAAAACACACACACACATTTTCACAAGTTAAGAAAATGAGATCCTTCACACGTTAAAAAGATGATGAGTTGTGTGTTTGTGTGTTTTTCACCACACGTGAAATATATTAGCAATAATTTTAAACTCACAGTGAGTCTTCGTATGAACTGAAGCCATGTGCAATACATCATAATTATTCTTCCTGGCAAAAGTAATTTTCACACACAAAACAACCAACTATTCCAGGAATGTCGGTTTGGGCAATGACGATGCGAATGTGGAATTATTATGTGCTCGAGAAATCGACATAAAAAGCACTCTGAGGCTGGAGTTTACAAAAGGCGCGCCAGAAGAAGTTCTGGGGGTCAATCGTGGACCACATAAATGAAACAGAGAGAGAGAGAGAAAAAAAACGTAGCATGACCACAAAATTATTGTTACACCACTCACAAGAGGAATCCAAGTGTCTTCCAAGAATTTCATTTGCACGCCCGAGAAGAAACTCCTCACTCAATGCGGATGATTCAACAAGACCGAAAAATTAAACAGGAAAATAGATAATTTCCTTCACGACGAGGAACGTCATTAAAGTGAGAAAATTAAAAATCAAGTGGCAATTATCCTTTTTTGCGCTCCTCCTTTCAATCCACACACACACACACACACATTTCATTTGTGGTTGTCAAATTGACGCTGATTTTTCCTCTCTCTTGCGTCGCAGTTCATTTGCCACAAAATAGAATTACAGAAAATGCCCCCAAAACAGCTCTCTTTCTCTCTCTCTGTGCTCCTGTAATTACACATCCCATGAGTGATCAATTGGAATTTTGTAGAATGGACGGTAAATGATGTCTGGAATTCGGGAAATGAAAATTGAAATTCAATTTCACAAACATTATTTATCATACCAAATGGAAAATGCTTAATGGCAAATATGTTGCTGGGAGATTGAATGTGATGATTTGAGTGATGAAATGTGTACACAAAATGTATAAATTTCCAATAATCACTGATTTATTGTGCTTTGTCAACTATATTTTGCCCGTGATATTTCATCTCTTCAATATATAAACATATTTACTACGCGCACATAGAAACCAATGCCAATTCAAGCATCGTTTTCACCCATTTTCACCAATGAAACCCTCCTCCTCAAAAAAAAAACCAACATACACACCCCCGAAATGGATGAGATAAAAAGTCAATAGAATAGATAAAACCATAAATTGACTGATTAATTTATGAGCTGACTATAAATTCCTTTTTTTTTGGCAATGCAGTGAACCAGAAAAAAAACCAAGTGACAATTTTCCTTATCATCAAATGTTTGCGCGGAAATTCAAGGGTGAAC